TCTCACACGCACCCTGACCGGGGACCGAACCTGCCACCCAAGCATGTGCCCCGACTGGGAGTCAAACCAGTGACCTTTTGCTTTGCGGAATGGCACCCAGCTGAGCCACACCGGCCAGGGCAAGAACAGATATTTCTTGATAATCAGGTAACATTTAAGTATAGGTGCCTTGGGATTTCCAGGGCAAGTGAGGGGCATTGTGTTTAGAACTCAGGCTCCTACTTGGAGGCAGTGTTTAAGGAAGGCGAGCCCGGTCCTGTGCCCCTGCGTGGGCCGTGACCTTGGGAAGTCACTTCCACCCTCTGGCCTCTGTTTTTCTCACCTGTGTGAAAAGGTTGGAGGAATGCATTGGAATAGAAAGTTGGTCTTTAAATTTTCTTCCTGCTTCAAAGGTGGAAGAATCTATGGTTTCTGAAATTTCTTACTCTTAAGCCCTTGAATTATCGCCCGTAAAACTTGAGCAGATGTAACCATTTAATGATATGCTGGCAAACTATGTTTATAGGATCTCTTTATTAAAAGACAGCCATGTTTTACTTACATATGCACATCCACACATACATATGTGTGTCGGTGTGTATGTATATTATATTACCCTAACTTTACCATATTGCACTAATATATTTAATGACATTCTAATATTACACTGTACTGCATTATGCCAACTTTTCTATTTTATGTAGTATACTAATTATACGATAATGTATCTGTGTGTGGGTGCTGACCTTGCACTGTTTTGTTGTTGTAGTTCATAGAAGTAAAACACGAACCAGAGCACAAATACAGGCTAGCAGGCCCGTGGGTTCCAGGGACAGTTTGCATGAAGTGCCCGGTCTGGGCCCAGCGTGTCATCTAACGCAGGGCCCGCGTTCCTCGTCGCGTGGGGCAGAGGTTTTCAGACTGTGCTCACTGGGGTTTCAGAGCCCCATAGAGAGTCTCTGAAATCCAGGCAAATGGTGGAAAAAATATGTAAAACTCGACCAGCACACACCTGGGGAGCCCGGGCCGCGGGGGCTGCGCAGCCTCTGTGCTGGCTGGCTGGCGTCACACTTCGCCATCTCCCCGCGTCTGTGCAGCCGGCTGCGCGGTGGGGGCACCACCCGCACGCTGCCCCACCTGTGCTGCTGGTCGGCTTTGCTCGGTGAGGTGGCCCTCCTGCCCCGTCCGCCCGTTAAAGAGCCACAGCCCACGGTCAGAGGCCGCGCCGCTGAAACTCGGGCACTGTTTGCGCTCCTCAGGGGTTTGGGTCAGGACTTTTCCCGCTACCCTGGAGGGGCATCGACAGGGATAACGCTGCCGCCCTCCGTGCTGAGTCTGCAGGTTCATCAGAGCCGCTGAGCTGTTCTCGGCGATGGGCTTTCTGGCAGGGACGAGCTGTGAAGCGAGCGTGTGGGGTGAACAGAGAGAGAGTCTTCGGGAAAAGAGCCCCATTGCTAAAAGCATTTGGAAGCCACGGACGTCGGGAAGTGGGCACGGGTGTTAGGGGCAGACCGGGTTGGGTCTGAGCCCTGCCTACCGACCAGATGGCCTCGGGCAGAGCAACGGGTCTCCCCAGGCCTCGGCCGTGTCCTCTGTGAGGTGGGCCCGCTCCCCAGAGACCTGTGTAAGTGGGCCCACTCCAGTGCCTGATACAAAACAGAAGGTTTACACACGATAGCTGTTCCAATGCTTTTCATGCTGGCCATTGAAGTCGCTGTATTTCACCACTGGCCATTAAGAGCAGCCTCTTTATGCTGTATTTATACACACACACACACACACACACACGTTATTTTATTTGCATATTTACTTATACAGAGAACTTAGCGTGTGCATACCTTGGTAAATACATTTTCCTGTAATTTATAGAGACGTTTTAGCATACCGAAGTGGCACGTTTTTCTTTCTGATACATCTTCATCGCAAATTAAATGAATTTCCTTTTCTTCCACTTGGAACGTGCTCGGAGCCTTCACAGAATCCTTTCCTGTACTTCAGCTTTTTTGTCGTGGGAGAAAACCTCACGGCCGTGGGGAACCGCTTCTGTGCGGCGGCGCTGTAAAACGCTGCTTTGTTTTTACGCACAGGCTCTTTGTGGGTGGACCGCAGAAACCCCTGCTCTTGGAAGTGTTTGTGGCGCCCACTGGGAAAGCGACGAGGGGAAAGAAAGAGCTAATTTAAAAAGCTGCTATCCGCCTCCTCTAATTAACTTGCCCTCCGCTCCTGGGAGAGGGCGTGGAAATCGGGAAACAACCGGGGCTGCGTCGGAAGCGAATGCCATTCCGGGCGTCCATGGTAGCCCGTGCCGTTCCCATGCAGAATGAGTAGTTCATAGTAAACGGGCCAGGAGCCACAGAGCGGCTGGAAGCACCCTCCGCCTCCCCACACGCTGCCTCCCGTGCAGGGCGGAGCTGCGTGGTGGTCCCTGCAGAGCAGGTGTGCGGGCCGGGCAGCTGCAGCAGGGAGGCCTCATTGGAATTCAGCAGCTTGAACCCAAGAGCATCCGGCCCTCCCTGTCGCTTGCTGGTGCTGCTGGGAAAGAGCTGGGGCCCTTTGTGCTCCAGAGCCACACTTCCCCAGGGCCCAGGGATGCAGAAGCCGCAGGAGTGCCTCTCTTTCTCTGGATCTCTGCTGGACGCTGGAAGAGCTCAAGGCATCCGTGCAGCTGACTTTCTGGTGACGTCTTGAAGAGGTTTAGGTCCCAGAGATCCCAGCAAGGGAACTAGGAGGGGGAGTCTGGGGGACAGAGGCAGTAATTCAGCAGAGATGGCTTTTACCTCCTGGAGGATGTGGCCCCCAGTGGAGTGGGCTCGGTGGATGTGGACGGCGGTGACCAGCGGTGGGGACTCCAGTGTGTTGGTCCTGCAAGGAAGCCCTGCAAAGAGGCAAGTTAGCCCGGACCTGTGTGGTTCAGTGGGTTGGGTGTTGTCCTGCAAACCGAAAGGTCGCCAGTTCAATTCCTGGTCAGGGCGCATGCCTGGAGGGCGAGCCAGGTAACCAACCAATTGATGTCTCTCTCTCACATCAGTGGTTCTATCTCTCTTCCCCTCTCTCTAAAATAAATAGATAAAAACTTTTTTTTTAAAAAAGGAGGGAGATTAGCTCCGTGTGTTTTTGTTGGCATTGTCCCTGATGCTTGCCGTGCCGGGGGTCAGGGCGACGCCCAGGGCCCACCAGGCAGATCCAAACTCTCATTCCTCTTTGATGCTCAGTTTCGTAACGTCCTTGTGTTTCTCTTGCTGGTAAACAGACTCGGCAAAACTTCGGGTACTCGAATCTGTTGTTGTCCAAGCGTGAATTTAAAGTCTCCCCCTGGACGAAAGCTGAGCCCTTTAATGTTAATGTCTGTCTGTGAGTCCGTATGGCCCCTGCTGGTTTTGCACGAATTAAGCCTTTACTCATGAAATTTGATAGTTTGCAGGCTCCAGCTCTTGGGATCCCATCAAAAACAGCTCTGATGTTTTTGTTCATCTTTTGGGGTCCCAGGAGGGATCTGTGGCTGGCTGGAGGAGCCGGGGACCTTGGAGGGGTGGGGTGGGGGTCTTTGGCACCGACAAAGCAAGTCACTGACAAACGAGTTGTAAAAGCAGCATCGACATCGATTTTCTGAAGGCGAACTCTCCAAATGGCTCCCTTTTTCAGTCCCGGCTGACCACGCAGGGATTGGTTGGTTCCTGGTCTCTGTGCAGGCCAGCAGACGGGCTTTAGGAGTTGCTGACCTCTGCTGAGGTCACTGTCCTTTGACCTTTGTGGGAGCTGGGCAGCCTGAGTATTTGATGCTCCATATTCACTGACGGGTCACTCCGATTATGCAACTTCACCCAGAATTGCCCATCGGGTCACTCGTGCCGGCAGCAATCCTAAGTATCTACCCTCTCGATAATTACCTGCCTTGGTGCAAATGAATGAATGGCATTCGGGTCTATGTAAAAGATCCTGAGGGATGCAGATCAGCCCAGGAGATGCTTCTTGCACTCTCGCCTGCTCAGAGCGAGGTGGGGCCAGGACTGGGCACTGCTGAGCCTCTCCGGAGACCGAGGGGCCGCCCTCCAGCCAGATGACACGTGCCTGGCTCTGATTTGGGGGACCTCCATCTTTCTGGCTTAAAATTGAGTCCCCAGCAGAAAGAGGGTGGGTAGAGAAGGGCTGTTTGCTCGGGGTCGTCTGGAGCCCGGGATAAAGCTTTAGTGTGGTGAGTGGCCTCCTCCCCTTGTTATCGGGTGGGGTGTCCTCTGGGTGGAATCTTGGTCCATTTTTTCTGAGTGGAGAATCCTCCCTGAGAGCAGACTTCCCTGCAGACCAGCGAAGGCCATTTTCACACTGTTGGGGTCAGCAGGCTGTGCTCTGTGTCTTGGGCCGGCACATCCTCCAGCAGACTGGCTGTAGGCATTCATTCATTCACTCATTCACTCATTCATTCAACAGATGTTTTTTCACTGCCTCCTGGTTTAGGCTCGGGGAAGCTGGGATTCCCCTGACTGCCCTCGTGACCTTTTCAGCTCAGTAGAGGAGAAAGATAATTAACTTGATTAGAGCGAATAAATCTGTAGTAACGAGTGATGACAAGCGTGGGAGAGCAGGCGGGGCGGGGCGAGGCTGAACCCCGCTGAGATTCGTGGATGGGGTCCCGCAGGGTGTCGGAGCCGTGGCATCAGAAAGCGCTCTTTGCAACTCCCCCGTATCAGTGTGACCAGACGCCAGATGACCTGTGTCGGAGTTGATCGGAAGCAGAAGCTCCCACTGTGTTGGGATCTGCCACTCAGGCCAGAAATACTTACTTCGAGTAGAGCTGAGTTTAAAGAATGTATCATTCGGGCACCAAGCTGATGCTAATGAGATCCACCCTTGGGAATCACGCTTCAGAACGATTTTCCGTGCCCCTGCCCTGCTACAGTTTAATTGGGCAGCGAGCCTGGTTCCGCTGGCGGGTCAGGAGGTCGCGCGGGGCTCAGCGGCCCCGGGAACAAACTCAGCCCTGGCCCCCGTCTAACCTTGTGTGTCTCCCCCTCTCTCTCCATTAGGAGTTCTGACTCTGAAGAAGCATTTGAGACCCCAGAGTCGACGACCCCTGTCAAAGCTCCCCCGGCCCCACCCCCACCACCCCCAGAAGTCATTCCAGAGCCGGAGGTCAGCGTGCCACTCGCCCCGGAAGAACCAGGTAACCAAGAGTCAGCTGCCCCTGGGGAGACACAGCGACTCCTCCCCGGGCAAGGCTGTAGCAGGGCGCCCACCCACACGGGCTGTCGCTGGAGCTCCTTGGACCGCAGTTGCCGGGGCCTCTGGGCTCCAGGCCGTGTTTTATGTGAGCGAAAGCTAAGTGGGAGCAGATACTGCAGACTCTTCTGTGGTTACTTAGCAGGAGTTTCGCAGAGGCTCCTGGGAAAACCACTCACTTAGCTCTGGGTATGTCTCCCCTGGCACCCAGAACTGGGTTCGAGTGGAGCAGGTGGGTCTGGGGAGTTTCCCGTGCCATTTGAGATTCTCCCGTTTGGCCCCCGGCTCCTGTGAGAACACTGGTTCTGGCCGGCCCGTGGGAGCTGCATTTTCACTGGAGGATGTGTGCCCCGTGGACTTGGGGAGGGAAGACACAGGGCATGCGGGCGAGAGGAGGAAGGGACAGATAGCCGCCTTCATGGGTGGCTCGTTTCTTTCTCATCAGCCCCGAGTTTCCCGATTTCGTATCCCTTCCCCGCGTCCCTTCCCCCTCCTGCGGGCCTTTCTGCACCTTCGAGATGGGGCGATAACCAGGGGGTGGGGTGGATCTCATTTCTCCGCCGCCAGCCTGCGCACCTGGCCGGGGGCCTCTGCCTGCATCCTCCGGTTACACCGGCAGGGACCGGGACCACCGTGGGCATGAAAGTTTAACTCGAGGCCCGGCAGGAAATGGGGGCTGTCGGAAACAGCCCCACAGGCTGGCCAGGGGGCCAGGGGGCCAGGCAGGCCGATCCTTAGGCCAGGACTGCCTGCTCCTGCCCCCACTTCAGAGGACTCCCTTTCCTCAGGCCACAGTCCTCCCTGTGGGAGGGGCCTGCGGGGCCACACTCCTTGGGGACCATGCTGTGACACCTGGGAGCAGCCACTGCCTGGGCCCACCAGCCTCCTTCTCCCAGCCTGTCTTCCCAGGACTAACTCTGCCCCTGGGTGCACCCCCTCAGCCAAGGAGTAATGGGGGTGGGACCTGCAGCCCCCACCCCCCTGTGCTCCAGGCTGCCCCAGGTGAGGACGGAGCTTGGATGGGAGAAGAAGGGGCAGGCTGAGGGCCAGGCCTGTGTTTGTACTCTTGCCCCGACCGGGAGCCAGGTGGGCTGTAAAACCAAGTAACATTTTGACTTGGATGTCGGTTTTGGAAAGAAATGGGTACAGTTCTTTTTACCTGCCCCAGGTTCACGCGGGCTGTTGTTTCAGGAAGGGCAGGGCCTCCTGGGCTCTGGCTGCTCACGAATGGTGCTCCCTGGGGCTCGGGGGATGGGGGTGGGACCGTCTTCAGGGAGAGCAGACGTCTTTGCAGGTCTGATAAATGCAGTTTTTCCATGTTCTCCCCTTTTAGGCAGCTCCTCGGCTGCTAGTGCCTGAGTCAGCACAGCCAGTCAGAGTGCTGGGCTCTGAGGGCGGAATTGTTGGAATGTATTTGATTTTTTGCAAAAGCAACCGGGAGGGCTGCTTACATTTCTGAGAGTCTTTTGCATCCCCACTTTCTTGTATATACTAAAGTGCATACAAAAACTTCATTTCCTATAACCTTATTTTTAAAATCACCCTGAAGCTGAGTGGAAAGCGAACGACAGACTGGAATCCCTAGGTCAAGCATGTGATTGAGAATAAACCGTCCTTTTTGGGGGGGTATGATGCGTGCATGCCTGTAACCGTGTGGGGTGCTTCTGAAAAGAATTCGGGAGAAAAAGGACGGCCTGTCCCATGCGTAGGGTCCACGCACAGGTGCCAGGGAGCGTGCAGAGAGAGGTCATTGCTGCGAGCGCCCGTGCGTCCACTAGGGTTTCCAGCCACCCAGCCGGACCACTTCCGGGGGGAGGGGCTGCCTCTTCTGTTCTTTTCTTCAGCCTGTGCTTATTCTGTCTGCCCCGGCTTCCTTTCCAACAAAGCAGAACAATTCCCATTCTTAAAAACACAGACTCGCATAGCACCCACCTCTGTTTTAGGTGGCAGTTTCCAAAAGAATGAGCTTTGTAGAGGAGGGGGAGAGAGGCCCCACCCGGAAGGGGTTGGAGCCGTTGATCCCTCGCAGCTTCTGCGGGAACTTGGGTTACACCAGGTTGGAGTCTTTGAACGGGGACCTTCCCCTTCTCTGGGGAAACTGCAGTGGGGCTAAATGTATGCAGGCTACACAATAAGGGCACTTTCGGTTGGGATTGTGAGTGCTTAAAGCCCCCCTGGCTCGGGCTGTACAAAGACCCATTGGATTGGCTGCACGTGTTAGAGAAGCCTGCTGGTCCGTTCCGCAGACAGACAGCCCGCGGCCGAGGCGCAGGCGTGAGAAGCAGTGTGCTCTGCCTGTGGAGGCGGCCGGAGGAGAAAGCTGCCTTCTGAGAACCATGGGAAACGAAGGGCGAGAGAGGAAAAGCTATTGTTTCGTTTTCCTCTGCAAAGTGCGCGGGACATTGCTAAAAGGGACTGAAAAAAAACTCCTAAGAAACAATAGACGAGACCTTTGGCAGGGAATAAAGACACGATTTTTCCTCCTGGAGAGTTACATTTTACAAAATAAACAATCACCTTATCTCGGGTCCCGCCAGCAAGTGTGGGCTTTGCAGGGTGCAGGCCGGGTGAGTCGCCGGGTTCCCCTTGCGTCTCCCCGCCTGGTCTGGGCTGGGCCAGGATGCAGTCTATCCGAGACCAGTTTCCTTACCTTTCAAGTGCAGAGGGCGACCCTCGAGCCCCCAGAGACGCTTCCCTCCGCACTGTCCATGGTCCCCTGGACAGGACGCTGGGCCGCCCTACAGTGCCTGCCTTGTTAGAACTCGGGCCGGCCACCGGGGACCTAATTAAACGTCCCATCGTTGAACAGCAGCTCCCACTGTAGCATCGGCCACGTGCCAGCCCTGCGCTACGCTCTCGACATGTTTCATCTCCAACCCAGATAAGAGAACAGACATTACGAGCCGCAGTTGTTAGTCATCCTCCTGTACTTAGAAGGTGAAAGCTAAGCTCCCTGTGTGGGAGACCTCCCACCCTCGAAATCCTGGTTTAGGATAAGAGTCTGTGGTCTGTGAGCGCGGGGTGGGGGGCAGATCATGGTCTGACCCCTTTGGTCCTCCAGGCCCCCGGGTCCCTGATCAGAGTGAGCTCACAGAGGCGAGGGGGGCGAGCCGGGGGGGGGGGGCGGGGGATGGGGAGAGAAGTCCCAGCGCAGCTGCCAGTGAGTGCCCCAGTCAGAGACGGCCCAGCGAGGCTGAGCCATGTGGCCTTTGGAGACAACAGGACGGTGACATCCACTGGGTGGCATTAGGCGCCTCCTGTTAGCGTCCCCTTTCCTCGGAAGTCCCTCTTATTCCCGAGCGCATCCGTTTCTTGCTGGCGTGGGGGCTTTGCTGCCCGGCGCTGGTGCCGTGGACACGCTGCACTTCCCCGTAATCACAGGCCGAGGGCCTGCCCCCTCCTTGGTGGGGCTGGATTCCAGGGGGCCCTGAAGGGGGTGCTGAAGATCAAAAGGGGTCAGACGGGTAGGGCCCTTGTTCAATGGCACTGGTGTCCCTGAGAGAAGAGGAGGGGGCGCCAGGGATGTGCTCACACAGAGGAAAGGTCGTGTGAGGGCACAGGGAGAAGGCGGCCACCTGCAGGCCAAGCAGAGAGGCCTCAGGGGGCCCCAGGTCTGCCACACCTCGACCTCGGACTCTGTCCTCCAGCACTGGTGCCTGTCGTTGAAGCCCCCGTCTGGGGTACTTTGTATTGTAGCAGGCCACGCAGGCTGGTACAGCTGAGGACCCTTCTGGTGGGCCTCTGCCTCTGATGAACCAGGGATGCCGACTGCATCATCAGCTGGGCCCAGCCCAGGTCGGCCCTGCTGGGGACATGAGGTGGAGTTCACGTGGACGGATGCACCGGGGGTCCTGTCCTTCCTCCCGCTGTCCCTGGCAGCCCGCGGTGGCTGCCAGAGAGGGGCGCCCAGATGGCTTGTGCAGTGAGTGAGTGAATGAACGGTCCCCATGCAGAGAGCGGCGTGCGGGCTGCAGACCCCCGGGGGCGCGCTGCGGGGCCCGCTGGGCCGCACCTGCTTTGGAACAGCAGGGCCTGCAGGTGGCAGCGACCTTTGTCCTGTCTAAGGCTCCCTCTGAAGAGGGCGTGGGAGGCCTGCAATGCGTGGTCCACGCTGGTCACCACCCAGTAAGACAGTGATTCTCAACCAGGGGCAACGCTGCCCTCCAAGGGGACATTAGGAAATTTCTGCAGACAATTTGAGTTGTCACAGCCGGAGCGGGGGTGCTCCTGGCGTCGAGTGGGTGGGGCCAAGGATGCTCCGAACTCCCTCCAGTGCACAGCACAGCACAGCCCGGCCCCCACGACGCAGGCTGACGGAAGTGGCTCCGGGCCGAGGGCGAGAACCCCGCAGTAAGCTTAGGTTTCCTGGGCCATGATGATTTAATTAGAGAACGTCAGTGCCAGGCAGGAGCGCCGTGTTAGGCAGACCGGGAGCCGTTCTTCCGGGGGAAGCAGTGAGCAGATGGTTAAGCTGACTCTGCGGACTGCTGTGCGATTCGGGCCGAACCACCGGCATCCGAGGAGCCTCGGAAGGGCTCCTCCCCGGGCCCCAGGGGCCCCCGTAGCGGCCCGAGAGCGAGCAGGTGGCGGCCGCGCGGGCCGTGTGTGGGAGCGATGGGGCGGGCTGAGGCCCTCTCTCCCTCCCGAGAGGCCCACCTGGAGGCACCCGGTCCCCTGAGCCCCCTGCTCTTCTGCTTCCTCTGTGCTGTGTGGCCGGGGCAGGAAGACCAGGCGAAGACCATGGGAGAACGGGTTGCCCGGGGGCAGGGGGTGCCCAGAGGAAGTAGGGAGGGAGTTGACTTTGGGATGAAGGAGGGTGGAGCACCCCCTTTTGTGGGAAGGGCAGGACGCGGGGGTGCTGCAGGAGGGCGAAGGGAGGCATTTGGCCGACAGAGCGGAGCTGAGGGCCGTCCGTCCAGTCCGTCCGGTGCTCCGTCTTACAGGACGTCTGCTCCGAGTGGGGGGGCCTGGGGTGGCATCAGGCGCAGACAGGAGGGGAAGGTTTGGAACCGTGTGTGGCTGAAGCTGTGCTTCCGGAAGGTGCTCCCCAGTCCGGAGGCGCTGACTGAGCCGTCCAGAGAAGGGGCCGCACGTGTGGCAGGGGCAGGGGGGGAGACGATCAGACCAGCCCCCGCCTCGTTCAGGAGGCGTGAAGTCCCCTTGTGCTGTCACCATCAGGCAGCACCTCATCGTCCGGGTGCCCTGCCGCGTGCTCCCGGGGAAGATCTGCTCGTGAGCGAAGCTGGGTGGTACGCAGAGTACTCCCCACCTGGAATGTGCGGCCGTGAGCAGGCACTGCGTTGAGTAAAATCAACAGTGTGAGCCGGTTCAGGGTCCAATGAGCATTCTCCAGACCTTGTGGGTGTGTTGGGCTGGGGGCCCAGGCTGCTGGATTTAGCAAATGACACCACAGGGTGCCCCGTTGAGTTCTGATCTCAGATAAACAACGAAGAATTGGGAATTGGGACGCATTTACACTAAAAATCTTGTTCATTTATCTGAGATTCAGATTTAATCAAGTGTCCTGTGTGTTATCCAGCAGGGGGCGGGGTGGGGGCTGGGGGCAGAACTCTCGCCAGGGAAACACACTCTGGGAACGCATGCCATCCCCAGGCCCGTGTGTGCCAACCCTTTAATCTCCTCTTCCGCAGACCGCTTTGCCACGTTCGCCCTCCTTTGTCTGGGGACACGTTTTTGGTTTTCTGGCCAATCATTGTCTGGCGTCCTTGACTGCCCAGGACAGCTGAGAACCCACAGATGCATGCAAGGCGCCACCTGGTACAAGCAGGGCCCAGAGCAGCCAAGCCAAGGCCAGGCTGGCCCGCTCCCCGTGGGGCCAGGGGCAGGAGGTGGGGGAGTGGGAACGGAGCATCTCTTGGCCAGCATCTTACTGGAGAACGAGAGCAGCCTCCTTGGCCGGCAGAGGATGTGGAGAAGCTGGGAGGAGGCAGCAAAGGGAGGAGAGGGAATGGGGGGCGGTGAGAAGAGGAGCGTGGCAGGCAGTGCTGGAGGGAGAGGTTGCAGGGCATGCCTGGAGGAGGGACAGGCAGCAGATGGGACCTGTGGAAAGGCTGCCCATTCCTCTCGGTGGCTGTGATGAGCAAGCACGGGCTCGATGGCAGTAGCCGCTGGTATTGACGAAAGTCTCCCTGTGCCGCCTCACCTGCCCCTCTCCCTGGCTGCGGCCCCACTGGCCCGTGACGTTCCTCTGCCCCGGGGCCTTTGCACTTGCTGTTCCCTTTGCCTCGGATGCTTCCCACAGGGTGGCCTCCTGGTTCACCCCTCTGCCTTGTACCCCATCTTTGTTTCACTGTCTCCTCCACGGAGGGCTTTGCCTGACTACCTTATGTTAAAATTGCAGTGTCCCTACCCTGGCCTTGTTTTTCTCCATAGCACACATCTCATAGTCTGGACATTTTCCTTAGGGATTTGCTTCCTGACTCTCTTCTCCCTGAAGAGCGTAACTCCAGGAGCACGAGGATGTTGTTGGTTTTGCTCATTGTTGAGTCCCCAGCTCCCGGAACAGTGCCTGGTCCCAGCTGGGCACGTGTCTCTGGTGGCTGAATGGTCTGAGCCCTTCCTTAGGCAGTTCTACCACTCCTGCTTATTACGGGGGGCGGGGGGGCGGAGAGGGGAGCCCGTGCGGGGCCCGGAGCTGATGCTGGGGCAGAGCAGGGTTTGTGCCCACGTGATGGGCTGGGTTGACAGGGGGTGGGGGGGAGACTCTGCTTAGAGGGCGCTCATCCGGCATGAGATGGGAGATGTTCCTGAGTGTCCTGTGTCCTCAGGTGACGGCTCTGTCTGGTTTCCCCAGGATGCGGCGCTGAGCCGGCCTCCATCCCCGATGGCCCGCGGAGCACCTCGGTGGAAGGCAGCCCTTTCCGCCCTCCGGCCCAGTCCTTCTCTGCCATCTTCGACGAAGACAAGCCGATAGCCAGCAGCGGGACCTACAACCTGGACTTCGACAGCATCGAGCTGGTCGACGACTTCCAGACCTCGGAGCCTCGCTCCGCGGACGCCAGGAGTCTGGAATGCAAAGTGAGCACGCGGAGGAAGTCCACGGACTCTGCCCCCACCTCTAAGTCCACGCTGTCCCGCTCCCTCAGCCTGCAGGCCAGTGACTTTGATGGTGCTTCTTGCTCGGGCAACCCTGAGGCCGTGGCCCCGGCCCCCGATGTGTGCGGCGCGGGTGCGAGCGGCGATTCCAGCACCCTTAAGCGAACTAAGAAACCAAGGCCGCCTTCCTTAAAAAAGAAACAGGTCGCGAAGAAACCCTCGGAAACCCCCCCAGTGAGAGAGGCCCAGCAAGAGCCAGCTGAGGAAGGTCCTGTCCCCGGTGAGGAGAGTCGAGCGTCCGAGACAAAAGCGGAGTCGGCGCAGCTGGAAGGTTCTAGACCAGCCTTCGCCCAGGAGGCACCACCGCTGGAACCGGCCACTGTGCCCAAGGCCGCCTGCCCCCTGGACTCCGAGGGTGCAGAGGGGGCTGCCCCCCCAGCTTCTGGAGGTGGCAGAGTGCAGAACTCACCCCCCGTCGGGAGGAAGGCTTTGCCTCCCGCCACAGCCCTGGAGGCGGTGGAGGTGGCCCCGTCAGAGAACGGGGGGCCAGAGGACTCCCCGGCCAAAGGGCTGTCGGTGAGGCTGGAGTTTGACTATTCTGAGGACAAGGGTAGCTGGGATAGCCAGCAGGAGAACCCCCCTCCTACCAAAAAGACAGGCAAAAAGCCAGTTGCCAAAATGCCCCTAAGGAGGCCAAAGATGAAAAAAGCGCCCGAGAAACTCGACAACACTCCTGCCTCGCCTGCCAGGTCCCCCGCCGAACCCAGTGACACCCCTATCGCCAAAGGCACCTACACCTTTGACATCGACAAGTGGGATGACCCCAACTTTAACCCTTTTTCCTCCACCTCAAAAATGCAGGAGTCTCCCAAACTGCCCCAACAACAATCGTACAGCTTTGACCCGGACGCCTGCGAGGAGTCCATGGACCCCTTTAAGACATCCTCCAAGACCCCTAGCTCACCCTCTAAGTCCCCAGCCTCCTTCGAGATCCCGGCCAGTTCCGTGGAGGCCAACGGAGCAGACGGGGACGGGCCGAACAAGCCCGCCAAGAAGAAGAAGACGCCACTGAAGACGTAAGTTCAGGGGAGCGGGCGGGGCTGCCCGGGGCGTCGGGCTTGGTCTCCTCCCTGGATGAACCCGCACTGTCCTCACCCGTCCCACCCCCCTCCCCTGCCAGGAGGGCACCCTGTTGGTGGCCGGACCCCACTCTGGCCTTACCCCACCCACCTACCCTCTTGATCTGGAGTCCGTGACCCTTATGCCCTCGTACGTCAGCGGTCTGCGGCTTTCCTTTGAGTGGAAGACCCGACCTTCGGCTCCAGGGCACCGTGTTGGGGTCCCACGGGAAGGGAGGAGTCCAGCGGAGACCCGGCCAGCCTCCCTGTTGGTCTTTTCCACTTAGCGTGTGGGTTGCTCTCTGGAGTGGCCTCGGAGCTAGGAGATACGCCTTTTAAGAGACTGTTAAAATCTGTAGTGTTTGCCCGTTTGGGGGAGTGGTCCAGGAGGCGAATGCGGTGGCAAGCTCCGGGAGGCCTGGGCCCCTCCCCGCACCCTAGCTGGCCCGGGAGAAAGACCCCTTGTCTCCCTAGCCGTCTTTTGCAGACAGGAGTCCAAGGGCCCCGTAGATCCTGGAAGGGGAAAGCTGCCCCCACGGTCCCCAGGAGGCCATTAATACGTGGATCTGGTGTCCACGAACACTGGTTAAGTAGGACACCCTGGAACACCGCGTGTCCACGCCTCCAGAACTCACCCCAGGACCCAGCCAGAACTCGGACGGCCACGAGCCCATTTTGAGGACTTTGGTCTGAGCGTGGTGTGGTTTGGGATGGGGAGCCTTTGCTCTCGTGGGAAGTGCCGTCAGTAAGGCCGTGGAGACCAGCAGGACGGACCGCAGCTGCTGGCCCCGAATCGAACCCAGTCTGCCTGGCGCTCTGCGGGTCGAGACGGGCTGACCTCCCGTCCTGGGCGCGCTCGGGCATCTAGCATTCGAGAAGAGGTTTTCTCAGCAGGCGTTGGCCTTGCACCACCCTGCAGCTGTCTGGTGGTGGGTGGGAGGCAATCCTGGCCCCAAACGGGGACGTTCAGACCAGTTACCCGACCAGACTTTTGCTAGAGACCCCATAGAATCTGTGATAGTAGCTTTATTTTAAGCCTCAAACGAGGGAAGTCTGGCATGCTCAGAATGCACAGCCACGTTCTCTCTCCTTTGGAACGAGAGCCAGATTTATGGCGCCGCCTCCTCCCCTACCCCCCACAGCCAGCATGGCCGTGCCCCGTTCTGTCCCCAGAGCCAGCTGGGGTCAGGGAAGCCGGCCCATCGCGCGGCCTCACCTCTAGCGCAGGTGGCTGGGAGTCCCACCCTGGGGGGCAAAGCTCTTTGGGCGCCCCGCGCTTTGTGGGGTGGTCAGAGGAAGGCGTCCCCCGAGAGCCCCTCTGCAGAACGTGCCCACCCCCCTCTCCCGAGCGGAGCCCCGTGCAAATGGCTGCTGCGCCCTCACCCGCTGCTAACCAGTCGTCTGCAGATTTATCTCTTTTGTCAGTGCCTTCTGTCTGCCTCTCTTTTTCTCTGTCTCCGTGTCTTAGGGTGGTTGAAGATGTGATGTCTGTGTGCTCTCTGTTGTAAGTAAACCTCACGGGGCCGCCCCTCCCGCGCGCGGCGCCCTGTCCTGCCTTTCTGTCGTTGCCTCCGAGCCGCTTCCTCCCCTCCCGCGGCGGCTGCTCACGCGGAGGGAGCCGTGGCGGGCCGGGGCGCTACGCGGCATGGGGCTGCCCGGCAGCACGGCTTGCTTTGCTTCGCTCCGTAGCGATCGGCATGCGTGAAGTGCTTGGCTGTTTAAAGCGGCATTGCGCGGCGTCTGCCTGCCTGTCACGGAATGGAGCTTTTCCCGCCTTGCACATTGGATGCCTTCATCTGAATCCCATACCTACGTTTCGTTCTGTTCTGTTTTTTTCACTCATTTCATTCTTTCGCTTTAAATGGAACCGGTGGGCGATGGCTTTCGGAGCACCATGGCTTTGCATGGAAATAACCGTCCCGTCGACCCCAGGCAGCGGTGGCCGGTGCTTGTCCTTGCTGACAGGCGACGCAGAAGTGTTGGGGCTGTTCCAAATTGAGGCCTGCGGGCGCCCCCCCGAGATTGGAGACGGCTCGGAGTGGAGCGCATGCCCATGAGAGCCGTGGCCAGGCTGCTCCGGGCCTGAGGTCTGGGCCACTCAGGGCCGGGCTGGGTACTGATCGGCCTGCCGCCTGTGGGTCGTCGGTCATCCAGCTGGGCGTCGGTGGAAACAGAGCAGACCACCTCTGTGCCTCTGCTGCTTTGTCTCCCCGGCCAGGAAGGGTCTTGTGGGCAGCTCCCAAGGACCCAGGGACAAGCAGCTCCTCTGCCCCCCTGTGCTTCCAAGGGAGGCCGGCTGGTCCCGAGCCCCCAGCGGCCCCAGGAGAGGGTGGAGTCTCTCGGGCTCTCTTCGGCCCAAGGGAGTTTAGTATTTTTAGAGCCACTTAGCAACATCAAAAATATGCAGTTAATATATTTTTATGCGTGAATAAATACATGCTCCAAGCTGAGATTGCACTGTTCATGTGGCAAATGCCATCGAGGCTGTAAAAAGCCGTTTGTAGTTTTTTGGGTTTTTTTTTTTCATGAATGCCATTGTCGGAGCGTTTTATCTGAGAGAACACGGGAAGGAACCTGAGTGCCACATTGCTCTGTCCCTCAGTTTACTGTCAGGGCAGCGGAGGGGAGAGGGACCTAAGAATAGGGGCTCCCCCTGCCCAGGCCCTGGTCATCGCTGGGGCAGGACCGTGCCACAGAGGGGCCTGAGACCGGGCGGCAGGGGCCGGTCTGCAGGTGCAGAAGCCTCCGTTCTCACCTTGGAAGGGACCCCTGACCTCCCAGTGGATTGTACGGACCCATCCATGCTAAAAGGCCCTTCCCTCTGAGCCCTTGGGGGTCTCGTCCAATGTTTCCTTGGCCTCACGCCCTCGCTGCCCCCGACTCTCCCTATGAAGGAAGGATAGGGAGGGAGAAAAGAGTCCTGAATTGTCTGTGGTTAGGACAAGATATTTTAAAAAAAGAATTTTTAAAAATCCACCTTATCCCTGAAAAGAGTCTGGAGAGTGTCAGCAGTGGGGATGTACTTCACAGCACTGAACTGTACGGTTAAAAATATTTAAGATGGTACAGTTTATGTTATGTGTATTTCTTTTTTACCAACATTTAAGAAACTCATCTCACCTCCAGCCCCAGCCTGTGGTCAGGACCCCGCCCGGAAGCCCAGAGGCCCAGGGCTCCACCCACTCAGGGTCCCTGTGAGCGGGAAGGAATCCGCCAGCTCTCCCTGGAGACCCAGAACATTCTGCCACTCTCCGCACGGCTCCGAGGGTTGTTTCTTAAGTGATGTGTCGGCCCGGCCGTCTGTAAATTGGATCCTGTTAATTGTGTCGGCACCTCTGTCCCTTCCCTCCACAGTGGGTGGCTCTGACAGTCCTGGATGGATTCCAAGACTCGTTAATCTGCTCACCCAAAACTTGCTTTTTAAAGTAAGCACAATAAGAACATCTGGTTAAATTTAGCTCCATTATCTGGGTCAGCCCTCCAAAATGGCATCCTTGGAAAGGTTTGCAGCTTGACGAATCCTCCCTTGAGGGCGACGGCAGCATCCGTCAGAGACGCCGAGGAACCGCCGGCGTGCACGCCTGCTGGTTGGCGTGGGCGCGGTGCGGGCGGCAGGGCGGGCTGGGCAGGCCAGCGGGCAGGCAGCAGAGGCGGCGGCTTCGGTCTGCTCTGTGTGCTCTGGAATGTTCTGTAGCTCCGTGTTGTGCTGACATTTTCCATTTTGTTTCCAGTGACACATTTAGGGTGAAAAAGTCGCCAAAACGGTCTCCTCTCTCTGATCCACCTTCTCAGGTATAATGTTCCCCTTGATGTCTGTGACTTGATGTCGCCCGGGGGAGTCGAGGCTGACGTGTTTACTCCCCACCGGCGTGGCCACGTGGCCAGCGCCCTCCCCTGGCCTCCTCCGTGGGGCGCCTCTTGGTGTCTGCAAGACGCCGTTGGACCCCTTCCCTGGGCGGGGAGCTCAGTACGTGTCCCGAGAGTAGGAGGCTGTTCAGGAAAAACGTCAGTGAGTCTTTCTAGAGGGCTCTGTGGGAAACCTGCCAGTCCCCTCTGGCCAGTTAATTTTCTGAAACGTGCGTGAGTGTCACGTTGAGGAAGTCTGCTGAGATAAAGGGCTACGTCGTGAGAAACACTGGGTCTGTGTGCAGAGCACTGGGCGGTAAAACCCAAGTGAGGAAGTCCATCTTTCTTCCTCCGCATCCCTAGCCCCTGCTTCCTCGGTCCGCTACCAAATATAACCCATTTCTTCTGCCCTGTTTACATACGGCCCAGGAAGACTGTCCTCGGGCGTGTATGCCCAGCCGTTCCAGGTCACAGAACAAACCTCCCACCCCCAGTCTGGGCCAGCAAAGCCCCAGCCAGCCAGCCCCAGCCAGCCCCTCGCAGGGCGGGGGCTGCAGAGAGAAGCAGCCAGCCCCAGCACAGGGGTCTTGGGCCCCAGAGCCAGCTCCGCTCTGGCATTTCTGGGCTCCCACCCCACCTTGCTCAGGTGCACGCCCTCTGTGCGGGTGGAGATAAGACCCCCTTGCTCTGTCCCCAGCGACAGGATGGTCAGATGATGGCAACGTGCAGGCCTGAAGCGCCGTGTGGCCGTAACCGAGTCGTCGTAGTAACCGCGCTGCCAGAAACAAACGTTCCCTTATTTTTCCCCGAAGTGAACGAGCAGGAACATCTCAAGTAACCAAGGCACAAAATCCCAGTTTTTTTAAAACCCATGGGCACCCCCTGAAACAAGCCACTGGCAAAGGAGATTCATAGAGGAAAGGGTTTACTTCCTCGGGATCATTTTGAGCAGAGTGTGAGGATACCCAAGGGGTTTGGACAGGGACCTGCCCTAGCCTGTGGGGGGGTGGAGGGCGGTCTCAGACGCGTGGGCAGGAGCAGTTCCGGACGCAGACCCTGGATGAGAGGAGTGACTGCTCCCCTTTTCTTCACAGGACCCCACTCCAGCGGCGACGCCAGAAACGCCGCCGGTGATCTCCGCCGTGGTCCACGCGACCGACGAGGAGAAGCTGGCGGTCACCAACCAGAAGTGGACGTGCATGACGGTGGACCTGGAGGCCGACAAACAGGACTACCCGCAGCCCTCGGACCTGTCCACCTTTGTGAACGAGACCAAGTTCAGTTCGCCCACGGAGGGTAAGCGCCCGGGCGGCCAGCCGGACCCCCACCCCGCCTCAGACACTGCCGCCCCTAGGGAGCCAAAGGCCGGGAGAGACACTCCTCAGCCAGGTAACTGTGCCGCCGGCTGCAGTCTGCCTGCGCGCTGCCGGCTAAGGCTGCATTTTGGAGTAGCCCGAGGCCTGGGAGCAGCTGTGCTGTGGCCCGGGACCGCTGCTTGGGGCTCCCCCCGGCTCCCCCTCTAACCCCCGTCCTGAGCTCACCAGGCTTTGCTCCCGTGCGGCTGTGCGGCTGTGGTCCCGCGGCGACTTTGACGCACACACGGCTCCAAGGAGCATCATTCAAGGCAGATGGTCAGTGTCGGTCCACTTCCCTGTGCCCGTCGGTGCCACTGCTGTGCATCGGCCGCACGGGGGAGTCCACAGTGCGGCCGCCCCTTCTGCCCGAGCCCCGGACCAGCGGTTCCCCCCCAGCTTGCCGGCTCGGAACGGGCCCCCCCAGACACACTGCTGATCTTACTCATGCCTTCCTTCCTCTCGTGTGAACGCACTGGCAGCCTTCTGCCTGATTCTTAGGCTGGAAAAACTCACCCGTCCTAAGTCGGAGCAACGTGCTTTGGTGAATCATTCTTAAAAATTTACTTAACTCCACTAGCACTGATTTTTCTCATTCTGTGTATTGGCTTCCACACCTGCTTTCTTGTCAGGAAAGTGGGCGGGGGAGCAATGAGAGCTTTCAGCTGAAGGGCTCACCATTTCACTGAAGGGTTAATCATTTCACGGTCTGGTGGTCCTCCACCCCCGACGCTGCGACCCTGCGACCCTGCGACCCTCCCTGCGAGGCCTGGGAGCCCAGTAGGGGGCCCCGGCTCCATCCCTCCGCACTGTCCCGATGGTTCTGAGTTTCCCCTTCCAAGAGGGTGATTTCTAACAAGTTTGAAAAATTGAATAGTTGTCCGTATGAGGACGATCAGACATGGAAACCTGTGCTTCTAAGTGTGAAGATGGAAAGATGACGCAGGTCAGGTGTCCTCGGGGTATGTTTTTTTGGCCTTGTATTTTCTGCAGACTGGGGTCTTTTGGTGAGCTCTTGGATTGGCCCTCTGGTGTAGGGTTTGGGAAGCTTAACAGGGACCCTCTCACTGCAACCTGACCCCAGAGCTGGGGCAGGGGCACCTGGCCTCCGCCTCTCTTCACTCCTGCATTTCCTCTGCACACACACCTGGGCCGTGAGCCCCGCCACTGTTCCCCAGGGACACCCCCACTCAGCTGCCTGTGCTGCTGGCCCGGGCTGGAATGCCCCTTTCCCTGTGTCCTGTGCTAGTCCTGCCCCCTCCCAGCCTCTCCCTGGGCGCCACCTTTGCTCTGCCTGCCCTGAAGCCTCGTGTGTGCTGTTCCGAGGTCACTTAGCGCCCTGATGATGATGCACGTGCCTCTCTTGCTTCCTGGCTAGATTGTGTGTTTCCTGAAGGCAAGCACGCCACCTGTGTGGTCCGTCTGTGTGTCCCCACTCTCCCCTGAACACAGTAAGGGCTAAAGGCAGCTTTGTGAGAGAAGGCAAATGCGAGGCCAGGCAGGGAAGCAGCTCAGTGGCAGCACGCTCAGCTTGGTCTTTGCAGTGGGCGCCCTTGGTGGGAGGGAGATCTGGGGTGGGGTGGGGGGTGACAGCCCAGAAGCGCAGGTGTACCGAGGCCCCCACCATGGACCTGGCCGTTTTGGTAGCACCTGTGGTTTCCTGCTGGTTCGTGTCTCTTAACGCTTGATAAGGAATATCTGTCTGTCAGAGAGCTGTTCAGAAGCCAGCCTGGGTTCGCCGTTGTGGATAAGAATCAAAAGGAATGATTTGGAGGGGGGGGTGCGCACATTTGGTTGTATCGACGGGAAACAAACACATGCATTATTTTCCTAGGAAATACACAGATGCTTATAGCTCGTTTTAAGCGAATAGGTAGGCGCCTCCTTCCGTGGTAACATCAGTTCCTTCATCATTAACGTTGCACTGAAACAGACAGCTCCCCGGCTCAGTCATTGTTTTCTGCAAAGATTCAACCAGTAGGTACATCTGCAAGTTTGGAATGAAACTTTGTTAAGGCTGGGAAGTCCCAACCACGCGGACAGCCAGCAGGCAGGAGCAAACCTGTGCTCTGTGTGAATACAGGGCACTGGCCCTCCCAGGGGGTGCCGACCCCGCATGCACCTTCCTGGAACCCCCGGCTCCCTCCAGCGCCCGGATGCGGGTGGGAGGCCTCACAGTGACTGTCTCGCTCTCACCTGACCCTAGAGGCCCAGGACCCAGGATCTCTTACTGGATCGTCCTTCCCGTTACCTGAACGAGGTCTAGGCCAGCACCCGCAGACACACCCCCGAGGGCGTGGTTGTGATACTGAGGAAGAGCCTGGACTGCGGCACTTGCACGGAAGTTGCAAACCACAGAACGACCCTTAGAAACAATAACTGTCCTTCGAACGCACAGTCAGGACTGTAGGAACCCTCAGGGCGGCGTGTGAGGCGGGAGCTGGCCCGCAGCCCTCCCTGCCAGCCCCGCCGAGTGTTGTACAGTGTAGTTTCATTGTGCCCTGCCAGCTCCCGGGAGGGGGCTGCTCGAGCTCCCCACCCAAGACCGAGGAAGCAGAGGCTCTGACCTGCTAAGACTCTCGGGGTGCCATGGGGCTGATCCATGGAGAGCCAGGCCTGCGGACACGGAGGGCCCTGCCCTGTGCCCCCACTCCTCGCGCGAGCCTCGTACGGGCTCCCCCGTGTCGTGTGTAGTGTGAGGGTGTTGCACTGTTGGGCGAGTCCCTTCCTGGGCCCACGAGAGCTGCAGGTTGGCTCACTATTTTGAAAAATCTGAGTGCAACCAGTTGAGAAGGATGTCCGGCTAATTAAAATTGCATGTTTGGGCTGTAATTACATCAGCTCACTGTGGGAACACTGATAGTCTCCCGCCGATTAAAAACTCCGATGGGCACTTACACTTTTCTCTGAGCGCTTGCTTAGTAAGTGCCCTTTTCTGGCCCGGGCTTTTGAAACAAGCCTCGTCCACGGGGTCCCTCTGCGTGCCTCCGAGACCTCTCCTCGCTCGGGCCCAAGAGATCCTGTGAGAGAAATTGTTTCAGGTTCACAGTCTGGGTGGCCCTGGACGGTCACTCAGTTCCACTGTCTCCCTTCACACACAGCCGTCAGCCCCTGCCTCCCGCCTCCCAGAGGGGTGGACGCCCCAGCCGTCCCCTGCAGAGGTTCGGGGTGACAGCAAAGGGGTTGGGAGTAGCATCCTTGTCCCCTCCCAAAGAGCTCTTTTCTTCATCACTTGGGTTAACATGCCCAGAAATGACCCTGGCCAGCGTGGCTCAGTGGATTGGGCATCATCCCACAAAGCGAAAGGTCACAGGTTTAATTCCCGGTCAGGACACATGCCTGGGTTGTGGGTTCGGTCCCCGGTCAGGGTGCGTAAGAGAGGCAACCAATCGATGTTTTCTCTCACATGGATGTTTCTCTCCCTCCTTTTCTCTCTCCCTTCCCCTGCCTCTAAAACTAAGTAAATAAAAATAATTTTAAAAATTAAGTAAAATTTCCAGAATGTTAGCGATGAGCAATAATATGCCTCATCCTAATCCGTTACGTTTGTATAACCCACAGTAGGGCTTTTATCTTGCGCTACAGAGTGGGTAAAAAGTGGGTCTACAATTGTCTGTATGGGAGATGCGTACCCTTGTGAGTACCCAAAACACAGAGTTTATTCTCGCTTTATTATTTTACTGATTGCTGTGTTATTTCCCATGTAAACGCCCGTACACCTACTTTTGTCCCGTGCTGATTTCATTTTTTTCCTGCCCGACGTACGTAGGCTGTTCGAGCCCCACTTTGCAGACACGTCAGGGGGGGTGCAGGGAAGTCGGCGAACGGACTTCCCAGGTCCCGAGAAGGGCAACCTGGACCCGGGGGCAACCTTCGGGCCCCGGCCCGGGACTCGGTCCAGCCCCCCGGCCAAGCCCCCGTGACCTGAGTCAGATGAAAGCGGCAGCCCAGCCCTCTCGCTGCGCAGGGCCCCAGAAAAAATAATGACCCTTTAGAACAGCCCTCGGGTGGGACAGGACCCATGGGTGATAGCTCCAGGCCTCTTCTCTTAGAGGCGGACACGCAGTGCCCTGTGGTGGGGCTGTCGCTCCCCTGCCTGGCCCGCCCGCCAGTGGCGTGTGCTGTGAGTGTGGCTGAAAGCGCCCCTGGCCTCTCTGGCACCCCACCTTGGAGGCCTAGCACCTAAAGCAGATGAGTGAGATTTTTGAAAACCGAGTGCAATCCAATGTTCTCTTCAAAATACACCTGATCACCTTGCTGAGAAGAAGAGGCATTTGCTTTTCTTCACATGCTGCCCAGGCCGGTTTGTAAATGATACATGACGGGAAGTGTCGGGTCACGTTCGGGAACACCTCCCGGACGGAGTCCCTCACTCGCCAGACGTGACCACCCCGGGGAGGGCATGGGCCCCTGTAACCGCGCATGTTGCAGAGGCAGATATTGCTCTGGGGGGTCGGGGACCCTCACTATTGTCCCGTCAGGTGCTGCCCCTAAAGGGAGGAACGGGGGGCACCCGGCAGTGGGAGGGAAAACCCTCCTGGCAGGTAGGAAAGGAGGCAGGTAAGTGAGCTCCCTGCCCGGAAACACGCCCGGGTCAGTTGCCAGGAAACAAGCAAAGATTCCGGGCGAGGCGCCTCGCTGTGGCGGGCTGGTCACCCGAGCCGGCCACTGACCCAAGGCCACGGGTCCCAGAGAGTGTCTGGCACATCCTGGGTGCTCTGTGCCGTGACGGGGCGTGCGAGGGTTTCTGTCCAGTGACTCAGGGGTAACTCAGGCCTCGGCCATGGCAGTGCTACCTTGGAGGAGGCAGCTGGTTCCTAATTGTTTTCTTAACTTAAGCAGTCGTCAATGGGACAATAAAATGATAGCCCTGGGGAACTGCACACAGAAAGTGATGGGTCTGGGGTGGCCTTAGAAACCCCCTGTCCTGCTCTGTCCCCCGCCTCTACCTCCTTGTGGAGGGGCACACACGTCTTCACGAAGGAACACTCCGCGTCTTCGGCCGGGTTGACGTCACAGTCACGGGCAGCGAGCTCCCGCCCAGAGCACGTGCTTGCTTGGGCTCTGGTCTCTGGTCTTCGAAAAGGACCTTTTTTATGCAAAAAAAAAATATGAAGGCCTTAGAGTTTAGGCATTGCCGCTGATACTCTTGTCCAGCAGGTTTCTGAGCAGGTCACGGGTCACCTCTCGGCTGTCTTTTTAAGGAGCAAAAAGCCATCCGGTAGCTGCCGACGGTGGCTTCCGTGAGGAGAGTCCCTTCGGGTCTTGCTCACCACGGCACCTGCTGGGCGCAGCGCCGTTTGAAGCACATGGTAGGTGCTCAGACTCCGAGTATAGGACGGGGAGTCTGAGCTGGGTTTCCACGGGGAAACGGAGGCAGGCGGCGTGATTCTAGTCTCCCGTGTGAGTGTCCACGATTTCCTTTGCAGCCCGAAGTCTCCAGGCAGTGTGAAACAGGTCACTCCTCCCTTGAATGGGACTTGTAAAGTCTGTGGACCTGAACATTTGACCTGGACCAGCCCTGTGGGCACTGGCAGAACTCTGGGGGATACCCTAGGTGACCTGCAAAGCTTCCCTGACATGCCACACGGAAGGAAGCACGTCGGTTCTTCCCCTGCTTCAGGGTGTGGCTGCAGCTGAGTTCTCGGAGCGGAACAGCTCTGGGTCCCATTCTGAGACGTCACTGGGACGTGGGAAGACCCCATGCACCGCACGCGAGACTTAGAGAACCAACACCCCGAGTGTGTGTTCACTCTGATCTGAAAACTTGGTGCATGGTGCTCACATTTGTCCCCATCAAACCTGGGCTTGGTCATGACATTTAGTTCCCTTGGAATTCTCTCAAGCGGCAGGAGACCCTTTCTGGGAAGAGGTTTACCAGTTGTCTGAAGGTAGCCAGGGTGAGCCTCCCCTTCGACTGTGCTGGAAATCACTAGTCCATGGACATGCGCAAAAGCTGAGACTCTTGTTCCGGGCCCCACCCCGCCCAGCTCAAAGCTCTCCATGTTTTTCTCTGGCGCTAACATCTCTCCTTTTGTTCCTTCTGCAGAGCTGGACTACAGGAACTCCTATGAAATTGAATACATGGAGAAAATTGGCTCCTCCTTACCTGTAAGTTTTCCTCCTTCCAGCCAATCAGGGCACTGGCTTTCCCATCCTGTCCTTTCATCGTGAAAACACAGCAGGGGCCTCCTCCTGTGTGCAAAGCATCCCCAGAAACTGAGACCTCAAATGCAGGGCCCCCAGTGCCTGCTGCATCCTGGGGGCACCGTGAGAGTGAGAACTGGGGCTGGGAATCTGAGGGTTGTACCCAGGCCACCTCAGATGACATTTTCAGGGAGAAAATGATAGAACGCGGTTAGCCTTCCTACAGAACAACTTCCCTAGCCTGACAAAGTACTAATCAGAGGTTTCTTTTAAACAGGAGGTTTTTAAGGTGGACCGTTTTCTGGGGTCTTCTCATCAGTTGCGTTATGTGACGGAAGATTGTCTCTTCCTGTGACACCCCCTCCCTCTGTATTTTCAGTGGTTATGATGGGCAGCTGTCTCTGTGGCCTCATATCTGTTGCCACGGAGCATTTGGTCCCACGCATGACCTCTGCACTGTGCTGCTGCCAGGGATACCCTTAGAGGTCTGGGGGTGCCGTGACACCGAGTGGCCCACGTGTGTCCCTCTTCGTCTTTCTTGCATGGTTGTCAATGCTGGGCTGCCGCCTCTAAACTGCAGCTGGAGGTCAGCCAGCCACAATAGCGGCACTCATCACGCTGGGTCGTCATGCTCCTCCCGCCTCACAACTGTGGGCAATGCCCAGACTGGGCTTTTGCCGGCCCCTCTGTTTAACCTCAGTGGCCAGCACCGTTCCCTGCCCCAACCCGCCCCACCCCGCCCCGTAGAGAACGTGACCAACGATGCTGTGAAAACCCTTCTCCCCTCGAAAACATTCCCAGCCACACGCAGTTGCTCTCTGTCTGCCCCCCTCCTCTGGCTTAAGCAAAACAAAGGCTTTTCTCTGATGAGCTGTGTTCCTATCGAGAGCGCTCTGGTGACGTCTCTGCAGCTTGTCCCGGCCAGTGGGAGCCGAGCTGACCTGTGCATTTTCACCCCCTACAGCAGGACGATGACGCCCCCAAGAAACCGGCCTTGTACCTTATGTTCGACACGTCTCAGGAGAGCCCGGTCAAGTCTCCCCCCGTCCAGATGTCGGAGTCCCCGACGCCATGTTCAGGGTACGACAGCTGTGATAAGAGGGTCACAGGGCAGGCCAGGGTCCCCCAGCCTCTGAGTGCGCTGGCACTGCTGTCCTGACGTCGTCTCCTTGGCGTGTGTCCGGGCAGCTGACTGTCCACCCAGACGTAAATGCAGTGGGTTCGTTACTGGCCACCCTTTGGACTAAGGCGAAATCCTTTCACAGCTGAATGTGCTTGCCTCTCCCATCGCCCCCCAGGGCACACACAACTTCGTTCTGTCATTTGTCCCCTGGGGAGGCAGTGAGCTGCAGCGCTCGGAGCCCGTGTGCCACCCCGGCCCTTGCTGGGCGTGTGATCGGACGCAAGCCACTCGACGCCCCTCGTGCTGCGTTGCCTTGTGCGTGAAGCGGGGGTGCCAGTACCACGGGCCCCGTCGGGGTCAGACGAAGATCAAACGAGGCTTTCCGCCTCGCAGGCATCCCCCACGGTGGGGCAGCTGCCCTCCAGCGCCATCGGGAGGGACACGCCGAGGGGCGCTAAGGAAAGCAGTTGCCGTGGGGCCTGGAACACACAAAGCGCCCCATAAACGCTGATTATCCATATCGACATGAATACTAGCGTTCGACGGGGTTCGGTTCTGAGCTGTGTGCTGCTGGACAGGGTACGGGTTGGGCATCGTTGTAGGGCTGGGACCCTCCCGTGGTCTCCTGCCTGCCCCTTTCCCCGGGCAGGAACAAAAGCTGTGGCTTTGACCTCCCGGACTCACCGTAGAGTCTGCCAGGCGTGGCGAGGTTACTGCTGCTGCTGCTGTTGTTACAACAGTGGCGCCACGTGATAGGCCCAGCGTTAAGTGCTTTACCTGCAGGTGGCACCTGACATGCAGGTGACCTTCACAGAGAGGTGTAGTGCCTCCGTCTTGCAGAAGTGGAGACATAGGACCCGGTCACCTCCACCCGGGGGTACACACCCAAGCGGCTGGCAGTCTGCTCGACTCCACAGCTCCTGCCTCTTAGCCAGTGACGTCTGTGCTTCTGACCTGCCCTTGTCAGCGGGCCCTGGCATGGGGCTGGGCCACCCCCCCCCTCGGGGTGCCCAGCCTGCAGGCCCCAGCCACCCAAGACCTACGCCCTTTCCCTCTGGGAGCGCAGCCCTGGCAGTCCGGGCCCTTGGGATGTTCACTGGGGCGGGGCATCCAGGCCTGTTTCCATGGGATTTCCAGCGAGAGTGCTAAAGATGTGCTTTGCCTCCTCCTCAGGTCAAGTTTTGAGGAGACTGAAGCCCTTGTGAACGCTGGGGCAAAGATCCCCCATCCCGTCGCACGAGGGCTGGCCCCCAACCAAGAGCCACACTTGCAGGGGCCAGAGAAACCCTCCCAGAAGGAGCTGGAGGCCATGGCCCTGGGCACCGCTTCAGACACCATCGAAATTGTAAGTGAGGTCAGAGGGTCCTGAGATCCCTGGGGTGGAGGCCAGGGCCGACTGGATCCCACCACCAAGGGGCCAGGTACTCACCTGGTGCCTGGCATGGGCCCCACCCCACCCCCTGGCCCACAGAAGCCAGCCTCGGGGACCCCTACCATAATGAGGAAGGGCTTTCTGTTCTTACGCACGCGGTTGTGGAATGATCACCCAAGTGTTTTGATTGCCTTCGGGGCTATTTATTTTCCCCTGGTAGCCCTTTAGGATTGCTCTGGGATTGTCCTCAGTCTGTACCTGCTTCTCAGGGGCAGACAGTGGCAGCGCAGGAGACGCTCTCCTTTCTGTGATTTTTCTGGTCCTCGGTGACGGGAAACCCCTCGTGTCTTGTAGACAGAGACTTATGCCTCTTGCCTCTGGGCACATCGGCCGAGCCGAAGCCACTCCCATGTCCCCCTCCTTGTCTATTTAACACGGACCCCCCTTCTAGGCGAATCTTATGTGTGTTCCTGTCACCTCCCTCCTAGCAGTCTCCAAGGGGGTTCAAAGCTGTTGGTTGAGCGTGTTTATCCTTTGTTCCATATTAGTAAATGAATTCCTAATGCGTGCATCGAATATCTATTGAGCACCTACTATGTGTCTGGCAGCTGGATAGCGGGAAACTATGAGCAAAAAGAGTCTACATAGAACTCAAATAATCTCGCAAGTAGATCGCTGTGGAGGGTGCACCTACAAAGCTGGCTTCTGATTTTGAAGTCTTTTGAAATTCTCTTTTCATTGTTTAGAAAATGACCTTGGCCAAAACCTTACTTTCTTTGATGTTTATCCTGGGAGGTATTTTTTCAAAGAATTATGTCATGTTTGGAAAACCCATCAAATAGCTTGTCCCCTGCCCACCGAGATTTTCCAATAAATAAGCGAATGGTGCCATTCCCCCCACCCACCAGTTAGGGAGCTGGGGGTGGGGTGGGGGGCGGGGAGGTTCCTCAGGCAGCATTTGGGGAGGGGGCGGGGCCTGCCACTCTCAAGGGGCCCATGGTCAGCCTGTGGGACCCAGTCCAGAGGAAATGAGCAGTACTAGGCAGGCCCTGACTGACCCTCTCTTTAGCCTGAAGGCAGAAATGTCCAGCAAATAGATGCGTGGTCCTTGCTTGGAATCGATGACACTCTGCTCTCCTGTCTTTCTCCTCTGTCCCCCCCGCCGGCCTCCAGACAGCTCCGGAGGGTGCCTTTGCCTCTGCTGACGCCCTCCTCAGCAGGCTGGCGCACCCGGCCTCCCTCTGTGGTGCGCTGGACTATCTGGAACCTGACTTAGCAGAAAAGAACCCCCCACTCTTTGCTCAGAAACTCCAGGTTTGTAGCCCACGTGTGAGCTTTGGGGAGTTTGTCAAAACCTCAGTAGAGAATGAACCTCTGCACCCCAAAGGCCATTGGAAAGGATGGGTTTCAGGAAGCATTGCGGAGCATGTTCCGCATGAAATGTCTCCCCCCCACCCCCAAGACTGACGTGTGTGGTGTTCTGTTCCCACGACACCACACACAGCGCTATAAATTGTGTGATTACATGTGGGCCCGACCATTGTATTTCAATTTGGAACCGGGGCCCGGTCATTTTTCAGAAGTTCTGATAGCCCCGAAAGCAGTTTGCGTGATTTATTCACGGAAACGAGGGTCTTGGATCGTCACGGAGCCGAGCTATTTACACAGACTCGGCTCTCCGACTCCCGCCGAGACCGCATCTGGACTCGGTCCCGCATCTGGAGCCGAGCCCGTGACCTGCTCGGTGCTTTAAACTCGACAGCTTAATCCGATGCCCTCGAGATGGGGTTCGGAGCAGGCCTAGAGAGATTGCTAACTGTTGCTCGGGAGACATGAGTCCGTTCGAGGACATTGTTTGCCAGCTTTGTGCTAAATGAGCAAAAGGAAAGACATCAGAGGAAAGAGCACAGTAACAATTCTTACTGCATTTTAAAAAAATCAGGTCACATTTGAATGCACACTATTTCCTGATAGACGTTCCAAAGGGTGACTTAAAAAAAAAAAAGAGAGAGAGAGAGGGAAAATGAAACACATGCTTCATGATCTGCTGAGGTGGTCACTGTGAAAGGGAGCCCGAGCGTGTGTTCGCCTGAGTACCTGTCATGACGCATTCACGAGACACTGTCATGTCGTGGATGTGGACACATTTATGTCCTGTCTTGGTGCGTCTCCCCCCGCGGCTCACGCCCCCCCGCCCCCCCACCCCCCCCCCGCCTCACCCCCACCCCCGCCCCGGCAGGAGGAGCTAGAGTTTGCCATCATGCGGATAGAAGCGCTGAAGCTGGCCAGGCAGATCGCCCTGGCCTCCCGCGGCCGCCCCGACGCCAAGGTACCTGCCGGTTTGCCACGAGGCGCCCCGCCTCTCGAGAATGGTGTGCGGTGCGGACGCTTCTCTGCTAACCCTCGGCCGGGCCGGCGTTGTTGGTGTTCGACCACGTCTAATTCCGCAAACAGCCGAAAGCGTAACGCCTGCCTAAATGCGCACCGAGCACGTGTCTGAGACCCCCTCTAACCCGGGACCGAGGGAGCCGGCAGGGAGGGCAGAGCCGGCCGCATGGAAGCAAACAGGAGGGGGCGAGGCACAGTCAGTGCGGTCACGGGGGTGGGGGGAGGAGGGTGAGAGGCGAGAGGACGTACAGTGAGGTGAGAGGTCCGGCTGGCTCCGGCGAGCTGCGCAGAACCACCAGATCACCACCACCGTGGAGGTCTTGTCTTATTTCTAAAATTGGTTTCTCATCGGAACCAAGACGATTTGTAGCTCTTCTGTTTTCTACAAGTTACTCTCTCCTTGTGCTGAGCCTGGGCTCCGGTTCGGAGTCAGTATTAAGGGACAGCAAGGCCGTCCCGAGACGTCCGACGGCCCTTCGGCCAGGGTCCGGAGGGTCACAGAAAAGCCGTCCCTCTCCTCGGAGGGCAGGTGGCAAGTGCTGTAGGCTCCGTGGGCCATGCAGTCTGTGCAGCTCTGCACCCGCGCTCGGGAGCGGCCGCGGGCGGCGCGTTGACGGGTGGCTGTGGCGGGCCGAGCGAGACCCTGTGCACACCGGCGGGCGGGCGGCCGGCCGGCTGCCGGCGGTGCATCGCGGTCTGCCAGACCCCGCTCTGCAGTGGCGAGTGTTCTCGACAGGGCATGCCACAATCTTCTGCCTGGCTTCCAAGTGTGGGGTGTTTGTTTTTTTTAACAGTTTGAATGGGTTGCTAAAGACTCGCAAAGCGGCATGTGGCTCTGCAAGGCTGAGCCCACCCCAAGCTGAGTGGCCCCGGGAACCTGGTGTGTCAGACCAGAGCTGGACCGCGGCCCGCGCTGTGGCCCTGCATGACCCTGGGGGACCTCTCTGAGCCTCGGCTGCTCCGCCTGTGAGATGCACACCTGTGAGACGTGACTGGCCACAGCCAGCCCACAGGTTGCTGTGAGCACCATAGGTGATGTGCAGAGCAGCACTGTGCCTGGCACACAGTAGGTGTGCGATAGAGGAGAGCTGCTGCTGTGAGCTCACCTGCACTTTCTCGTCTGTTACCTGATCAGACAGACGCTCGCAGCACCCCTCCTAAGTAGGTGGGTCTGAGTCCCATGTCACCGAGGGGGAAGGGAGCCACGGCACCAGCCCGAGGCCTGGCAGTGACTTGCCGGCCTGGCAGGACCCGGAGCTCAGACTTCCAGACAGGGCGCCTCGCCCATCCAAGCAGCAGCTCCCCCGGCAGAGGGGTCAGCGGTCTCGCCCGTCCCTCGTCCTCGTACAGGGTCAGGGGTTCGTCTGCCGCTTGTACCCGGAGCACCCACTGGTGGTTTCCCTGGAGCTGGGGGTGAGGGGGCGCAGAGACACCTTTTAGTGAAAGAAGGGGTCACCCTGGGTGTCCAGAATGGACACGGTGGGACAGAGGGCAGGGACAAGAGTATAAAATAGATTGCTGATGTCCTTGCTCTTGTGGCCAACCCATAAACTTGGGTTTAATTCCCATGCACTTGAGAACTTTAGAAAGCATTAAGCGGTGAGCATTTTCCCCCGTGAGATTTATTGCTTGATGTCCTTGGGTAGTGGCTTAAAGGCAGAATACTACAAATACGGTGCATTCCTGTTCCGGAGTCTGAGGCAGAATTGAGAATATTCTAATGAGTAGTTCAGACGGGGTAGCAAACGTCCTGGGGTGCCTGGTGCCCCCGCCTCCCCCCTCGAAGGCCACATCGGAGATGGCAGTCCGCAAGCACTGGCCAGCAGCTGACTGCCTGCCAGTCACAGCCTGTCCTCAGACCATGTGCCCCGGTTTTGATCTAGAAGACACTGCGGCGTGACTGTACCGAGCATGGGTGGGAGAGACAGCCCCAGCTTCCCTACCTCCGCGTGTGTTTCAGAAGGGCGTGCTCAGAGAAACATCCCGTGGGTGGCGGGGGGGGGGGGGTGTCTGGGAGTGGAAGGGACATTTTTTTCTGCCGTAGTAACTTGCACTGCTTTTGTAAGAAGCATATTGTCGCGTGGCCTTGGGCCAGGGGAAGTAGGTGCCATTTCCCGACCCACCCAAAGGTGAGAGCCCTTTACCTGAACCCACTTCCGTTCCTAGGGGTTTCTGGTCACGGGTGCCCGACGGCCCCTCCCGGCACTGGGAACCGCCGACGTAGGGACACAGCGGCTGCCGTGGGTCTGATTTGCTGTTATCTCTGCCCGTCTATTTCAGTGCCGGTGACATCGCGGGTCTTTCTGGTGGTATGGCCTTGCGTTGTTGACAATGCAAGAATGAAACCACTTGGAACAAAGGAACCACACTGAGGGCATGAAAGAGAAGGGGGATATGTGGGTGTCCCTCCAAGCAGCTTAAGTTTATGTTTCCCTCTAGGTGGGCAGCTGGTCTCCCCAGCCTTGGGCGGCCACAGTAAGGTTCCTCCTGAGGGTCTGGGGTGTCCGACTGTGGCTCCTTAGTGCCATCCATCCACATGATTCTGGCCAAATCGAATTCAGTTTTGTCCTGGGAGCAAATCTGACAAGGGGCATGGCTGTGTGGTATGGCAGCCCTGAGTTTCACCTAAACTCAGGGAGTTTAGACGGAACCTAAAAGTCCCATCTGTGTGGCTTTCCAAGGGGCGCACAGGGCAGGGAGTGGGGGAGTACTTTAATTTGTGTGTGTAGCAGACATTGGTGACGATCCCTAAAACCGTTGGCCCCTCTGGATGAAGGGGTCGAGACACAGAGAAGGAAGGGTGTGTCTGGGTAATCTGGGGACAGGCATTCACGAGTGGCCAGCGTCAGCACTGGGGGAAGTCCTAGAAACAGGCAGTGTTGTGAGGGAAAAGACGGTAATCCTCCGTGCCGGAACCCTCCAGAAGGCCTGGCCTATCGAGGCGGACGCCTGGACTTTATGTCGTTGAAGAGTTAGGTCAGGGGCCACCTGTCCTGCTGGTGAGTGGCTGGACCTCTCCCCTTGTGTCTGGAAACTACCCACCATCCCCAACGCTGAGCAGCATGCGGCCTGAAAGCCACGGGAACAGGCTGCAGAGCGGTGACAGAGGGTTGGCACGCGGGTCCCAGCTTCCCGCGGGTTCCGAGGAGGTGTGGTTGTCACCTGCAGTGCGTGTCAAGGAGGATGGGGGCCATGTGTGTGTGGACTCGGGAGTGTCTGGCAGCGCCTGGCAGTGGCTCCCACGGGAGGGCCTTCCTCATTTTGTCAGGGTTGGGTGGGGCGGCCCTGGGGCGAGGCCACTCTCCTGCCCAGCCTGGCGCAGTGTGGCCTGGACACCCCCAAGCACCTAGCCTGTGTCCACGCTCCATGCCCTTGGCCCAGCTTGCTGTGGTCTCCCTGCCTGATTTCTCCTCCTGCTCCCCACCCCAGTGCCTTCCTCCCCTGCTGCTCGGCCAGCCTGGCTCCTGGGGACAGAGAACCTGCCTTGGTCCCAGAGGTGGCAGCTTGTCCCTGAGGCTCGGCACCAGGGAACTGGCCACAGGGGGACTGAGTCCGGGTGAGTGGCCGGGCCCCCGGCCCCTGACTGCAAGGCTAGAAGGACCCCAGGCGTGAGGTCTGCAGATCTGACCGCAGTGACTGTGCCCGCAGGGAGCACGATTGGAGGGCACGGGTGGAGGGGTTGGGAGTCGGTGCCATAGGCTCGTGACCTCTGAGCCACGGCCGTGTCACACGACGTTAATTTGTGATTCTAGTAGCTTTTCGGCTCCTCTAAAGCAGCATGCGGAGGGTTATATAAGAAAAACCAAGCTTAATGTAAATCTGATCTTAAAATATCAGTGGGAGACAAACCTATTACTTTCGGCTAAAAACAGGTCTTGGTTGTGAGAGAAAAGCAGGGTGCGTACCTCGAATTTCACTCACACAGACACTCAGGTAGCGACTCCAACGGGATTCTGGCGTCATCCGCTCCTTCACTGAAAACACCAGGTGGCCAAGGTGAAGAGGGACACGGCGTCACGGCAGTGGGCAGCAACCTTCTGTGTTTCCTGGGAGAGCTCATTGTTTTTCTCCTTTTTCATTCTCTCCCTTGCTTTGCAAAGGCAGCCTGGGGATCATTAATTCCCGCGTTGGTCAGCTTTCGTTTCTGCCCAGCACGACACAGTTAGCTGTAATGCACTTCCTCTTGCACTTCCGAGGGCTGGTGGATCCTGGGTCAGGACTTGAATCTCCGTCTGGGAAACCTCGGCCAAATCTCTCCATCCTCCATTTTTTTTTTCATCTGCAGTGGAAGGACCGGGATTTCCATTTTGAAAGTTTAACTATTCTGGTTTTTTTTTTCAAAGAACACATTATTTTACTTAAAAAGTGATGGGAACCGTTTTTACTCCTCTTTGGAATTTTGTGTTTATGAACTTTATCCACAAACACAGACGACGATGAGTCTTGATGTGGAGGCGTAATTTTCCACTTGCTTCCGGAGAAGTTTCTCGCAGGGAGAACTTTTAAAATACTTAAAGCGGCCAAGATTTTCCTGTGCACAGGACCGGAGAGGCTCTGCCCCGGCCGGCGACTTTTTTCCGAGAGGCCAGCCCGCCTGCTCCTGAGGGCTGTGCACCTACCTGTGTTCTGGTCCAGCGCCCTGTCCCGGGCTTGTCTAGGACCCGAGGCTGAAAAGCTCTCGGTGTCCCGTTTGAGACGGGAGCGTGTCTCCAGGGTCTGGTTGGACGAGAACCGTGCGCTCCCCTCTCTGACCGGCCGTTGCCACCATTCGGGTCCCAGCGCGCAAGGCCAGGCAGGGGCAGTGAAACCCGAGGACAGGGCTCCCTTCCAGGATGGCCTGGACCGTTGAGTTCACCACGCATGCGCACGACTAACCGGCCCTAACTCACCCGGGCACCTCCAGTCCTATCCATTCAACTTCCGCCCCAGTTCCCTTGGCCGTCTCAGGGTCACTTTCCCGGATACGGTGGTGGGGGGGGCACGCCTGTTCCCGTGACCAGGGACAGAAATTCTGCTCAGATGCCTTCGGGTGCACCCCCTTCCTGGTGCCTGTTGGTTCTTTAATCTTACCTGCTGCCATTTACAAGATGAGTCCGCACTGTTCTTCCCCCAAATCTCTGTCTGTCTACCACGCCACAGGGCTCTGTTCACTGCTCGCTTTTTCCCGTAAATTCCCGAGGAAGAAGCAGTCAGCCCACCGTGCCTGCCAGACCACCGCCGCGTAGCATGGCACGGGACGCTCGTAACCAGGGCGGAGGTTGGCCTCGGCAGCCACGGCGGCCGGGAGGTTGATGAATAGGACTGAGAGGTCGACGGGTTGGGCGCTCCTGGTGCCGTGGAACTGGACTGACTGACTCCCGGGCTGTGCTGGGTGGGGATGCTCCTAACACCGCATTGCCAGCGTGTTGGCGACTGCTGATCGTTTTGTGCGAAGGGTGGGGGGGGGGGGGGAACCGCAGACCTCCCCCCCTGTTGAGGGAGCACCGTCAATCCGGGATCAGTTAGAGGGCGCGGGGAACGTCACCGCTTGTGGACCGCCTCGTCCGCAAAGGTGGATATTGCCCTCGATCTGGGTTTCGGTTTCCCCGAGGACACAACGGGCCGAAGGCCACGTAGCCCCGACTGAACCCTTGCCTTCGGGCAGCCGGGAACTAGCCTGTGGAAGGTGATGGGGGTTGGCAGCTCCGGTAGGCCTGAAACTCTGTGTGAGCCGTGTCCTCTCCGACGGAGCTCGCCGCATGCCCCGCCCCCTGGATTGGCACACAGTGGACCGTCTTATAAAAATGATCGGCTCTGCCGTCACTGGAGACTAGCTAGGCGAGCGCAGGCTGGGATTCCCCGTCACTCACGTCAGGTTTTTGTTTGGCAAGGGGCGCCTGCAGGAGAACAGGACCTCAGTTCTTACGCGCTGTGCCTAAATGCCTCGGCGGCTGATAAATGGCAGTGATAAGCGGGCACCAGACACGCTGGACCCCGAGGGCTGGGCGCGGGGGAGGCCTCCGCCATCGGCCCCTTTGTCCGCCTGCCCAGGTGCAGAATGATCGATTTCCATAGACTGTGTCCGCCATCCCCCCATCCATTAGTCCCAGCATTTTCTCATACTTTGGATGTTCTCTGTTTCCAAACCATACAACTGACCCATTCACGAGAGGATGAATGCAGTCCTCTTTGTCATAGGACGGAGGGTAACTTTTTTTTTTTTTAATTAAAACCCACTCCGCAGAGAGAAGCTGCTCACCCGCCAGACGTCCCCATCTCCAAAACAGCCTTGTACTCCCGCATCGGGACCGCCGAGGTGGAGAAGCCTGCGGGCCTCCTGTTCCAGCCGCCCGACCTGGACGCCGCCCTGCAGGTCGCCAGAGCAGAGGTACGGCGGCGTGAGTGTGGCCCGGGTGCGGCCGAGGCCAGCTCGGGCTGCCCGGGGAAAGGCTCCCGTGTCTGCCACATGTAAATAAATACACATACCCCCGTCCATCTTTGGACACTGACGTTCTCCTGTGACCCCCACTGGCGTGGACAGGCGGCAAACTGTGGGTTTTGACCTTCTGGGCACAACTGTTGAACGAGCGTCTATGGTCTTTCTTGATTTATAACAAAAGGCACGTGCCTTTTAGTTGCAGCCCAGTGGGCGCTGTGAAGGCCTGAGGTCTGGCTTGTTTGTCTCTTGTGCTCCGTGAAGTTCTCTGAATGCAATTATTATTGGATGTAGGAGACATTAACCCCACATTTGCCTCCTGTCTCCTTGTCTCGGTCGGTGAATCACTCAGATCTGAATTCACTCACTGGGGGCTAACCTTTCTCGTCTTCTCTCTGGGGCCAGATCCTAACCAAGGAGAGAGAGGTGTCCGAGTGGAAGGAGAAATACGAAGAAAGCCGGCGGGAAGTGATGGAGATGAGGTCAGTGTGGCGCTCGGGCCCCCGTCCCCGTGGTTTGGTCACAGGTGGAGCTGGTGTGGCCCACGAATAGTGTCTTCTGTAGAAGTGATCTGCCCTGTTTCACCAAGGCTCACATTTTTCACGAAAGTGTTTTTACCGTTCTACTTGTGATTAAAGTCACAAGGGTGTGGGTTAAATACTGCAGTAAGTGTACACACCGTCAAAAAACAAATCTCTTTCCCCACCGGCCTCCAGCCCCGCACCCCTCAGGCATCTGCTGGGCACCATTTCTGGCGACTTCTTCCCAGATTGTTCCATTTCTCGTGGCAAATGTGCACATTACCCACAGAGGCTCCTTTTTTTCTTCAAAAGTGGAGCTATCTGTGATTCTACACTCCTTTGTAACTTAGCATACCTGGGACAGTTTTGCCGCATCTCCACCTCATTGTTTTAACTATTGCTCAGTAGTCCTCATGCGGTTATAACATAGCCAATTTCACTAGTCTCCATGGATAAACACTTAGGTTCTCTCCCAAATTTCATTTGAAGGATTTATTTTCAGTTGCTGCTTTTTAACAGGCGTGGGATAGCTGCTGTGTTAATATGCGTGTTGGTACCATGTTAGATAGTATCTCCTGCCACGTGCCAGGCGTCGCCCAGGCTGCACGGTCTCTGCATCTTCCCCCCAGCCCTCAAGAAGGACGGTCAGCTCTGTTTGATGGCAGGAGGCTCAGCGAGGTCAGGCGGCTTGCCCACGGTCCTGGAGCTTCTTGTTAGAAGAACATGAGTCTGAATTCACCTTTCTGACCGCAAACCCCAGACTCTTTCTCCTGTACCCATCACCGGCCTACCTGCCTTGTTCTCGTGTCCGCTGCCCCTTGTCCCCTTTATTTCCTTCCTGCATTTCTCGTCGTCTTGGAAACCGAGAAACCGTCTGTGGGGCTAGCATTTCCCCTGGGATGTCCTGGCCTAGGAAGCACGGTGCACGTTTTCTCCCCTGCCTTCCTTCCGCTCCGGCTGGGTCGCCTCTTGGGTGTTCCGGCTGCAAGAGAAGGCAGGGATAACAGCACGGTCCCTGTTACAAGGCGGGTCTGTGCTGCGCTGAAAATCCGTGGTAGGGTTCCTTCCTCCTCCAAGTTGGGAGTCAAGGAATGGATGAACGTTTAGAAATTAGTTGGAGAATTTGTACGTTCATAGGGCATCTCACTGAGACAGCAGGGGTTCATTTATTATCAAAATCAATTGCATATTGAGTAGCAAGTAAACTGGGTAATCATACCCCGTTTCCTAGGTCAAGTACCGTATTCTTTGGACTATAAGACGCACCCCTGCCCCCCAATTTGGGAGGAATAATGGTGGTTAATGCTGCCGTTGAGTTCTGTTTGCATTTACATTGGTGAAATATTATGTTATTCAATATTTCACCACATTCTTTGCTTCAAAGTTTTTTTTTCCTATTTTCCTCCTCTAAAACCTAGGTGTATCTTATGGTCCAAAAATACGGTAATACCTTCCAAAAAATTCTGTGAGTTCGTTCTTTCGGCCGAGGCCCTCGGGACCACTCCTGGAGGTTTACGTGACTGTGCTAGTTCACGTTCAGACGGAGGCCCTGTGGGTGCATTCTTTTTCATCACTTTCTTCTTCTTTTGGGGGGGGGGGCAGGAGGGTAGTGGGGAGGGGACAGGTAGCTTTAGTTCTCTGCCTGCCCTGAAATGAGGCAGAGAACACAGGGCAGGCTGGGAGCTCCCCAACACCTTTCCTCTCCCGGGGGAGTTATACCCATAGGTACCTCCCGGTGTGATAGGATTTCGCGTGTCCCCCGCCGGCGCCGCCGCGCTGGTGTCTGATGGCCCAGGGCCGGCCCCGTCCCCCTGGGGACCCAGACCAGGTGGAAATCGGGCTCTGCTCCCTCCCTGCCTCCGGGCCTGTGCCGTGACTCTGCCTCACTTCCATCATCTGTGAAAGGGGGCAAGTCCCAGCCCCTGGAGGCAAAGGCTGCCGAACCCGACGCCTGGGCTTGGACCCTGGCTCTGCCACTTGGTCGTGCTGTGCTCCTGCAGAGGTTCCCGCGGGGTGCTGTGCCTCCGCACCCCTGTCAGCAACTCTGGGGTCACGGAGGGCACGACCTCGTGGGGTCACTGTGAGGATGAGGCAAAAGTACAGCACAGCTGAGCAGCGTCAGGTCCTTGGTCCCCCCCCCCCAGCGGTTCTGAGAGGACACGTCCCTCTCCTGCCGCGGGCCACCCTGTGTCCTCAGGGGTCATAGTTGCAACAAGACAGCTGCGGAGATTCATCACCAGTTTCTGGTTCTCGGATGCAAGGAGGTGTCATTTCACCAGAGAAAACATAGAAGAGAGGCTTCTGGGTAGGGTGAGGAAGAGCCCAAGTGGGCTCCTGTCACGGTCACCCTTCTTGTTGTGGGTCTGCCCCGGGGGGAGGCGCCGGCCCAGGGGCCTCGGTCGGAAAGCCAAGGGCAGACCCACAGCAGCTGCGAGACCTTTGCAGACGGCCCTCTGCTTTTCTGGTCCCTTGTAACCTCGTTTAATTCCCCACAGCCCTGCAATTCCAAATGGAGGCTCCTGCTCCCTGTGCTGGGGACGAAGCGGAGCCCCCAGGGCCTGTGACTGGCTAGTCTGAGTCACACAGCTGCGGGGGAGGGTCGGCTGGAACCCGGGCCCTGGGTCTGTGGGTGGTCAGCAGCCCCTGGCTCCCCGTGGAGAATAATTATTGGATAATGTAGGTGGAACCCCCAAGTCTTTTTCAAGAGGCTCCTTCTGGAAGGTTGACTTGGGAGGAGGGGATCCTTCACTCCCGGATCCTCCCACCTGTGGGCTGCAGTGAGGTGGTCTTACACGCAAGGGACCTTAGTGTTTTTTTCCTAGCTTCTGTTTATCACTACTATCCAAGAAGTGCTACTCTTTCCTCTGCCTGCCCCTCCCCACCAAACACAGGTGACTAAGAAATGTCTGTGGGCCTTGAGGAGCTCCCACTCTCATGCCATGATTCTTCCACTTGTATTCTATGCAATGCTGGAAGAAGAGTCAGATAAAATGTTAGGGAGCTTGAAGGAGAAATCGGGGAAGGCTTCCTGGAAGAGGAAGCATTTGCATTGGGGGCCTTGAGAAACGAAGAGACTGTGAAAGGTGCAAATAGAGGAGGGACATGGATAACACGGGCAAGGGCACGGAGGTGGGAAAGTCCAGAGCAAACAAGAGATCATTCCTTCTCCGCTGTGTTCATGAGACGGCGTGGCGGGAGGTGAGGCTGATGAGGAAGAGTGGGCCTGGGCTGTGGAAGGCTGCATGGTCAGGCTACAGGTTTGGCTTTATTTTTTCCTTAGTAGGTAGTGGGGGGACAGTGAAGGTTTTGCATAGGAAGTGGCGTGTCCAGAGCTGTGCGCTAGGAAAAGGCACCTACCTGGGTGTGCAAGGAGAGGGCTGAGGTCAGAGGTGGCCCTGGGGGTGTGAGCCACCCAGGACAGATAAGACTTGTCCTCTGGAGCTGACATGGGTCAGGCTGCTGACGCCTGGCACGCGGGCCCCCTGGGAAATCAAAGGCCGTTCTGTTGTCACGGTCCCAACGCATTTTCGCTTCTCTTACAGGAAAATAGTGGCCGAGTACGAGAAGACCATCGCTCAGATGATAGGTGGGTGCCGTGCCTGGCAGGGCTCAGGCCTGCCCTGAGGTTTCCAGACTACGGGGAGGGCTTTGAAGGTGGAGACTCCGATCGGGCCCCCTTACACGCCCGTCAGACCCCGCGGTCCTTGCCCCAGGGCGGAGAGCCGGGGCCCCCCAGGAAACACCTGCTCGGATGTCCCTCACCATTATTCGTGCCTGTGGGAAACCCCGACGGCCACCTCAGTGGCCACCATTTGACCCGGCCAGGGCTGCCCACCCGCTGGGGAAAGGGATGGGGGCTGGTTCCTGGGACGTCTGGGGCCTGTTTGCTCATTGGAGAAACCAGCAGTCAAACCCCTGAACCCTGAAAAGTAGTTTAGACGTAAGTGACAAAATACCCACTCGGCCTGTTCACACAGGGGTCTCGGACAAGGGCAGCAGAGCTGCGGCCGTCCAGCCGCCCGCCCCTGCTTCCCCTGCGACGCAGCAGACCCTGTGACCTGATCCCAGGCGCCACCCTCTCGCTGAGCTGGGGCACACGGCTCAGAGTCCGTCTCAACAGGCCTCGTGGCGGCCAGGGCCTTTTTAAATAATGAATGAGAAAAGATCTTGCAGAAGTTCTTAAGCCCAAGTTTTAACACGAATGATCGCTTTTCAAAAAGGACGCTCGGACTCCAGAGGGGGAGTTTCCGTTTATCTATTTATCTGTTCATTTACTGAGCTCCACGATACCAGTTTTGTAAAGACCCTTCCCGCTAAGGACGTACAGAGTAAAAATGCCAGCTCTCCGCAAACCGCAGCCTCTGTGTCCGGGTTCGACTCTGCTGGCAGAGGACCCTCGGCCTCAAACGCTGGGGCGTGTGTCACGCCGCCCCTCCAGCCTCCCCCGAGATTCACGTGGGAGTAGCCTGGGGGGTGAGGAGGAGGAGGCTGCCAGTTGAGTGCTTCCCATTCAGAGGAGCTCTAACTTGGATTTATTAGCATAAAGGCCATTTCTCCCTGAGCCTGGGGGGAAGCCCATTCGGGTGTTTGTACAGATGGGCCACCTGGCGCCTGTTTCCCATCAAACCAGACCCCTTTATTAAATTGATAGAAGAATTCACGAATACGTATGGATGAGATAAAACACAAGACTTTTGGCATCGAACCTGCCGGTGAAAGTGGCCGGGAGGGAGGATTTATGGCTTCCAATGCACGGCATTCGGCAAGCCCCACACAGCCTTTGGGCCCCCCGGAGTCCGGGGACGTGAACCCGCCACTCACACCGACAGTGGCTCGTCCGGAAGCGCCGGGCTGCGCCCCAGAGTCATGCGTTTCTGTGTTTCTCTTGGCGATGACGTTTAGGCTGGGGGGCCGGGGGGGGGGGGCTTGGAGCTGTTGCTGCCGGGAGGGGCTGCCCTGAGCCGTCCTCTTCCATTGCTTGGCTGGCAGTTTTGATAGAAGACATTCCCTCTTGAAAACCCAAGGAGTAAGACTCCCTGCAGGGGAGTGGATGGCCTGTCCTTGAGGCGACGAGACGAGTCCGCTCTGACGCTTTCCGGGCAGCGTGTTGGCAGGGCAGAGTAGTCAGAACAGCGATGTCAGTTCCAGATGCTCTGAGGAGTGTCCGAACCCCGATCCCAGCGACCACGGCCACTCCCAGCCCACCCCTGTCCCTGCCAGTGCCTCCCTCCCCCTCCCCCGCCCAGGAGAGCTGGTGTGTCTGGCCAAGGGCTCCTCTCTTGCACAGCCATGAGCTCACCCCTTTGGAGCACTTTCACTGCACTTTCATAGTTGGCTTCGTGAGACCCCCTGCAGTGTCCCTAGCTGGACACCACAGCATGGTCGCTCTGGATGGGGACCTCACAGTGTCCCCATTCCCCATTCCCTGGCCTCACGCATCCCTTTCCTGTCCCTCAACCATTCACGTTTCCAGAGCTGGCCTCACCAGAAAGGTGGCACATCTGTGGTTGTCCTCTGTCCATCACTGCCACGGGTCACTGATCAGGGCCACCGTAGATGTTGAGGTCCTCGTGTCCTTGTAGAGGACGGAGGATGCGGGCCAAGGCACGGCTGGGACTCACTGTGGCCGCGGGCGGGCCACGAGTCTCACGTCTCGTCGGGATTCCATATCTGTCTGCTCGTTTGCATCCCCCTAGCCAGCATTCCTTGAGGAAGGGGAAACTCGGGCCCAGAGAGCTCGGCCATGCGGGCCCAGGGGGACTAGAACAGCGTGTTGGAGTTAACACCAGTGTCCACCCACCCACGCTAGCAAGCCCTCCCTGACTCCGTGGCTTTGGTCTAACCGTCTCAGACGCGCCACACCACCGTGACGTCGGCCTGCCATCAGTGCCCCTTCTCTCCCCATGTTCCCAAAGAGGACGCTTTCAGCCGGAACACCGAACATGTAGCACTCAGGACAGACAGACCCCGCGCCCTCCACGTCGCAGACGGTTGCAGGCAGTTTTTTTCCTGCTTTCCTAACAACTGCCCTGATTATCTGTTTTGCTTCCATTTTCTGTTGCTTCTGCCCCTTCGCTTGCAAAACAAAAACAGGCAAGCCTGGTAAGTAAATGCTTTTCACCTAATTTGACACCTGCCCTTTGCAACCTCTGTTTGTTTGTTTGCTTTTCTGTTTTTGTTACTTTCGCTTTTGTGCCTTGGCTGTCTCCCTGTGTGGTTCCATCACGTTTGTCCTGAAAAAAAGCCAGAAAAGTCTCCAGGGACATCGCTGTGTTGTTAAGTCCAGAGCCTGTTGGGTTTGGGGTGATTTCCTATAATTGACAAAAAGATGTGTGAAGCCTTCCCGACCCCTGGACTCCTGGGTCTCCCTGGAGCTGGGAAATTCTACTTTTCCCCGGGTGGCACGGGGAGGAGAGGAAACCTGAGGCAGACACAGTCTCCGATCCAGGAAATCAGAGGGGCCCTGTTCGACAAATGGCTCCTCTGCGAGCCAAGTGAAACGTATACATGCCCTCACGCCGGCCCAGAGCGTGCATTGTGCAGCGTGCTGAGAACTGGGGAAGTGTGGCTCGGATTCAAAGAATGAGAAGCACTCGGCTCCTGGCGGAACGGTGCCACGCCCTCCCTTTTGGGCGCCACCGTGCAGCAGGCAGGGCGCTGGCGGTTCTGTTCTTGCCCTGCGTGAAGCTCTGCCTCCGTGGGTCACGGTGACCTGACCTCACGCCAGCTCCCCGCTGCCAGTGATGCCATTGATGACGGCCCACTGAACCCAGTTCTCACTGCGTGTCGGAGGCTTTGTACACGTTTTCTTGTTTAATCTGCCCCCAAGTGCCAGGAGCTCGGCCCTGGGATCCCTATTTCCGGGAAGGAGACCGAGACAGAGGTTCGACACCCTGCCCCAGACCACACAGCGGGGCGGCCCCAGAGCCAGGCCTTGAGCTTGGACCCTTAGGCTCTGGCACTGGGTTCTCCCCACACTGTTCCGGTGGCAGGGCGGTCTGAGAGGCAGGGTCGGAGGGGTCATCGGCATCTTCCAGGCCTGTTGTTCCCCCAGCATGCTCCATGCACCTGGGAACATGCCACAGACGCCTGTTCTCAGGCCTCCCCCAGACCTACCGAACCTGCACCCACCGGGCCGGGGGACAGGGCTGCGCCAGCCTGTGGTGGAACGAAGCCCCCCCTGATCTGGATCCCAGCTCAGGTGGGAGGGCCCCTTCTTTGGGAAATGAGACCCTAGGACCCGGAAAGGCGGGACTTCTGAGCAAGTCTGTGGTGGGCCTAGAGCTGCTGCGAGTGGAGATTAGAAGCCTGCCCGGGGCTGTGGCGAGGCGTCACGCGTTTGTCCACTGCACGGGTGTGTGTTGAGTCGTCCTGTGAGCCAGGCACTGCCCCAGGCCCTGGGACAGAGCAGTGGGGGAAACCAACTCGGGGTCCTCCGGCAGACGCGCACGTGGGCACACCATGCACGTGTGTGTGATGTAAGGAGGAGGAGTGGGCACTCCTGGGAGGCGAACACAGGACGAGAGAGTGGAGAGGAGGCGTTGTTTCCCACGGATGTCCGGAGAAGGGGTCTCCGGGTTGGGGGGAGGGGTGACCTGGGATCAGAGGCCTGAGGGAGGCCGGGGCCCTGGCAGCTCTGTGGCCCGTGTTCCTGACAGAGGACACAGCAGCCGTGTGCCCTGGGGGTGGGGAGGGCAGGGGCCGAGGGCCTCGTGTCTGGGGAAGGAGTGGGACTGTGTTCCCAGGGGTGGAGGGGAGGCCCCTGGGGTGCTCAGCAGGAGGGAGGAGACCCGGTCTGGATTTCTGGGCGCCCAGTCTGGCACTGGGTGCTGGCGAGGGAGCGTTAGATAAAGAGAGCAGCAGGCGCTGGCGGCATGCGGAGGCCGTCCCCAGCAGTGGGCAGCACCGCCCCAGGTGTCCGCCCCTGTCGGAGGGACAGGTCTGCATGGGGGCTGTCACCTACGTAGACAGATGGCAACAAATGGCTCCCCGCCCACCCGGACCAGTCCTGGGTCAGCAGACAGCACGCACCATGCGGGCCAGCAGCTGTGTTATGTAGCATGGTCAGAGAGAGCCTTTCGCACGAGTCTGGGCGGTTTTTGCGATGTTCATGCAGAACGTTAGTTTGTGGTGGCCTGGAGACATGGGGTTGGGGACAGGGCAGTCCCACTCACCGGGACCAGCCACTCGGAACCGGGCCAGAACTTAATTCTTTTGTACGAAACTGAGAGACTCATTTGACAGAAGCAGCTCCATGGGATGTTTTAAGGGTGAAGAAGACTTTCTTTTCTCAATGACCATCTCTTGACCATGACACTACTTAGGAAGGCCAGCCCCTCACAGCCCAGACGACAGGACCTTGTCCCTTTGCCCAGCACAGAATCCAGTGATGTTTTCTTTCTCACCCGTGGGTCTGTTTATTTGCTGTCAACCACCATGTGGAGCCACTGGGGTCTCCAGTGTAATAGTTTTTATGGGGCTGCACCGATCAGGTCACAGAGCAATGGCTAACGTCCACCCCATCTACTACTGCACAGGTCCAGGCCTGGGATGCAGGGGCCACGGGGTTCATTCCCTTAGATGCAGAGCCTGGGTGGGCTCAAGGGACAGGTCTCTCCCGAGTCTGAGATGCCCACAAGTCAGGCTGAGGCCTTGCTGGCCCAAGACCGCGCTCGGGTTCTGTGGGCTCCATGGTCTCGTGCTTGTGTCTCCCGCCAGAGGATGAACAGAGGGAGAAGTCGGTCTCCCACCAAACGGTCCAGCAGCTGGTTCTGGAGAAGGAGCAGGCCCTGGCTGACCTGAACTCCGTGGAGAAATCGCTGGCGGACCTCTTCAGGAGGTACGAGAAGATGAAAGAGGTCCTGGAGGGCTTCCGCAAGGTGCGTTTGTGTGTGGGGACATGTTGGGTTGGGGAGGTGGGCCAGGCGGGGGGACAAACGGCCGGGCTTCCCGAAGGCCATCCTCGCAGGCTGGGGAGTCAGACTTGGCCGTCTGGCATACACCCTCATCAGAGGGTCGTTGGGGTGCCCAGCAGCCCTCAGCCTTTCACCCGCGGGCTCGACCCCTGTCCTCTGTCGTGTCAGAACGAAGAGGTGCTGAAGAAGTGTGCGCAGGAGTACCTGTCCCGGGTGAAGAAGGAGGAGCAGAGGTACCAGGCCCTGAAGGTGCACGCAGAGGAGAAGCTGGACAGGTAACAGCTGGTGCTGGTCCCGGGCTGGCCGGCAGCTCCGATGGCCCCCCTAACGTGGGCCCGGGGACCGTGTGCATTTTTTGGGTGCAGTTCAGTAGGGTTCGGGATAAGATTGCACTCAGTTCTGATGCACTCTGATCAGTGGAGACTGCGTGTTGTAATTTCCAGGGCACATACTCAGAGCACCTGGGCGTCGTGAGGGCGGGGTTCAGGATGGGGGATCTCGTGGGCGCCTGTGCTGGGCCTTTGTTGGTGGGAGCTGGAGCCAGGCCATTCCCTCCCCCCCCTCCGCCCCGCCACCCTGAGCTGGGAGGAGGAAGGCGGGAGATGTCTACACTCAAGGGTGATGATTTCTGAGTCCCCCACCCCCGCATTCCCACAGGGCGAACGCCGAGATCGCCCAGGTCCGGGGCAAGGCCCAGCAGGAGCAGGCTGCCTACCAGGCCAGCCTGCGGAAGGAGCAGCTGCGCGTGGACGCCCTGGAGAGGACGCTGGAGCAGAAGGTACGGGCCGGGCACGGTGGCCCGCGTGCAGACAGGCCGGCCAGACCCTCAGGGGGACCGAGGCTGGGCTTGCCCTGCGGGGCTCCCAGGGTGCACTGGGGCTCCAGGGGTATATCCCTGCTGCTTCCTGGAAGAGCCGGCTTCATCCTGCCCTCAGACTGGCCTCCTCCCTGCTGGTCTGGGAATAGCTCTCCACTTGGGTGTTTGTTGCTGGTTTTCATTCATTTACCTGTCCAGTATTTAAGCACCTACCTTGTACTTCAACCACTGCATCCAGTGTGCTTACTGGTGAGTGGATGGGACCCACCAGGACAGTGGGTAGGTGCAGAAAACGGGCTGTGTCCTCCTATTTGCCTGGGTGGTGGGGAGGGGTCCTCCTGAGGTCCCCCTGCTTGGTCCCAAGTTTCCTGATTTTCAATCTAGTGCCCAGTCCACGGCACACGCCCTCCCTGGATGTCTCAGGGAGAAGCCCCTTTTGCCCAGGAGTGCTATCAGTCTGAGTGCGGGGCGGGGGCGGTGGGGGGGCGCAGCAGGCCCCCTCCCTGGGCGTGCTTCCAGATGTGCAGCCTGATTCTGCTTGGCTGACTGAGCCTTAGGGTGCGTGCCCCGGGACGGCACCCAGGAGCCCAGGCGCCTAAGCTGGCTGCACTGCTCGTGCACCAGGCGGGACCTGGCGGGCAGTGCGCGGGGGTCCTTTGTAGGCAGGTGGCCCCAGGAGTCCAGCATGTCTCCCAAATGGCCTCTGCTGACCCAGCAGCACCCAGCTGCCCTCGGATTGGCCCCCCTCCTGAGGAGCCCATACCCAGCAAGATTCCGGTGGTGCCGGCTGAGGTCCCCGGGGGGACCTGGGTCAAGCAACACGGATCTCTGCAGCGGCAGGCACTACCTGTCACCTCAGCTGCGTGACGTCAGGACACGCCCTGGGACTCGCGAGACTCGGGTCCTCACCCCACCCTGCCGTCTGTCAGGGCCCCGGGCAAGCCTCGCCCTTCCCCTCGGTGTCCAGGTCTGTAATATTGGAGGGTTAAACCGGAAGACCTAGAAAGTGCCCTCTGGCCCCGAGAATTATACGGCTCCAGTGACGGAACGGAGTTCCCTGAGGTCCAGTCTGACGGCATCCCAGACTCCAGCTGCCTCGGCATCCCAGGGTGCAGCACGGCCCCCCAGTCACCCAGAATTCAAACGGCCAGAAACTCGTGTCCCTGGGTCACTTTCCTTCTTTCCTGTTCCTCTTGGGATGAAAAAGACAGATGGCCACTGGGAAGTTGAATGTCATACAATTGTGTTTTTTTTAAGGTTTTATTTATTTATTTTTAGAGAGAGGGGAAAGGAGGGAGGGAGAGAGGGAGAGAAACATCCATGTGTGGTTGCCTCTTGAGCGGTCCCACCAGGGACCTGGGCCGCAACCCAGGCACGTGCCCAGACTGGGAATCGAACCAGCAACCCTCTGGTTTGCAGGCTGGCACTCCATCCACTGAGCCACACCAGCCAGGGTTAGAATTGTATTTTTTTAAACAATTACCTTTTTTTTAAGATTTTATTTATTTATTTTTAGAGAGGGAAGGGAGGAAGAAAGAGAGAGAGAGAGAGAGAGAGAGAGAGAGAGAGAGAAACATCAATGTGCGGTTGCTGGGGGCCGTGGCCTGCAACCCAGGCATGTGCCCTGGCTGGGAATTGAACCTGCGATACTTCGTAGAATTGTATTTTTACCAAAGAAAAGAAAGCCTGGACTATGCTCAACCACCTCTATGTTGCTGGCTCTGACTGTTGTTCTTGGCAGTTACCATGGAGACAGGCAGCACGGTCAGCGCTGCGCAATGCCAGCCCCCGCCCACTCGGCACTTACTGAAAATCACTGCAGTGTTAGTGCTGAGTGGGCGTCTGTTTTCACTCTTCGATCGTTGATAATCCACTCCTGGCGTATTTGGTGACTTTTGAAAAGTGAAATATCTCCGTAAATTAAGGACCACATTCTCCAGCCATTTGGGGGTATGAAGGCAGTGGTGTAGCAAATGTTTCTCGCTGAGAAATACAGCAAACACGGTGGAGGTCATTCCCTCCTGCTTCTGTCCAGATTGGACGGTGTTGCCATCGCAACACGTTGGTGCAGTTCAGGTGGATAGAGGCAAAACGGGAACCAGGACGGCGGCTCGCGAGGCGCCCGGACTGCTCTGACGGTACAGTTGCGAAATGAAAGTGACGCTAAGTTCCCCGGCAAACAAGGCACAGGGGACAGTGGGTGGCCCGGGACTGGGTAACAGGAAAGATACAAGCGTATCTGGAAACGTAATTTTGTCTTGAATGAAAGCTCAGGAAGAATGAGTGAATCCCACGAGTTCTTCCCGCAAGGACTGTACGTGACACAAAGGAGAGTCTCTGTTGTTTTTTTTTTTTAATGTTTTATTTTATTTATTTTTTTAATATTTGAAATTTAGCTATTTCATTTTTTTTAAAGATTTTATTTATTTATTTTTAGAGAGGGAAGGGAGGGAGAAAGAGAGAGAGAGAAACATCAATATACGGTTGCTGGGGGTCATGGCCTGCAACCCAGGCATGTGCCCTGACTGGGAATCGAACCTGCGACACTTTGATTCGCAGCCCGCGCTCAATCCACTGAGCTACGCCAGCCAGTATTTTTTATTTGTTATTTAAAAGATGCCAACGCGGGATTCCCCCGGGGAAGTCCTTTGCCCAGCGGGGACCGCGGCAGGTTTCTGTCTGGGGAGCCGAGCTTTGCGATGGGCAGTTGGCTCAGCGTCAGGCCGATGGTGCGAGGGGCCGAGGGGAGGCTGTGCAGGAACTGAGAGTCGGGGTCGGCTCGTGCCTGCCGGCCACCAGTCCCTAGACATCATGTGTAATGCGTGGCCCAGCAAGGCCCAAGAGGAGCCAGGCCGGCATGAATGTGCGTGCTGGGCTCACCTCCTCCGGCCAGCACGGCGCCCCACCTCTCTGAGCCTCAGCCTCCACACCAAACAGTAGCGGGGGGCGGTGGCTTCCGTGAAGGGACTGTGGTGAAAACTGAGCAAGACCACAGTGCCGGGGGTGTGCTTAGCATGGTGACTGGTGCCTGCCAAGCACCCCAATAAAATGCAAAGTCACCATGAGCAGCCCCGGCCTCAGCGGCTGTGGTGGCTGTAGTAGTAATTTCTGGCTCTGTGGTTGGTGCGGCTTTCCACAAGAGCACCATCTTCCCACGGGTGTGTCAGAGCCGTAAACTCTCGGGGGGAGGTCAGCTGAGGCGGTGCTGCAGGCGGGCTCCCTCCCGGCGGGGGGCTGGACGACCACAGGATCGGCGAGGGCTGACCGTCTCCTCCACGAAGGAGGCCGATTCTCCCCAGGCACCAGCACAATGATGAGTGGCCCGGGGGGGGGGCGGGGGGGCGGGGGGAGACACAGGGCTCCAGGCTGGAACGTGCCTCTGGAGGTTGCAAGTTTCCCAGGAGCGGCCTCCGTACAGCCTCAGGAACAGGCTGTGGTTGAGACTCAGCTTCCAGGGGGCCTGGAAGAAACACTGGCTGCGAAATGTCCCCATGATACTGGAAAGACCTAGTCCCCTCAGGGAAGGCCATTTGAGGTTGGCTGTTCAGCCACACTGGCACCAGGTCGGCATCTAGCCCATCCCACAGCTGAGCCCCTCCTGCTGAGGGGGCGTGTCATCCCGCCCGATCCCCCTTCTTAGAGGTCATCGGGTCATCGGTGTGAGATCAGCCTGCGGTTGGTTCCCCGTAATGACGGGGAGTCAGAGGACGGGCCAGGTGGTGTGGCGTGCGGGACACCTGAGCCATCGGCCTCGGCCTCTGTCCCCTGGGTCGCAGCCCTGTCTCATCTGGCATCTTCTGAATGACGCCAGCGATCCCCATTCGTGTAGAATCGCTTCACCCCTCCTGGAAGCATTTCTCAGAAGAGCCACCCAGAGCCCGCCCAGCCCATCCTTCTGTGATCAAAAAGGCAAATAAAGGGAAGAAAACCAGGACCAGTGAGGTCTTCACTGTGTGCGGGTCACCGTGCTGGGGACAGTTCACATTTCTGACCTCACTTAATTCTCAGAGAAACAGAGGGTGTCGTCCACATTTTAGAGATAAGGAAACCACGGCTCAGAGAAGTTGAGCAACTTGCCCAAGGTCACACAGCTAGAGCTGGGAGGTAGATAGATCATTTGTCTGCCAGTCATTTCTCAGGGGGACCAAGTTAGGCCTGGAGCATCCCATCCCCCTAAAAACCCAATGACCATTCCGATTGGCTTGACTTCCAGCAACCAGGAGATTTCAGCGATCTTTTCTCTTTTTTTGTCTTCACTTGCAGAATAAAGAGATAGAAGAACTCACCAAGATTTGCGATGAACTGATTGCCAAAATGGGGAAAAGCTAACTGGGAACCAAACGTTTGGACTTGACCGTTGCGTGCAATATGACCGTCGGCACACTGCTGTCCCGCCAGGCCCGGGGACAGGCCCTGCTCTCAGTCTTTCGTATGCACTGCTGTGTCCCCTCTCCAAATAACGGCGGCTGGATGGTGTGCAGTGCTAAGGAGACTGTCAGAACTTCTTGCTATTGGTTTGCATTTTTCCTAGTATAAATTCATAGCAAGTTGACCTCAGAGTTCCTGTATCAGGGAGACTGTCTGATTCTCTAATAAAACACACATCGCTGACCTTGGCCTTGCCCTCTGTCCGTGAGTTCCCGGGGTGAGCGGCTTCTGGACTGCATATGAACACATACAGCTTGCACAGGGACTCTTGCCTTAAGGAGTGTAATAACTTGATCTGCATTTGCTGATTTGTTAAAAAACAAAAAAAGAAAAAGAAAAAAAAAGAAGAAAGAAAATGCATGTCTCAAATGAAATTCTCTATTGTAAATAAATTTTTTTCTTTGGATCTTGGCAATACGTGTGGCTGTGATTTGTTTTCCTTCTGGGAAGGGGCTGAGGCTTTTCTCGTCTTTGTTAAACCCTATCAGGTCTGCCTTCCCCTCTCCTCCGTCTGACTCGTGACTTTGTCCATAGACTTAAGTGACATCTCCTTTGTTATCAGGGCTGTGTTGGTAAGTGGAAGCTAATGGGAAGTATTGACTTGCTACTTAAATAATTCAGTGGGTGCATTGAATTAGCTTGGATTTTGTTCTTACAAAGTCCCTTTGACCTTAGGGGGCAGAACCGCTTCCCGTTATTGGCTCGGGGAAGCGGCGGGCTGTCACTCCCCCTCTGTCCCCTCTGTCCCCTCTGTGTGTCCAAGTCCGCGCTGAGGGTCCGTCCCCTCTGCATGAATAGGAAAGGTGGGAGGCAGGCCACCAGGCCACTGTGGAGATCAAACTAGGTAACCGCCCCGAGATTCCCTAACTGCTCCTGACTCTCTCGGAGACCCCAGGTTGGAAGGTGGGGGTGAGAGGGGGTGGGAAGATGTCCTTATTTCCCAGGACTGGGGTAACAAATGGCCACGAATTGACAGGCTTCGAACCACATAAACGGATCCTCTCTCACTTCCGGAAGCCCACGATCCAAGAGTCAGTGGGGCTGGCCCCCTCGGGAGGCTCCGAGGGAGAGGCCGTGCCGCGCCTCCGCCCCAGCTCCTGGGGGCGGTCCCCGGCGCACCTTGGCTCCTGGCCGCGTCCCTCCAGTCTCTGCCTCTGTCCTCACGCGTCTCTCCTTCCTCTCCCAAGGACGCCACCCCAAACCCAGGGTGGTCTGATCTCAGTGTCCTCGATGACATCTGCCAAGATCCTGTTTCCAAATAAGGTCGCATGTTCATAGGTAGCGGCCGTTTGGCCGTGGATGTACCTTTCAGGGGGATGTGTGTGGTGTGGGGTGTAAGCTTAAAAATTAGACTGGAGACCCCGATGGCCCTTGGCTCCAGTGCCCTTCCTCCTGTTCAGCCATGTGGCTGTGGGCTGTCCCTGCATAGGGCCACCCCCAGCCCTGAGGGGTGGGAGGGTCCATTCCATAACTCAGGAGGCATGTGGCCTTGGCTGTCCCCCAGCAGCACAGAGGAGAAAGACAGCTGTGCTGTCCAGCCTGTTCTCTTGGGCTCCATGCGGCAGAGAAGCTCAGGCAATAGCGCCACCGTCTCCCTCCGGGCACCAGGACCCTAAGCCTCCCTCGTCCCACCGCCCAGCAACCTCTGCTCAGTGCAGCCGCCCTGTTCGCCTGCCCAGGGTCCTGCTCCCCGGGACCTAACCCCTTCGTCGCCCTCCTCCCCGGGTCTGGGGCAGGGCGCAGGTGTGCTCGACAGAAGGAGCGTGCTGAGGCCTCTGCCTTGAGGGTTTTCATCTGGAGGTCTCGGGGGAGGGTCCCAATAAGGGAACATGTGTGCCGAACTCACAGATGCAGACAGCAGCGTGGGGACAGCCGGAGGGACGGGGGTTGGGGGATGGGGAGAAAATGGGGACATCTGGGTTAGTAACGACAATAAACATAAAGGGAAAAGGCGTCTTCCCCGGCGTTCCAGGCGTGTCCTTTCGGGGTCGTGGCCCCTGCGAGGTAGCTGGCACCGGGCAGGGGGTCGTTCGCCGCCAAGGCCGGTCCTGATGTCAGCTGCGGCGTCTGGCTGCTCTCCTGGACCAGGAGCTGAAACACGACGAGGCCTCGACGTCATATCCAGGGTTTAACGCTTAAGGGAGTGGCCCTGCCAGGGCTCGTGGGGGAGTCTGTGCGGCTCTTCTCCGCCCCCCTTGTTCCTCCTCTGAGGGGGTCCTCTGCGTGGCTGGCGACGGGCCAGGGGAGGAGCGGTCAGGGGAGGGTCCGAACCGCAAGACCAGGGAGGTCAGGGTGTGTCCGGGGTGCCGGAGCTGGCCTGTGCCAGACAGAACCGGAGTCGAGGCCGGGTGCATTTTCAGAGTACCCCACGGCCTCTCCAACGTGTGACTGGTCAGAGTGGGGCTGGACTGGGCAGCTGGGTAAGGCGGTGAGCCCCTCGTCCCCGGAGCATTCAGGAAGGTGGATGTCCCACCGGGATCCCCCTGTAACCGTGGCGCGGGAGACTCTGGTACCAGGGGGTTCTAGCTGAGAGCCTGCCCATGCGGTTTGGTGTCTGAGCCCCCGAAGGCCTTTGCTCCCGGACTTCCGGCCTATCTGGCCGGAAATGACCCCTGTGGCCCTGGGTCACAGCAGCTCCCCGAACCCAGGGCACCGCCAGGAAAGGGCTTTGAGGGAAAGTGCCGGGGTCATCTCTGTTCACTTGTACTTGTTGTCTTTGACTTTGGCTAATAGCTCAGCCCCCAAAGCTCCATAGGGGATGCATGTTGGAAGGCTTTGGGGTGGGCTGAATGTCCTAGGTCCCTGAGCTCGGATCCCTAGGGAGTGACCACCCAGCCCAGGCCCGGCAGGGGTCTTGCTTAGGAACCGCAGGGAGCCTGGCACTCCGTGGACTTCCCTAGAGTGGCCACTAGAGAGCGCCCAAGGCCTGCTCTGAGCTGTGCCTCGGAAGTAAGTACCTGAGGGATCCCAGCTGGTCCGGGACAGGGTATTTCAAACCCATTCAATGAAATCTCACATGGGGCCCTGCATTCCGGGGGCAGGGAGCTGGGGGAGCTGGGGCGGAGCAACAAAAAAGGAGTGAATCTGTCCGTTTGTGCAAAGACATCTGCTGAGATGTGACCTCGGCCCACACAGAGACGCACACCCGTGCAAGTGTGAGCACGTGGGCACTGTGCACCCTCACACACAGGCAGTGCTCATCCCTGTGCAAAAGCAGAGCACAGAGTGGCGAGGGATGGGCACACCCAGTTCTCCACGCGTCCAGAGCCGTGTGTGGAACCCTTCCTAAGGGCCGGGTTTGGTGGCTGGGCCCCGTGGGGACACCCCACGGCCACCACCTGCTCTGCAAAGCAGAATGCGGGTGTCAGGAGAGTAGAACCCCAGATCTGAGGGGCCGAGGGGCCTCCCAGTGACAGAGGGCTTCTGTTTCCAGGAGGCGATTGCAGGTGGGCAGAGCAGCTGTTTCACTGTGTAACTTACGGGGGAGGCTGCAGGGGAAGGGGCTGGAGGGAGCTGTGCCGACCCCTGGCTCCTGTTACTGTGGCTGGGATTGCGGGGAGCCCTGGGTGGGGGACCCTGGGCGCCCCTGGACTGAGTTCCCCAGGAGTAACAGATGCGGCCCCCTTGTCTCCCCCCAGCCCAGGGTCCCGGCTTTGCAGACCCAGCTGCTGGGGACGCTGGGGGAATCCTGCCCGGTGCCCAGAGGGGAGGCTCTGGGTCTTGTCCCTGACTCTGAGGCGGTCCTTAGTTCCTGGGGACAGCAGATTGAAAACCGTCTATCGATGCAATCAATCGGCAGGCATCGCTTTCCACAGTGCGAAACTCTCCAGTTTTTATGTAAATGTTTCCGTCAAACCGCTGCTGGACCCCAAAGGCAGAAACAGAGCGCCCAGAACGCCGAGGCTGGGAGGGGCCTGAGGGCCTCTGAGTCCAGCGACTTTCAACCGGGGGCGCCACGAGAATTTTTAACACACACAACACCTGAGTATTCAGTCAGGGGCACTGACCTCTTTTCCCTCAGATGGTCGGATCGGCAAAATGTGTCATCTGCTTTTCGGTGCGCCGCAGAATTTGAGTAATTATGCGTGCTGTGGGATGAAAAAGGCTGAAAATCGCTGTTCCAGGTCAAGCTTCTCATATCACAGAGGAGGCCTGAGGATTAGGGGGCCGGTGCTCACTGTGGCCGTGTTCCAGAATCTTCCACGTCACCCCACTGCTATAAGGGCACTTGGCATGGCAGGAAACAGGGCAGGGGCGACCCTGCTCCTCTAAGGAGAAAGGCTGAGGAGGAAGTGCCTGGAGCCCCAGTGGTTGTCTCTGCTGCCCAGCCCCCGGCCCCCAGCCCCCAGCCCCCAGCCCCAGCCTCGCTGAAAGCAGGCCTGGAACAGGAAACGCTCGGAACCTTCCCTGACGTTGCCACGGCGCCCACAGCAACCCCAGGAAACCAAAGGCAAGCCCCCCTGCCAACGCACCCTGGCCCAGAAAGGGAACCCGTGAGCCCCAGATGTCGCGAGCGCGCTGAAGACTCAGCCCCAGAAGGGGCCCAGCGACCTGTAACTCGGGGACAAACATGCAATGAGAGCGCCTCTGCCGGCCCGGCGTCTCCTGTGAAGGCTCGCAGAGGGTGGGCGAGCAGGCTTCGTAGTAAGTGTGGCTGGCTGTCTCGATCCACTCGAGAAGACTTTGCTTCCAGAGTGGTGCTGTTGGGACCTGGCGGGGAGGGGCTTCGGGGGTCCAGGCTGGGAGGCAGAGTGTCTGGGGCCCGCGCAAGTAGCACATCACGTGGTCAGCCTGCTTACGGCCATCTTCTGGTCCCCGTCCCCGGGGGGAGGGTGAGGACTCGCGTCATCGGAGCCCCTCCCCCGAGCGGCGGCAGAGGGCTCTCGGTCTCCTGGTGCCCTTTTAAAACACTAGATGTTCTCTTGATTTGATAAATAATAACCACCCCTCGAGGCTTTACTCACTGTTACTTTTATGGCCGAATATAGATTCTTTGGGCCAATTTCCTCTGTAACAACCCAAAGAGACCCTTTGGGAATTTTGGGAAAACGTAAACTTTCCCTCTTTGCTTTCCACATGCTTCTCCGAGCCCCCCCCCCCGACCCACCTCCGGGTGGTCCCCACTGTTGTTCCCGAGAATGTCAAATCGAGGAAGTACTGGGCTGGCCAAAAAGTCCATGCGGGGTTTTTTTTTTCCTGTAAAATAAGACACATTTTTCATTTTCACCAGTAACTCGATTGATTTGGGTATTTTGAGGATGTCGGGTGCCTCCCACAAGGTATAACATTGACTGTTCTCGATTAATGCCTCGATTTGATCACGATCAACTTCAGTTGGTCTGCCCAACCATGGAGCGTTATCATCCACGAGAAACCTCCAGCACGAAACTTCACAAGCCACTTTTGACACGTTCAATCTGTCACAGCACCTTCTCCATATGTTGCACAAAATTTTTTTTTGCATTTCATTGTGTTTTTAACTTTCTTGAAATAATAACGCAGAATGCTCCAAAAAACGTTGCCTATTTTCTTTCATCTTCCATATTAAAATGGCTACACAAAAATTCACCAATTTTGGTAAGTCTTTTTTTAAATGCACACTGATACGACAGCTGTCACAATACAGTCTAACACAATCGTTTGGAATGAAGTCAAAGACCACTAAGCACTACTAGAGCCACCGTACGGAAAAAACCAAACGAACTTTTTGGCCAGCCCAATAGCTCAGCTTCCCCGGAGGCAGGCACCGGTGAGGAGCCGAAGCTCATGGTTACACGCGTGTCTCCCCGTGCCCACGAGGGGTGGGTCCCGCCTGCGGGGAAGAGGGTGTCAGGGAGCCAGTGTCGTTGTTCACACCTCACACTCTGTCGAGGTTCGGACTCCACGGTTTTCAACCACCCACCGTATCCCAGGCATAACACTAAGGCATAGTTCCCGAACTTAATTTTATTTTACCGTTTTCACATCGCCACCAGCACCATCGTCATCCTCATCCTCGAGATCACGGTCATCATTCCCGTTTGACATGTGAGGACCGGGGGGGCTCGGGAGGTTAAATGGCTCGCCCAGTGTCACACCGCCAGTCAGTCAGGTGCAATGACGAGATTCGAACCCAGATTTTCCCTTTTGTGGCACCTGCTCTGCCCGCCCTGCTGCCGGCACCTGCGGTGGCTTGGGACCAGTCGCACCCATGCCTGTGGGTCCCCGCACCGTGCACTTTTTCAGGCCAGGTTTCCTTGAGCCCCCGCGTCTGAGGTCTACATCCACGCCACGTACTCTTCTGCTCCCTAAAGGAAGCGGCTGACAAAAGTGTCTATAAGTAGAAGCCCCTGCCCAGGGACCCCGCTGTTCCGCTCCTGGGTGCGTGCACGAAGGAATTGCGGGCAGGTGTACCAGCAGAAACGGGGACACAAAAGCCCAGAGCAGCATTGCACACAGTAGCCAAACGCTGGAGAGAGCCCGAGTGTCCACCTCCAACGAAAGGCTAGGGAACAGGTGGCCCACCCACACGGTGGAATATTACTCTGCCATAAAAAGGAAGGAAATTTCGACCCACGCTACAGCATGCATGAAACAGGAAAACACTGTTGCTAAGTGAAAGAAGCCACATATAGAAGCCCGCACACCGTAAGACAGCATTTACATAAAACTCCCAGAACAGCAAACCCACGGAGGCGGGGGCCGATGAGCCGTTCCCAGGGGCTGGGCGCGGGGAGTTGGCCGACGAGGCTTCCTTCTGGGGCCATGAAAATGTCCTGAACTGGATCGCGGTGACGGCTGTGCAGCGTCGTCACGTACTACATGCCACTCAGTCCACACTGTAGAATGCACAAAAGGGTGAATTGGATACTTTGTGTGTTGTACCACAAATCAAAAACAAAACCAGTTGCCACACAGGCTCTCCCCAGTTTGGTATCTCCGAGTCACCCTTTAGGGTGAGGACGTAGAGAGCAGTTTCTGGAAGCCTAACCGTGTTCCTGCTGGTGGGCTCTTCAGGGTTACGGGCAGAGATATGACCTCTACCCGCCCCCCCCCGCCACCCCCCTGAGACAGGCTGCCTTGGGCACCTCCCGGCCTTGACCCAACTTCCGAATGGCTTTGTAGTTTGCACTTGGCTGTGTGCTGAATGCATTGGCCTGGAGAAGGTGGCTCGGGAGAAACGCTGGCCATGGCTGAACACTAACCAGCATTTAAAACTTGTCTTGGTTCTCTTTCTACGCGACTACTTGGAAGGTCTGGCGTTTATGTGAGGTTAAGAAAGGATTTTCTCTCTGTGTTTCCCAAAAAGCACAGTGCTCTGCTGGAACGCCAGACAGTTGGCTCACAGACCGGTGGGCTGTCTCCGGGGGGCCCTTCTCCGGGGACCATCTCCCCGATGAGCAGCTCCACGGGCACGGAACCTGACGAGACCCTGAAGGACCCGGGCAGGTAGGGAGATCGAAGGCCCACAGAGGGGGTGCCCCGGTGCGACGAACCCCACTTCTGGGCAGTGCCCATGGTTGGGCGTACGGGCTGTCACGAGGCGCATTGGTAGGGAGGGACAGGGTCCGCGTGACACTTCCTCTGGGAATGCCTGCAGTGGCGATGGACGTGCAGAGAGACTGACCACTGTTTTCCTAGCCTTTCCTTTGCATTGGGAACCTGGGACCCTAACAGGATCGTTCTAAGTTTAGCGACTCATTTGTTGACGAACAAGACTTAGCTCGTCCTGACCCTGAGCCTGAACCCTCTCACGAGTCTGCATCTCTGCCCAGTCCATGATGGGCTTCCCGTGGGAAGCTTCCCCTGCCCCGTCCACTCCCAGGGGATTCTGAGCAGTAGGGTTAGAGAGCACCGCTTCTTCGTGCTGTGAGTTCTTTGTCGCCCCTCCTGGGGACACAGAGCTGGACCCCATTGCAGAAGGGACACTTTGCTTCTCTGGTGCTTTAGACCTGCCTCGGCCCACTGCCCTCCCGGGCTGGCAGCGCCTGCCGTCCGAGCACACGGCCAGACCTGCCTGCGCCTGGCCGGCGCCTCGGGCAGCGCCATCACAGAGAGCTGCTTGCCCGTGTCGGCTGAGCAAGGACTGAATCCTCCCTTCCTGCACCTGCTGGCCAGTCCTGCTGCGGTGCCCCCCGCCCCGCAGGTGACGCTCGTACACACGTTTGAACAAATCAACATCCGCCTGCTTTTTTTTTTTAATTCTCTGCTGACCCCACCTTACAAAAACCAAGTCCTATTGAGAGTTGCTGGTTTTGCACTGACTGTTGCTAGCCTTCAACTACCTTGAATTTATCTTGTGTTCTGTTTGATTAGAGCCTTGAAAATGCCTTAGGGTTCTGCCAAAGCTCATTGCACTCCTTCGGGCCGGGGCCGGGCTGGAGAGCAGGCGTGGGCTGGGCCTGGGAGTGTAGGCAAGCCGGCGAGGCTGGCGGGGAAGCAGGAGCGGAGTTCTCCAGGACACGGTCTGTGGGATCCCGGAGCTGAGCTGGCGGTGCGGTGGGGGGGGCGGCCTGAGAGATGCGGCCCAGCCACCTGAGGACGACGGCCACTGTGCTGGGCTTTAGGACTCGTAAAAGCAGTCTGTCGGACAGCGTTAGAATTCCTTCCCCTCCATGAACCAGCTCTGTGACCTCTAGCCAGTGGCTTAACCTCTCTGAGCCTCAGTTCTGTCATCTGTGAAGTGGTGTTAACGGCATCTCTCTTGAAGAGTTATCTGGACGATGAAATGAGACAGTGCGCTGAAAATGCCCAGTGCTGTTCCCAGGAAGGAGCAGATGCTCAGTACACAGAGCTGCTACCTTTCTGGCCTGAGCGGGGGGTGGGTTTAGTTACTGGCCCTGGTGGCGTCTTCCTGGGGTGCCAGCCAACAGCCCCAGATTTCACTTTGCCTCTCAGCACCGTGCCCAGTTCAAAGCACCTTGGCTGCCGCACGACACACCTGCCTCTCTGCTCGGTGACACTGGAGGCTGGCTGTCGAGGGCACCCTGAGCAGGCCGGTCCCTCGTGTCTGGTGGTCAGCTGACCCAGGCTCAGCGCAGCGGGCCGTTCGTGAACTTGTCCTGACATGAACTAGCCTGGACATGAACTTGTCCTGGCAATGGCAATGGCAGAGGGCAGTAGGGCAAGACCGGCTGCCATGGCACACCCCTCACTTCCCACTGGCCAAAGCAAACTCACACGGCCCAACTCCAAGTCCAGGGTCAGGAGGTCAAAGTGCAGCCTCGCAGGTACCAAGCCAGAAGCCCCCGGGGATGGTTGCTGAGGGCAGTCTGGATGCAACAACACATAGAGTTTCCCATTTCCCGCCTCGCTTCCCACCGCCGCGGGTCGTGGCTGGGCGGAGCGAGCCCCAGCCCGACAGCACGTTCCAGGATGCCCAGGCGCCGCTTCACCCCGGGCCACTGAGTCTCAGGCGGCGGGCAGGACCTGTCACAGGTGCCATCTAGTCCATGAACTGTCCCCTTGCCCCTAAAATGACCCCTGCCCTCAGACCTGGTATACCTGGGCGGGCAGCCGTGACACCGGCCAGTGTTACTGCTTCTGTTGTCTGGAACCTCCCAGCTCCACCGATGACACCGATGTCTGCGAGGGCCGCTGAGCTCATGGGCATCTCCCCATCGTTTCTTCCAAAGCCCATTGCTCCATTTCGAGATCACCGTCTGAACTCCTGACCTCGGCCAGCTCTTCCCAGACGTGCGACCCGCGCCGGTGAGGGGGGTCATGCTGGCTCGGGGGCCGGGTCCACCGCCGCTGCTGGGTAAACAGGGCCGGCTCTCACCGCCTTCCGGAGGCTGAGTCACCGGGAGCCGCCGCTCCCCTGGGAAAGGGCAGCCGGTGGCCGAGCTCACTCCGGACGCAGGTGCCCGCCCCCACGCCCCCCCACCGCGCACCTGGCCCTTGAGGCTCCTGCGGTCGCTGAGAACAGCACGGCGAAGGTGACGCTGACGAGATGTGGTCACCGAGTGTCACTTGGCTGGTCGGCTTCCCTGGGATGACTGTCTTCGAGCTGTGATTGTGTGACTCAGACTTTGTTTCATGTCCTTGCTCAGCAGGCTGGATGTAGTGCTTATGGAAAATCATCTTATGTTTGCAAATCACTCAGTCACCGCCCGGGCCCTCACCGAGCGCTCGCACGAGGGCTGCGCGGGGGTGACAGCAGTGAATAAACGCTGACTCTGTCTGTGTGGGAGGCAGAGCCCGGGTAGGGGGGTGCATGAGTAAGAAGGCCACCCCAGGACGCTGCGGAAGGAGGATGGGGGGGGGGGGGGGTTGTGCCAGATGGGCAGCAGGGGAGGGCCACGAGCCCCACCTCTCCAGACAAAGCAACAAGGGCGGAGGCGCAGGGACAGCAGGAGCTCCTTAGCCAGGCTGAAGAGCGCTGTGGGGGAGGGGGAGACAGCCAAGACCAGAGGGGTCTTCCAGACGGGCCCGGGAGATGCAGGGTGAGGGGTACATCACAGGGGAGCACGCTGGGGGCCGGAGGCCTACAGGGATGAGTGGGGAGGGGATCAGGGCTTGGACAAAGGCCATGACAATCAGGGAGGCAGGTGAATTCAAAAGGTACTATCAAATCCAGGCCAGTGCTCCGACGTGGCCACGGGCCCCTCGGCAGGTTGGTCTGGGAAACAGGAGGGGGCTGCAGGTGGTTCCTGAGACAGGCAACTGCCACGGAGGGGCAGGCGCGGGTTCAGGGTAGAGGCCACGGTCAGGTTTTGGACACCTGGAGATAGAGGGGAGCACGCTGCCCCTCAGCAGAAGTGTTTGTGAGTTGACGTCAAGGAATGCCCAGAGCCTTCTCTGCCTTACTCTGGCAGATACTTATGGAGCACCTACTGTGTGCCAGGCATTGTCTGAGTCAGACACTCCTCAAAACAGGGGTTCCTTGGGCAGCCCCGCGGAGCGTCACATACCTCCCACTAAGGCCCGCCCGCACACGAAGCAGGGGACCTCGGGTCCCAGGCAGACAGGGTTTGCAGTTGACCTGACCAGCGACAACGGGCGACCCGAGGAAAGTCCCCCGAAGGGCACGACACGGACAGACGACCGAGTGGCCGCTGCAGCGACCCAGGGGGCGGCTGGAGGAAAACACCAGCGGTAACGCCAGCACCTTTTGTTCGTGTTTTTCCCTGAGGTTATGCACACCGAAAGCTCAGAACAAGCTCTCTAAGAATTTGAAGGACAAGGACAAGGCCATCCCCAGCAGGGACACAGGTGAGTCCTCGTCACCAGGGGACTCGGTCAGGACGGTGCGGCCCTCGGGGCACTTTGCGGTCCCCGTGGAAGGAAACAAGGCCAGAGGTCATGTCACTCGTCCGTAAGTTGCGGTTCCTGCCCCCTGCCCAGAGTGCAGCATGTCCCAGGGGCCCGTACACATGTGTCAAACGTGTGACGTGTGAAGCCGAGCTGGACAAACACGGTTTCCCGTGCCTGCGGTCACCGGAAAGACGGGTGTGCCGATGGGAACAACTAGGCGTTGAGTCGGAAGGCCGGACAGGGTCCTGGCGAGCGAGGGGCTTCTGTTTTCTGTCCTTTCCCGCTCTGGCCAGTCGTGACTGGGACGTCGCTTCTGCACTTGTCCAGGAGGACTTTCCTGAGTTAAAACCAAGAACCGGACTAGGTCGGTCCAGCGGGGAAAAGGCCCGTTGAGCCTCGCAGGAAACCTGGACAGGTCAGCTCCTTAAGGAGCTCTTTCGGATAAGCCCGGTCCCAGGGTGTGGCTGCCGGGGCCAGAGCCCGCCTCCCTCCCGGGAGGGGCTGAGTCTGACCCGCTTGGGGACTCTGGTTGACCGGGACCCGAGAAGTAGTCTGAGACCGTGTCTGTGATAACGGCCACACACTTGTCGTCCTGAAAGGGGACGTGGACGTCCAGGGAAGGGGCACCCTTTATCTGCAACTCTGCTCCTGCCTAAAGCACACCTACAGGGTGGGATTCTTTTCACCCGGCAAAGCGGGACCTTCCCCTGCAGCGATCCAAGGCTTGAGGCACAAACCCAGGTTCTAAACCCCAGCACCAAACACGCTCACAGACCTGGTGAATGACAGGTATAACGCCAACCGAAGATGAAACAGGTACCCAGGGTCATGCAGTCAAAACCACGGCGAGGCCAAGAAATAAGTCGGTGTGGGGCTAGCAGCTCTCCGGTCCTGTCCGGTGTTGAGATTTAGGGTTTTGGGGGTTCCATCTGAGCACCACCCGCTGTCTGCATCTCTGTGCTAACAGGTCCGTCCTGCTGAGCCCTCTTACCTACAGCTTCTTATGCCTCACCTGGCCTGGCGTCCTTGCACCCTCCACCTGCCCTGTCAAAGTCTCTACCCCTTTAATCGTCTGCACTGCCCACAGGGGAGACTCCCCCCTTACAGTCTGTGACCTGCCTTTCTGAGGGCCCCTGTTCCTTTGAGGAAAGTGAGGCCATGTGAGCTCTGCCCCCTGGTGACGGGGCTTTTACTGTACTGCATGCCCTTGGCTGTTGCCTTTCAGGTGAGTCATAATTAGCCACCAACAGCTTACTCTCCGTAGTTTTCCACAGGACACTGGGAGCCAATTTTTGTCACCCAGGGACAGGAGGTAATATCTGGGGACATTTTGGTTGTCACCCCAGTGGCACCCGGTGGGTAGAGTCTGGGGGTGCTGCTAAGCATCCTTCAGTGCCCAGGACAGCCCCACCACAGAGAGTTGGCTGGCCCCAAACATGAGCAGAGCCCAGGCAGAGAAACTGTAATGGGGGGAGGGCACGGTGAGGCCCCCCAAAGTGTCCCAGCCAACATCCATGTCCCATGAAGCCTTTTCCAGTTCCCCACGTTGGAGGTCAGCCCGTGACCCTCTGAAGTCCTGCAGCTGTTGGTGGGCTGCCCTCTTGGATGGTTATTACTTCCTGTGCCACCTCGTGAGCCTGCCTGTCCTATCCCCCCGGGGAGGCAGTAAGCTCCCCGGGGTCCTGACTGTCGACTTCGCCACTTGGTGCCTGAAAGCGAAGGCACCGCCCCCTCGTCTGCTGGGCGCCGTGGTTGGGCGGAGGAGCGCGTGGCGGGACTGGCGGCCTCTCCGGGTTGCTGCGTGACGAATGGTTTGCTCAGCGCTGTGCTCTCTCCGCAGTTGTGACGCTCGAATGCCTGGGCTTCAAATGGGAGCTGCACCCGCCGCAGCTGTTCCAGTCTGAGACCTTGAGCAAGCTCTACGTCGCGGCCCTGAAAGGGAGCTCCGTGAGGGAAACGGAGCAGCTCCTGCCAGGTGCGATCTGGCCGCGCCGCCTGGAGGGAGGGACTCTGGCCTGGCCCTGGGTTGTCCGGCTGCTCTGGGGCCGTGGTCGCCCTGGCGGCAGTCAGAGCCCGGCCCGTGGTGTGGCCTCATCACGGATCTAACCTCGGTGTCCCCATCTGTAGAGTGGGGGTTCCTGCTGTGGTGCAGGAAAGACGAGAAGGGGTTAGCACTGTGAAGGTCTAGGACAATGCCAGGTCCGTGGTGAGCACTCAGTAACGTCTGCTGTTGTTCTCCGAAAAGCCAGTCCTGCCGGGCCAGCGAGGGCAGGGTCTCCAGCTTCTCCCCCGAGGAGGGTGCTCTGAGGGGCTTTCTGGAAGGGGGGCACCGTTCTGACGCCTGGGGTTTGCTCGGCCCCAAGTGTTAAGGCCAGAGGTTTGCACGTGTACACGGGTTTTACTTTGCCTTTGCTCTCCCTTCTCTTTTCTTAACTCCGCCTCGTTCCAAAAACTATTTAGGTCACTTCTGTCTGTCGTTTTCTCCTCCATTAATCCTAATAATCCCCAGCCTCCCCTTCTGGGAGCCTTGCCCAGGTCTCTGGGCAATGGAGGTGGCGTCACTGCAGGACGATGCGTAAGCAAAAAAGGTGCCGCAGAAAAAAAAAGGCAGGGCCGCTAGCGCCAGCCAGTGCGCCAGCCAGATAGGGATCACGTTTCCAGGGCGTGACAGCGGAGTCCTGTTAGTCGGGAGCCGGACAGGCTGCTGGAGCCCCCTGTCACGGGCCTGCCTGGAGCCTGGACAGGAGCCCCAGCTGCCTGCTGGAACCCCCCAGGCCACAGACTTGAGACTCAGCCCTCCCCTGCCCCCTGGGAGCTGCTTGGGCTGCGCCAGTCCCCACACTTGCGCTCACTCGGGGGCCTCTTCGCCCTTCTAAGCCTTTGTCCCAGAGTCTTCAGGAGCGGGATGGAGCCCTTCCCTCCGCGTCCCCAGGGCCCAGGTCAGAGCTCCTGCGAGGCAGCCCATGAACGGTCACGGAGACCCAGACAGCGAGCACATTGGAAAGCAGGCAGTTTGGGAAGGAAACACGGAGGCACTAACAGTGGGATCTTGAACGTGTCCGGGCGACCTCACTTAAAAGATGAAACCTGGTCCCACGAAGGCAGTCTCCCTAACCAGACCCCTGCTCCAGGCTGGACCTGACTGAGGACGCTGGGGCGGCCGCAGAGACGGGGCCCAGTGCCAGAACTGTCACGACTTTCCAGGGCTCCCCTCCCTGCACCTCCCCCCCACCCCCGCACCTGGCCACGGCACCAGCCACGGCACCAGCCACGGCACCACGCCCAGGATTCAAATCTCCATGGCTCTCAGCGGGGACCATCACAGTCTTCATGTGCCTTTATTTTATTAGTATTGTTTTTAAAATCCTCACCCAAGGGTTTTAGAGAGAGGGGAAGGGAGGGGGAGACAGGAGAGAAACATTGGCATGAGAAACATGGATCGGTTGCCTCTCACACACCCCAACGGGGAAACGAACCCGCAGCCTTGGCCCGTGCCCTGACTGGGAATTGACCCGGTGACCTTTAGGCGTATGGGATGACGCGGCAACCAGCTGAGCCAACCCGCGGGGGAGCCTTTGCCTGCTTTTGAGATCGGAACGTATCTCACCGTGATGGTTGCGTGCGAATCTCGCGGTTTTTGCTCCTGGGTCCTGCGGACCTTGTGTGTGTTGCTGGCCTGGGTTGAGCGGCGGGGACGTCTGGAACCTGGCCCAGCTGTAATGCACCTTCCTCCTTTCACCGCTGCCGAGTGCCGAACTCACGCCAGGCACTGCGCTAGGAACTTGGCCACCCACGGTGATGGCGAAGCGTGATAAATACTAGCACAAGGCTGAGATACTAACCACCTGAGGCCCTGAGGGCCTACTATGTGTCAGATACTCAGTGTATCACCTCATTTCCCGGCCCGGAGGGGAGTGACTGAGAGACGGAGCCTGAGGGTCGGGGGCGGCTGCGGAAACCCAGGAGAGGAGAGGGCCCCGGAGCCGGGAGCCAGGCCCAGCACTTAGTAGGCGCTCAGCAAGAGTTGGCTGAGCTAGAGCGCGGCACGAACGTGGCGAGGGAAGGCGGGGCGGCCTTGCTGCCTGAGGACAATGGCTCTGTGTTTCCTTTTCCTTTCTTCCACGGTCCTGGTCGTTGCAGCAGGTGGCACGCTTTTCGGCTCCTGGCTCGTGCTGTTTCTCATGACCTACAGCCTTGAGCTCCCTGGGCCGGGGGTGCTGCTGGCGGAAGCCATTCGTTCCGTGCGCCCAGCTGGCGTTGGCTGAGCGCCGGCATGCGAGGCTGTGCCGGGTCTGAGGGACGGCGTGGCGAGGAGACCACCCACTGTGCCTGCCTCACAGAGTCAGCCAGCAGGTGGTTCAAGAGCAGGTGGTGGGACAGCAGGTGGCCAGTCCAGAGGGCAAAGGAAGTCCATCTGGGGGAACGTGGGTGGGGTGCTGCCTAACATAAGGGTCGGGTGGCCGGGGAGGGAGCCCCAGGTCTGTCCTGGGGAGCTAACCTCTAGGGGGCAGGTTCGGGGCCCGGGGAGCAGGAGGCCGGTGGGAGGGCCTTAGTGCAGGGGCCTGGGCTCTGCACCAATGGCGTGGGCCCGCCCTGGGGACCTGAGAGCAGTGTATGCAGTCACTTGGTCACTCGAGTTTTAGAATGACCCCGAGTGCATGGGGTAGGCTGGCACTGAATCACACGGTCCCTTCCCTCCCTCCTGGAAGCCGTCAGTGATGGGGTTGTCTGTTTGGAGACCTGGTGGGACAAAGTTTCAAGAGCCACTGGGTGGACACCTCAGCTGTCCTTCAGCAGGTGTGAGCCAGGGGCTGGCGGCGCCCAGGGCCCTGAGGCCCCGCCCTCCCCCTCAGACTGCTAGCGGCCTGGGGGGAGAAAGCGGAGCAAAGGGGAGGGGGTGGGGGAGGGGCTAGGGATAAACACTTCGAGTGCAGTGTGAGCATTTTTCCCCAGTTCTGACACCCGTACGGGCAGCTCCCGGGAGAAACTGGAGCACAGGAGCTCTGCCCTAGTTTTGCAACTTCTCGTGACTCTTCAACTATTCCCAAATAAGCACGCATTTCACACCTGCACCCACTCAGCCAACAAGCAAACAAAAGCAAACGAAATGTAGCGAGTGACCTGCCCAGGCGGCAGGGGTCGTGCAAAGGGTGGGGGGTGCTTAAGACGGGGTCTGGACGGTCACGCCGGTGCGCCCTCGCCCCTTTTCCTTCACCAGTGCTGCCATCTAGGAAGAGCAGAAACACAGCCCTCGTCAAGAAGATGGCCATCTCCCTGAAGATCAACGACCCCCAGGTCACCAAAATCGGTAATGTGCCCCGGTCTCCCGTTCCGGAGGACGCAGCCCTCCCAGGCTTCTAAGGCAAACGCACAACACAACACCACAACACAGCAAACAAGCGCCGTGCCCGGTGCTCCCCTCTTGCAGACAGCGGGGCAGTGCCGGGGGCGGGGAGGAAGGCTGGGGCAACCTGGGGAAATGCGAGAAGGTCAGATGCTGCCAGAGAGACGGGCGCGGCCTCGGCACAGAGGCATGAGGGACGCAGAGGAGGGAGCGAGGAGCAGGCTCCTCAGCGGGCCCAGGGGAGTTGTACGTGCCCTTCGGGGCCACATGGTCCAGGGGAGCTCCCGGACCCACCTCTGAGCCGCCAGGTCCCCTCCCCAGGGGCTCCCTTTGGCTCACCCCCTTCCCATCCCACCCTGACCACTAGAAACAGACTCCTTGTTAACGTGACGTGTCACGTGCTGTCATAGATCAGGAGATCGTCCCCCGAGCCCTGGTCGGGCCAGGTGTCCTCAGAGTGCACCGGTCCACACCGCGTCCCTCTGCCCCTCGTCACAGGAGCCCGGTGCCTAGACCACGGGGTCGGCCAAAAAGTCCATGAGGTTTTTCTGTAAAATAAAAGACAGGTTTTCCACTCTCACCAGTAACTTTGTTCCTTTGGATACTTTGAGTGTGTCGGCTGTCTCCTGCTGTTGGCTTCTAGTGGGTACAGGCCAGGGGTGCTGCTAAACATCTTCCAAAGCATAAGCCAGCCCCACAGCAGAGAATTGCTTGGCCAAAAAGTCAACAGCGCCAAGAAACTTCGCAAACCACTTTTGACATGTTCGGTCAGTCACGGCAGCTTCTCCACGCACTGCACAAATCTTCTTTCGTGTTCCAGTTGTGTCTTTACCTTTCTTGAAATAATAAAGCGTAATACTCCAGAAATGTTGTGCATTTTCTTCCATCTTCAATATTGAAGTGGCCGCACAAAAATTCGCCAGTTCTGATGTTTTTAAATGCACGCCGACACGACAGCTGCGACAGTGCAGTCTCACAACATCGTTTCGCACGGAGTGAAAGACACCTCAGGGCACATAGAGCCATCGCCTGGAAAAAAACATGAGACTTTTTGGCCCACCCAATACCAAATCAGCCGGGCGCCTCCCGGAGCCTGTGAACTTGCTGAAGACCCCAGACTCCGAGGAAGGTCCGCTGTGAGTTACACGTCACTCCCGGCGCAGACTCCGGCCGCCCCCGCAGGCACACGGCACCCTGCACCTGTTCGGCCAGTCGTCTCCCTGCGAGGCCGCGGCCCCCTGCTCAGGGGAAGACCCCCCCTCCCAGGCACAGACTCTGGGGAGAGGCTCACAGGAGCAACCTTCCCGAGGGGGCTGTTTTCTTCCGCTTCACCCTCAGGCCCTCTGGGGAGGCTGGGAGCCCGGGTGGCGCCTGCGCCCTGGTCAGCGCCTCTCTGGCCGCCCAGCAAGTGGACACCGGAGCATCCGGCAGGGAGGGTGCCCGTGAGTGAGACACACATGGCGCCCAGCCCCACGCTGACGGCCCTCTCTCGGATGCTGCCTCCCCAGGCTTCGCCACGGCACTGAAGCACCTCTACCTGAGCCAGGTGGACATGAACTTGGAGGACGTGCTGGGGGTGCTGGCCTCCGCTCACATTCTGCAGTTCGGCAGCCTGTTTCAAAAGTAAGGGGATGCGGGAAGCACGTGCAGGGCCGGCCCTGGGACAGACGGGAGGGGGTCCTGCTGACCGACTTCACGGAGCATTCCTCTTCCGTGGGCCGGGGTGCCTGGGCTTTCTTTGCACAGAGAACAGCTCTGAGTCCGCAAAGGAGTCAAGTCAGACACTATCAGCTCACAGCTGGGCCGTGTCCCCAGGGACGCGCTCCTTTTAATGAATGATTCTTGCCTCACGGGAATGAAACGCAAGCAGGGGATTTCCAACCTGGGAGGTAGTTTTCAGGTGTGCAGAGTGACTTCCCAGGAGCACCCAGGCCATGCTTGTCCATGTCACTTGCGCTCCTCTTTGGCGGAAAAAGCCTCTCTCCATGTAGTCCCACGCCCAAAAACCGGTCGTTCGAAGACAAGTTGACTTTTTCCATCACTGTTAGGACTCATGCCTCCCACTCATTTCCGATCGGGCCTTGTTTTTGCCGGGTAAATAGTATGATTTTTACAAATGCTACACGTGGTCATGGCAGATATTCCAGGAGAGAGAAAAAGTCAAAGATCAGAGTCAAAATCGCCCGTCCATCCAGCTGCCCATTTGGGACCCAGCCTTTCCCCTGGGCCTTCAGATCCTGCTGGCCCACCTGGGGGTCCTCTGGCCAGACGTCCACATCTCTCCAACGAGGCCCCTTCCTCGGGGAAGGGCTGTGCCACGGTCCTGGGGTTGAATGAGACCCTCGGGGAGGTGGCGGGCAGCGGTGGGTCTGAGAGCAGCCTGGGAGCCTGGGGAACAGCGGTTCTGTCTCTGCAGGTGCGTGGCCATGATGGTCGATGGACTCAGCCCAAGCAACATCACTAACTTCTACCTGGCCGGCTGCAAGGTGAGAAGAGCCCGGACCGGGCAGGTGGCACCTAGGGCACGGCAAGGGCGCCCAGAGTCTGGGTCACCCACCAGGCCCCGCTCTGACACATACCTATCCGAAGTCACCAACTAGGGGTACCGATGTTTTCTTCCGCCAAGCGAACAATTTAGAAAAGCCATTTCATTTAGAAAAGGACATTGGAACACCGCAAGGGTAGAAAATAGTTTTGATCTTGGTGGGGGGGTTGGGGGTGATAGCCTTTTCTCACCAAAACAGCAAATGGCCTTCCAGGATACTCTTGTTGGAGGTGGGCGAGGTTTGTCCCCCTGGGCCCAGTCGGCACTGGGAGCACAGGGTGTGGCCTGACCCTCTCAGGAGGCAGAGAGCCCAGGAGGGGGGCAATATGGCCAGGGTGACACAGTGTCTCAGCGGCCGCGCCAGAGGCCTGAACTCCGGGCCTCCGATGCCAGCCTCCCACCGTGAGGCCACTTCCGCCGACACGGGCGTGTTCGGCCAGAATGTCCGGCTCACGCGCAATCAGCCTGTGCGGTGCCCTGCCTCTGGGAATGTCGAGAACGCCCACTTTGTCAAAGATAACTCGTGGTCCTTTCCTTTGCTCCCTCCCTAACCAGCCAGCCCCGCGGTGGGGGGCGCCTCTGCACGTCTGTCAGCATCGTCCAGGTGCTCTTCGGCGGGGGAAGGACCAGAGTCCCCAACGCATGCAACACACACTCAGCCCTGCCCAGGGCCCTGGTCCCCGAGGCCTCTGCCACTTTCTCCGGGCGTTCCTTTCTGGGTATGCACTTAGCACTCCACCTGGGGTGGGCCCCGGCGGCCGTCGCCACTGACCGGTCCAGAGAGTTCAGTGGTGAGCCCTGGGGTCAGACCGCCGGGGTTTCCACCCGACTCTGCGCTTACGCAGGTGACCACGGGCAAGAGCAGGAATCTTGGAGCCTCCATTTCTCTCTCCATCAGTAAAATAGGGATAATCGTGAACCGACCTCACAGTTGACCTACTTTGAAGAGAAAGTCTGAGCATGTCTGGGACCTGACACTCCCGGGAGCGCACGTGCAGCCTCATCACTGTCCAGCAGAGGGCGCTGAGAGTTCAGGGATTCCTTTACCTACTGGCTTTCCTTGCCTTCTCAGTACAAGGAAGAGCCGCTCATCGCGGCCTGTGAGAAGTGGCTGGAAATGAACTTGGTCCCCCAGATGGGGAGGCAGATCCACCTCCGGAAAATCCCCAAGAACCTGCTCCAGAAAGTGCTGATGTCTCCCAGGTCAGAGCTGGTTCCGGGGTGTGTGCACACATGTGTGTGCACATGTGTGCATGTATGTGTAATGCGTGCCTGCAGATGTGCCTGGCCAGGCGGGACTGGAGTTGGGAAGGGAGATGCTGCAGCAGTGGCAGCACCCACACCCCTGCCGGACCTAGTCCGTGGGCCACACCCCCTGCGCCCCAAACTTCTCGCCCTCCTGGCCAGCCAGTGGGGGTGCTGAATGTGGGGTACTGTGCATGGGGAGGGGAGGGCATCCCCTTCATGCTGTTCACCAAGGTAAGCACCCTCTGGGTGCCCACTATCTTGCTACCCACCTGGTAACTCATCATGCCAATTGCCTAAGGAATTTTTTTTAATCCTGCCAATGTTAACATATATTCATTGTGGGCAATTTGGAAAACAGGGAGAAGCAGAAACAGGAAAATAAAAGCTCACCCCCTAAATCAGTTTCTCTCCTCAGACCTGGCTCCTCTCCTGAGCAGCTCTGGACCCAGAGAGCTACCTGCACGGCCTCTCTGACAATTTAGGCTAAAACCCAACTCCCGGTGCCCCGGCCCCCAGCCGCCGCCCCTTCCGGACACCACTGCCCCTCCCGCCCCACGAGCCGTGAGTCCTGCTTCAGACCCAGCCCGTCACCATGGGCCTCGCTCCCAGGTACCCGCAGCCGGAGGCCAAGCCTCCAGGGTCTCAGCTGGACCCCGCAGGGACCTTCACCTCGGGGTCTTGCATCTGCTCCTGACCGCCTTCCGATCCTGTCTCCGGCCAAGAGCCACTGACCCTCCGCATCTGGGGCCCCCTCGGCATCTCACAGGCCACTCAGCAGCCATGGGGGGGGCCTTCCCGACACCCGCTCCCCCCGGCTCCTTGAATGTGCCCCTCCCACCTGAAATGCCCCCCCCCAAACTGGCTCCTCACCCCCCAACTAATTCATGGGAACCTCCCCCAGGACCTAGCCTCTCGGGTCATTACCACGGTTTTACGACATAAATAGCACCGTGGTGGCCGTAAATTAAATTCCTAGAAGGGAACTCACTCAGTTAAAAGGAATTTCTGTTTGTTTTTATTGGTATTCCTAAAACACTTTATTTGAAAATAATTTCAAACAAATAAAAGTTACAGGAATAGTACAGAGACTATCTGTACGCCTGTAGCCCTGTCCAATTTCGGCCCTGTGCGCCCACCCACGCATCTCTTCGTGAGCCCCCTGAGGGCAAGTAGCGTGCACCACGCACGACGCACCATGCATGACGCACGACGCACGACGCACCACCCACCACGCTTCCTCACCCCTCAACACCCCTGTGTCCGTGTTCTAGTAACGAGGATGTTGTAAAACACCATCCCGAGGCAGCGAGCAGCTTCGGGAAGCTGGACGTCGGAGTAATGCCCCCCCACCCCGACCCGGAGCTGTTCTCTCCGGCACGGCTTGTCCCTCTGGCGCGGCTCGACTCGAGGTTCACGCACCGCCCTTGCCTGCCCATGCCACGCCGGGGCTCGTTAAAAGATGTTTTGATACCCGCTGGCAAGTTACCGAGTTTGCATTCCCTTCGGGTGGATTTCAAAAGTGAGGACTCAGTTCTGCCAGAGACACGAGTGGCAGAGCGGGAAGTCAGGGTTTGCTCGTGCTCCCGCGGCAGGAAGCACCCGGATTTCTGACGTTAGAGGTGGACTGAGTCCATGCTTCGAACTCACCAGGGAGCTTGCAGTGCGCAGAGGGACGAGGTTGGGAGAACAGCGTTCCGGCGTTGAGGGAACCCTGAAGATGTCAGGACCTGGGGTCCCAGGAGCAGCCCCAGGCCACCGGGTAGACTCCCTGGGGCCAGTCCCCCCTGCCCCCCTCCACCCCCACCGCCCCCACCTCGGCTTTCCCCGAGAGGGCACTCTCCCGCCCCCTAGGGGAGCAGAGCTTATGCAACGGGCGAGGAGAAGATAAACAGAGCACCCCTTGGACTTTTGGGAACACTGCCCTGCCCTTGGAAAGATTCAGCTGCCCCGCCTTGGTAGCCTTAAACCAAAAAAGGGAGAAAAAAAAGGGCTGACCACAACCAGGACATGAGCGATGGTCCAGGCACCAGAAAACACGTGCCCGGCAGGAAAAGAAATCAAGGACATGACGTGTCGGGTGTCTGGACTCTCGAGTGTGGGGAGCATGACTGATGCGGGGCGGGGGGGGCGGGGGGAGGACTGGGTGTCGCTCCTCTGGTCCCCCCCTCAGGAGCCGTCTGCACTGGCCGTCCGGGCTCTCCTGGCACAGGGAGGGGGCAGCGCTGCATGGATCGGGCACATTGCCCGCCAAGTGCCTGCGTGGCCAGGCCAACGGCTCCCTGACTCACATCTTCCAGAGTAAACTCTCCTCGCCCCGTTGATGTCCAGGGGCCACCTGCTTTAAAGCTGGAGGGGGGGAGGGTGCAGAAAGAGGGGGCTTGGGCCACATCTGGGGACAGTGTGAGAAATTTACCCAGGCCCAGGCTCCACGGATAGCACATTATTTAGAACAAAGTTTTGGGAGCGTTCACTTTTGTTGACTATTTTGGGGTGCCCCTTTCCATCCCCACAGCCCAGGGCAGGGGGCAGAGTTGTTGTCCATGAAAGAAGGGGAATGATCACAGGCCGGGCTGGGCTCCTGCCTGGCTCCCAGGTCCCGGCCCCCACCCTGCTCACCGCACCGTCATCTCATCTGTTACAGGGGCCAGGGCTTCCCAGCAACCAACTCAGCCGGGACCGGGGCGGCCTGGGAAGTCAGGTGGCTTTGGACTGGCTGGGCAGGGAGGCCACCCTCCCCCGGGGCAGGGATGGCTCGCCCTGCAGCCCAGGTCCCGGCTGCAGCCGTGGTGTCTGGGCTAGAGGACACCACCACCTGTTGGAACAGCATCCATCTCTCCGCTGACGCATCCGCTTCTGGGCCACTCCCCTGCTCCTTCCGAAGTCCCTTTGACCTCATCTTCCTCTGGGTGTTGCTTCCCAACTTGTAAATGACCTGGGGTCACACACACGGTTTCCCTGACCTCCTGGCCCTCGGGTTTCTGGTTAACGTTCACCCTAGAGGTCACCACTGGGTTATGCTGTTCTCACTCTAACGTGACCAAAACAATTGCAAGGCCTGATTTTCTGGAAGCAGAGGTCCTTGTTGACCTAAGAGGGTAGAGAACCTATCTGGCCTCTGCCCACGAAAGGCTGCCCTGTAGCCGGGGGCGGGGGGGGGGGGGGCCACGTCCCTCCTGGTGGCCACCTCTCCCTGACTTCCTGCCTATGATGCAAGGAGTCTTCAGGGCTCAGGGATTCCCTAGGAGAAGCCGCCCTTCTCCTCCAGGGATGCCTGTCCCACAGCGGGTCCACTAGCGTCTGGAGCCCGCCTCGGCCTCCCTCCCCAGGGTAACGGTTCCTGAAGCTACTGCTTCTCTGGTTAGTGACAATACCCTCCAGTTACTGAGCGCTTGTGGTACGCAGGGCCCTTGAGAGGGCTATCGGGTCTAGCTCCCACAGCAGCCCAGAGAGGGGCCGTGTGACACACGCTTTGCCCGTGCGATGGCGACGACCATGGGAAAGGAAGGACCGGCCCGAGGCCCTTCGGCATGGCAGCTGGGACTGGAGTCCAGGTCTGAGCGGCCTCAAAACCCGTGGCCGCGGTCAGCCCGCTGGGCAGCTGCACTCCGGCCTCCCTTTCACCTGACTGAGGGTCAGGATCAATAAGGAGACTGACGTTCATATTTTTTTTTATTGGAAAAAGAAATTCACAAAGGTGGGAGGGTACTACAAAAGCCAAAGGGACCCACCTCCCAAATGGACAAAGGGTGACATGTGTTGTAAGCTGGAAAATGGAGAACTACCAAGGAAGCCGGAGTCGCCTACTGACCTTCCAGCCCTCCCCCCCACCCCCCCTCCCTCCCTCCCTCCCTCCGCTGCTGTGGACCCGTGCGGACCCAGTCCGTGAGGTTATACCCTCACTGCACGCACGTGCGTGCGTAAATACTGGGTCGTATTGTTTCGCAAAGGTTTGAACTTCAAATAAATGCTCTCGTCGTGACCTTGACGTTCTGCTACTCACGTCCTCTGCTAACATCACGTGCTGTGTTCTCTCCACGGCGGTACTTACAGAGCTAATTAGCCTTGTTAATTAATCGTGGTCCAGGGTTCCGCTGAATCAACAGACAGGATTTTTTTTTCATTCCCTTCCTAACAGCCCTTTGTTTTATGGTGTTTGGCTTCGGTATTTTTCCCTGCAACCATCCAGGCTGCTGTGAGCATCCTGGCTCATATTTTTTTTGTTCTTGGCTTTCTCTGAGGTCTATATTCAAAAGGAGGCCTTTGTTATTTATATACAGTTTTCTCAAAAAAAAAATAGAGGACAAACAGTGTCTTGTTAAAAGCATTTTTTTTCCTTGTAAAGAACAAGAAAAGAACACCCCGCCCCAGCCCCAGCCCCAGCCCCAGCCCCAGCCCCAGCCCCAGCCTCACTGCTCTGAGGGGAGCATTAGCAAAGGCCCCAGGAGCAGCCTGGGGTGTGGGCGGGGCGGCACCTTCCGGAGGGAAGGTGGGGCTCTGGGTGAATTGTCTTGATTAGGGTTAACGAAACTCTGCTTGGAAGTCCTCCTGTGTGGTGATTTCCTGCAGAACTGCTACATTAGGGTCCTGATACTCAGCCTAAAGGCAGGGAGAGAGCTTTATTTCAACATTTACCCTCCATCTCAAAAACAAAACCAGGGTGAAAAATAAAGTTCATGGAGCTCTCGTGACCCCGCCCCCCCCATGTGGCTGCTGCCCTTTTGGTAAGGTCTCAGAGAACCCCCTGGGCCTGGGGATCTGGAGCACGGGTTCTGCCCCAGAGTCACGTTGCTCGCCACCCAGTGGTGGCAGAGTCCTGGCAGAGTTCTCCGTGGGGACATCACACCAGGTGGCTCTACGACATCCCCCCGCTGCCTCGCCGTCATGGCCCAGACAGTGACAAATGTGTCCTGTCTGGCCAGGGGCAAAGCTCAAGCATCTGTAGGTGGCTTAGAAACAAATAAGAGAGAAGAGACCATTCTCCTGTGTCCAGAAATAGCGTGAGAGGTGGGTGGGTGATATTTCCACTGCCCTTTAGAGCCACGCTCTGGCTGGGGCTCCACCCACCCTGACCGTAAGCGGTGGGTGAAGAGGCTGTGATGTATTTTGAAGCCAGGGGACCAGCTCCATGGCCAGAGACGGAAAATTCCAGCGGGCTGGAGAACCCCTGCAGAGGCTGTTCGGGCAGCTGTCCGGGAATCGTCCTTACTTACGTTACAGAGCTGGCGTGTGAAGGCAGCAGCGTCTCTCCGGCACTTGTCTCCGGAGGGGGCCGCAGGCTGCCGCAGCCCCAGCGTGGGCCCTGCAGCCAGGACCCAGCCCTGCTCCCTGTGACTCAGAGCTGCCGTTCGCCGAGCGCGTTACCATGAGCCGGGCACCGTGCTAAGCAATCAGCATGTGTGGGGACGGCTCAGTAACAGTCCCCAGAGATGTCCCCATCCCAGCCCTTGGCACCTGTGAATATGTTAGTTTGCAGAGCAAAGGGGAATTCAGCTTGCAGGTGAAACTAAGGTTCCTACGTGGATGATATCAGAAGGGGGTGCGATCCTGGATTGTCACGTGGCCCAAGGCCATCACAAGGCTCCTTAAGTGTGGAAGAGGGAGGCGGCAGAGTCGGAACCAGGGAGCGGTTGGAGGGTGCCCTGCTGCGGGCTTGAAGATGGGGGGAGGGGCCGCAAGCCAAGGAGCGCGGTGGCCTCTCAAAGCCGGAACAGACCAGGACGTGATCCTCAGTGGGAGCCTCTAGTGGCACCAAGCTCTGTACGACCCACTTCGCCCCTCCGACCTCCCGCCTGTGAGACAATGAACATGTGCATTACGAAGCCGCAAGGGGTGTGGCAGCTCGTTTCAGCAACAGTGGGCTTCATACGATGTGTCCCTTCGTGTCGCCTGTACCTCTATCCTCTGGGCAGCCGCGTCACCGTGCTCTCACAGACGGGAGAGTTGAGGCTGCAGGGCCGCTGAACCGCCCTCGGGAGGGTCCACAGGCAGTTTGGGGCAGAACCGAGCCACGCCCCGGTCTGACCCTGGAATCCGTGACTTCGAACAAGCTATTTGTGTTTCAGTCCTCAGTCAGGGCCGGGACTAGAATGTGACAAGAGACACATTCGCCTCGGGTGCAAATCTAGGGGCGGGCACCAGTCTGTCATCCAGATTGCTTTAGTGCAACATTTCAAAATAAAAATGTGAAAAACCATGATGAACACACTACGACAATTTTAAATAAATGGGCAATTTCAACTTCCGCATCTGTAAAAGTCAGGACTCTCCCAACTTTGTGGGATTGTTGTGTGGATTTAAATAAAAGAAGAGCCCTGGCTGGTGTGGCTCGGTGGATTGAGTGCCAGCCTGTGAACCAAAGGGTCGTGGGTTTGAGTCCCCGTCCGGGCACATGCCTGGGTTGCAGGCTAGGTCCCCAGTAGGGGGCACATGAGAGGCAAGCATATATTGATGTTTCTCTCCCTCTCTTTCTCCCTCCCCTCCCCTCTCTTCCAAAATAAGCAAATAAGATCTTTTTAAAAATATTTTCAAAATAAAAACATGGCTGACAAATAAATAAATAAACCAATAAAACATGGGGGACACTGGCTCGTGACACGATTACACGATGGCCATTGTTTGGGGGCAGCACAGCGGGCGGATGAAAGAGCAGGCCCCAGCACCAGGTGGCCGCGGTTCAAGTCCCAGCTCGCCATTTACCGGCCCCGTGACCCTAAGCAGGGCACTGCGTGGGGCTCTGTCTGAAGCCACCTGCACACTCGGGGGGGGGGGGGGGATGGGGTGCTGCCTCCTTCCTAAACTCCCTGTTTACTCTTCGTTGTCTTGCACACAGAGTGGGGTTCTTCTGTTTTCGTTTTTGTCTTTGTCTTTTTTTTTCTATTCCTACAATGTCCTCTCAACCTCTTATTTTGCCCAGGCTGTTTACGCTTAGTGAGCTTCACCTTCTGAAAACGCTGCTCCTGTGGGTCTACCTGCACCTGAACCACAGGACTCGGGCCATCCCGGAGTACGAGGCCATGCTGACGTTCTTTCACAGGTAACGTGTCACCTTGTGTTGGTTGGCGACGTGTACGGACACGGTTTTTTTTTGCTCATAATATCGGGGAGAAAGCATCAGCGATGCTGTTTTTCATGGCGTCATTCAGAGTGCACAGAATGCGGTTTTCTTTATGGAGCCTGAGATTATGGGATGCCTTTGGCCCACTAGAGTCCTTGAAAACGTGGAGGATGTGTAGGTGTTGGCATGTCGAGACCATCCTGCGCTTCTGAGAACGTGTTCTGTGTCCAGTAAAAGACACACTGCAGAAGGTAGTCCTCCTACCTGTGTGGTGTGCAGGTGCATGATCACGCTCCCCTGACCTTGAAAACTTCCTATCTCAAACGTACCTAAATCCGACCCAGTCATTCTCAGTGACATCTCGCTACAGGGCGTACACATGCTGAACTTTCTGGACAAATGAAAAAATATTTGAACATGCACAGGTTTCACAGAATTAAGCAGTTTCTTCTGCTCTGCAAAGGTATCGATGCTAAAAGGCATACGCCTCAACACTTAACTGAAAAATAACAATTGCCGAATAATAATGAGCGCTGGGATGCTTGCTGAATGCAGTAATCCTGACAAGCAGCTACTTGGAATCTCGTTTAATCCGCATGAGACGCAGGGGCTGGCTCCATTATTCCCATTTTCCAGTAGAGATGAACTCTCTTATCCGAAGTCCCACGCCTGAGAGGGGTGGAGCCTGACTTGCACGCAGACCCACGGAGTCCCACGGGACTTCGCTGCCCATTCCCAGCCCAGCAGCTGGTATACTCCCTGGTCCCGGCCTCGCTGTTCAGCCCAGCTCCCTGGGCACGGTGCTCAGAAAGACCCCGAGGCTGCCTCTGGGCTCAATGTGTGTGGTGCTTTGCGGTGCTTTCCTCCCCCTCGCCGTGTCCCCCTTCGCCTGTGAGTGGCGCCTGCTGTGGCAGCCCGAGGCCAGGGACCAGGGTAGGATGAGTGTGGAAGCGATAGTTTATGGGATCCATCTGGTTTCTGTGTTCAGCCTCTGTTAAAACTGCGTGACATAGGCTCACGTCCTCCAAGCTGCCCTTGGACTGCAGGGACCCTGCAGCCAAAGACAGTCCCCCGGTGGCCCTCGGCAGATCTGCCCCAGACAGGAAGTCATTGGTGGCATGACCCTCAGGGTCGGGTCCAGGACCCTGCACCCCGCACCCGTAGCCCCAGCCGCGGGGCCTCCCAGCAGGAGGAGGCCTGGTTGGGGGAGTCAGGAGGCTCCGTTTCTCCCGCTCCCGTGGGCTCGGTGGATAAACACGCCTTCCGCGTGCACGTCGTCGGCCTGTCGACCTGTTTAAGCCAAGTTGCGTCTGCATTGTGCTGCAGCACTGAAGTCTTTGCTGGAACATCCGTGCGCCGCGTCAGCGACGGAGCCCGCTTTCTCTGTCTCGTTATTTGGAGAAAGCAGTGTTCAGTGCCAAAGTGATAAGTACTTCGCTTAGTTTCTATATAATTTGCTTTGAACCCCAATGTTTTCATCCCTCCCTCCCCCCTACACTTTAAATAGCTCAAGAGACACTTTTTCCTATGAGTCACGCACACCAGGAAAGTTGCTGTTTGGCTCCGGATTCGGTCTCCTACTGGAAACGTCTGGGAACCAGGAGATAGGAAATGAGCGAGAATGGGGGTGATTCATTGGGGGTTCTGTGTTTAGTGGGAGAGAAACAAGTGGGGATGAGGGAGCGAAGGCTGGTGGGCCCCCCCCACCTCCAGTGAAAGTGGGGTGTCCTCAGACATGTTGTCGGGTTGCAGTCTCAGGGCCTTCTCTCCCACACAGGTGTGTCTCACCATCACGGCTTCCCTGTTCCTCTTGGATCTACGTTAATTCCATTTTGCCCCAAACCCCATCGCTCCTCACGGCACTTCCCTAAGCCCCCAGTTTTGCACAGCTTTCCTGGGTGGAGACCACTCGCAAGCTTCCAAATCACCCCAACCTAAGCAGTTCCGACAGCATCTTCCACCAGGGCCCACGTTCAATGACTGAAGCGCAGGAGTGAACCCTGACGGCCTGTGAACCTCCCCGGCTGCCCTGCTCCCTCTTCTCTCCCTCCGGCAAGCCCTGTGTGCCCCCAGGACAAACATGGGGCAGCCTAGGCCTCCGACACCGCCCCCTGTGGTGGTCCAGGCCCACTCCCAGCTGGGAGCACCACGTGGCCCAGTTCTAGTGCCACGGGCGGTCCTCCTCCCACCCTGGCTCACTGGTCTACCCAGAACGGTGGGACCCATGAGGTCCACCTGTCAGTGGCCTCCACCGTGCAAACCACGTCCCTGAGTCCCCCGGCTCCTGAGCCTAGGGAACGGCATCGCCGCCCCCGCTCACCCCGCCCAGGGCTCTGCCTCCTGTCCTCAGCCTGCCTGCCCATGAACCTCGTGCATCTCTGTGCGTGTGTCTGTCCTGCCCGCCCAGGTGCACCGTGAGCAGCTTCAAGGAAGCTTGCCCGGCACTGGGCGCGACACCTAATAGCAAACTAAATGAGGCTCCATGGAACGTCTTCATGCAGCCTAGTTCCCCTCAGGGAAGCGGGTCTTACCCTGCTGACGCGAACTTCGGAGCACGCCGTGTCTGGAGCGCCACGAAGTGATGGGGCTCGCGGACAGACGCCCATTGTTGTGGATGGGCGGTCCGGTGCGCCAGACTGGGGCGGGCTCGAAGGCGCTCGCTAGGCTCGGGGAGAAGCAACGTCTCGGCAGGTTGTTGACACCTACACCTGCCCGGACATGGAAGCAGGCCGTGGTGGCACCCATGCTCCAAGTCTGCCATCCCTTCCTGAGGCTCCCCGGGGCTGGCCGGAGGCAGCGCAGGGCCCTGGAGCTGCTGGCCCAACGCGGCTGGTGGGGGCCCGAGGGCTCAGGCGGCGAGAAGCCACCTCACCTCCAGCCTGTGGGAACTCACAGTCAGCCGGGGCCAGAAGTGGGTCAGCAGGGGAGGCGATCGACACAGTTCAGTGAAGCCCAAGGGGTCGGCTAATCCGTGACCACTAAGAGGGACATGCCAGGAGCATCTCCGCATGGGGCAGAGAGCGGATCTCCTGGGGGACGGTACACAGGCTTGGGAAGGAGCAGCGAGAAAGTTGACTATTTGGGCCCAAGTGTAACAGTTGCATCTGCTGAGGAAACCATTTCAATGGCGGAGTGAGGTATAAGCTAAAGCCCGGGTTGGGGAGGAGCAGCCGGAGTGGGCATTTGGAGGCCTCACCAACAGGGGAACTTCCCAGCGGAACTGGACTCACATGGTGTGGGGGCTGGGGGACAAGCTGCGTGAATGTTAGTGAACGAGGCCCAGTGGCCCACAGGACAGAGGCGGCTGCTGCTGCTGCGGGTCCAGCCCGGGCCAGCCCCGCACCTGCAGAGGGTAGACAGCCACAACTGAGGAAAACGAATCAGGGGCCCCTTTTCCCCGCCGTCTTAGCAGCGTCCGGAGGGCAGGCTGTCGGGGTGACTGGATCTGCGTGGTCTCCCTCTCCCACTGCACCCTGCAGCAGATCCCAGCCTCTCCTGCCCTCTTGTTTTCTTTACTGATTTTTCCGATCTTTCGTGTATCCCACACACATTCATTGCGCACGGACTGCATGCTGGGGACCCTGATGGAGAGTCGAAGCCGTGGTTTCTCTCCCTGGCCAGGTGCTCGGGGATCTCTTCAGGCTTGTTTTTACTGCTGCCCAAGTGCCTCCAGAGAGGAAAGAGACAGACTCACACTCACACACACACACACACACACACACACACACGCACACACCCCACCCCTCGGCACCCACAGCCTGTGTTCCTGGCAATGGTTACTTTAGAAAAACAAAAACACTGTCCAGAATAAAATGTAACATTTCCTAGTAGGGAAAACAAACAAACAAAAAAGCCATATGCAACGCTGTCGCCTTCCTCCGAGGAGGCCTAGTCATCGCTGCATCCCGCTCGGCGGCCCGGGAAGTCCAGGAAAGCTGCACAAACTCACCGGTTGGAGAAGAGCCAGAGGCAGGCAAATTGTTCACTTTTTAAAAGTACACTTTTTTTTATTAGATGACTTTACTTTTATTTTATTTTTTTAAAGATTTTATTTATTTCTTTTCAGAGGGGGGCAGGGAGGGAAACAGAGAGGGGGAGAAACGACGATTGGTTGCCTCTCGCACGTCCCTGGCTGGGGACCTGGCCCACAACCCAGGCATGTGCCCGGACTGGGAATGAACCAGCAACCTTTCAGTTCACAGGCCGGCGCTCAGTCCACTGAGCCACAGCAGCCAGGGTAAGAGTACGTTTTGTTTTTTAAATTTATTTATTTTTAGAGAGGGAAGGGAGGGAGAAAGAGAGAGAGAGAGAGAAACATCAATGTGTGGTTGCTGGGGGCCATGGCCTGCAACCCAGGCATGTGTCCTGACTGGGAATCGAACTTGCGACACTTTGGTTCCCAGCCCACACTCAATCCACTGAGCTATGCCAGCCAGGGCAGGAGTATGTTTTCAATCAAAGTATCAAGCAGACACAGAGCAGTGCACAAGCTGACAGTGGATGAGTCCCACGAAGCGCCCTCATCTGCCTCAGCAGCACCTAGGCCACGGAACAGGACTCGACCAGCTGCCTAACTAGCGGCCCCACCGCAGTCACCACCCCTCCCACACTTCCTTTCACTTCCAGGTCGCAGGGGTGAGGGCAAGCCATTCACACACCAGCTGTTCTTATCCTTAGTCCACGTATTAGTCCCTCACTGGGTCCCTCTCAGCCTCGGCAGAGGTGGGCTCCAGCCACGGACGTGCGACCCCACTGGAAGGAGGCCGGCTTCTGCACAATCCCCACTGCCCGATGGACGCTCCTGACCTCTGCTGCTGGGCCGCCCCTTCCCGTGCCCTGTCTGATCCGGCCCCCACGGAACTGGCCAAGCACTCCTCCAGGAAGCCTCCCAGGGTCTCAGCTGCACACCGAATGGTCCCCTCCCCTGAGCCTCGCTTTGCCGAGAGGACAGGAGCTGGCTGTGCGGGCACGCACCAGCTGGGCCAACCCCCCCCACTCTCCCCCGCCCCCGTGCACCGTGAGAGGGCAGCTGCCCTGGCGCCACAGCCCGCTGCCATCTCGAGGGACGCGCTCCATGACACAGCGGGCCAAGGACGGGCAGAGGTCGTGTGTCTCTTGTGATTAATGAACAGCATTCGCAGAGTCACCCGTGAGTCACGGCCGGCCGTGAGGACCATTACCTTGTTCTCTCCTCAAATCGCCCCACCCCCCAAGCCCCGCCCACCTCCATCCTTCCGGTCCCTACGAACCTGACGGCTCCGGGGACTTCAGAGAAGCGGAGTTGTGCAGTATTTATCTTTGTGTGTCTGGCTCACTTCGAGCAGCATCATGTCCTCGAGGTTCACCCAGGTCGTGGCGTGTGTCCGAATTCGGAAATGCGTGCAGACGGTCGCTGACTCGCGACGGTCTGACTCGGGATTTTCCACGTCGCGTAGGGTACCACTGGCGTGCGTCCAGGAGACACCATGCTTTGAATTTGAAAGCCGATCTTTCCCCCGGCCAGTGACCTGCGGTGCGGGGCTCTCCTGGGACGCCGGGCAGCGGCAGGGAGATGCTTTTGCCCGGCGGTAGCTTCGTGTCCGTGTCCTGAGCACGTTCAGGGCGGGCTGGGCGACGCTCGGGTGTTCCGTAGGCTGAGTGTATTAAATGCGTTTTTGACGTATGGCATCTTCCACGTGCGATGGGTTTATCGGCATGTAAGTCAAGGGGAAGCTGTACGATATTTTAACACTAACGGTTGAAGGGCTGGGGTCCTGGGGGCTCTGAGTTAGGGACTGAGCAGAACCAGTAAAGGCTCCAACAGAGAACAGGATGGGTTGGGGGGAGAGGGTGGCTAAGAGCTGCTCTAAGCAGGGAGACCTGCCCCAGCCACTGCCTTTCAGGAAGTCTGTCCTTCCAAGAGGGTTCTGTCCCCAGGGCCTTGAGGACAGGACAAAAACCCTTTTGACCCCAGAGCCAGCCTGAGTGTGCCTGTCGGTGCCCAGGCCTTGCAAACTGTCCTCCCTAAAGGGGTCACACCCCTCAGGTTTGTCGACGCACATCAGGAGGCAGAGACCACGGCCTGACGTTTGCCCCGGAAGAGTCCGGGCCCAACCCCGAGGTCTCTGCGCAGACCACGCTCGGTGCCAGGGGGCTGTCCATGCCAGACAGTCCCACGACAGCTGCGTGGAGAGGTCGCCGACAGAGCAGCCAGCCTCCTCCCACTTCCTGTGACATCGGAGGGACGCAATGACTCGTCACTGATGTAGCGGCTGTCTCCGCACCCAGACAGCTGGGAGGAGTCAGTTTGGGGGCAAACGTGCTGGGCCGGACCTGGGAGACATGGGTAGAGTCCCGGCTCTGTAACCACCGGCCCTGCTGGGCCCCCTGGGCAGGGAGACGCGGGTCGGCTCACCGGGCCGGGTGCTCTGAGATCTGAGAAAATGCGGAGCTGAGGCCTCCGCTGTCTCCTCTTGAGATGGCCCACGGCTCTTGGGCCGGTTAGAGGGTGACGCTCATAGTGGATGCCACCAAGAACAGTCCTGCGCAGCCTGGGTCTAGGTCATTTCCCTGGGACCAGGGGACAGTGGCGGTGACCCTGGCACTGAGGGGTCACCGGGTATCAGTGGCTGTGCCAAGCCCCTCACAAGCCCTGTCACCTGAGGCCTCCCAACGCCACCCGGGAGGCACCTGTGGCTAAAGCCCCCACTCGACAGAGAAGGAGGCTGGAGCTCAGGGAGGCTCGGTCCCGTGACTGACGGCCAGCGGGCTCGGGACCCTGACCTGGTCTCACTCCAGGGCCCAAGCTCAGGGACCTGGGTGGGCGGTGGATGAGCTGACCTGTGACCTCACCCAATCAGCCACCATCAATGCCACTTCCCTGTGACCCAACAGAGTCATGAAGTCCAATCGCCTTTCTCAACACAGCTCTTCCCGAACCCTCTGGGAGAGAACGTCTGTCCAGAGGGGTCCTCGCTGATGGTCCGGGGGGCCTGAGCGCCTCACACGGGGGCATGGGGACCTCGGCTCCCTCCCAGGCCTCCAGCAGCCTCCCCCCAAAGCTGCAGAGCTGGGGCTTCTGCGGAGGAGGGGAGACGCTGTCCTTCTGACTCTCCGTTTCCGCCTGGGGTGAGACTGTGTTTGACCTGCAGCTCCAGCAAGCACTCCCTTGTCAGGGCAGCGCCAGGCCACGGGGGCCATTGCCGAGGGCACGGGCTCACTCCCCGGAGCGCTCGGCTAGGCCGGGGGCTGCGCCAGCTCGGCCCCTTCTTCCCTCCTGGGCACCTCTGCCCACCCTGGGTGCCACTTGGCTTGTTCCTCCATTAATGGTGACAGAGAGCCTGGGAAGGAGGCATGCCCAGGTCAGGGACAGGAGGAGGATGAGGGTCATTTATCCAGCTAGGCGATCTGTCTTCTCAGGGCACGGCCCCCACCAGCCCAGCTCCACCCGCCCTGGGGGACAGGGGGCCGGTTCCAGGACCAACAGCTCTGCACTCCCGGAGGGACTGGCCTTCCTTTACTTATGCCTGGTCCACCCACCCCCCAGAGACAGGCGCCCAGGGGATTCTGATAAATGATCATTGCCCCTAATCCATGCATTCTTCTGCGCATGCCTCTCCTCTCCACGGCTCCTCGGCACCCCTAACCCTCCCTCCTGGGGGCCACCGGCACAGAGAGGAGTTGGAGAGGCCCAGGAATTCCAAGACGACATGAAAACGGATGGTCCCGGGGGCAGGTTGGCAGCACCTTTGGGTGGAGGCGGGACGCCGGGCCAGCGATGCGTTCAGTCTGGCCGGGACAAGGTGTGGTTTGGCCATCACTCCTGATTCATGGAAAAATAATCCAAAAGGGCCTCGGCTGGTCTCCTGCAGGGCCTGCCGTGAGGAAAGGGCTGTGCGTGCCCGAAGGCACTTGGAAAACATAACCCCCTGTCCCCATGTGTGAAAAGTGGCCATGTGATGAAGCATGTTGTTTCACAGCCAGAGTGGTGGGTGTGTGTCTGTGTGTCTGTGTGTCTGTGCGTCCGTGTCTCCCCGAGGGCAGTCTGGTCCTCTCAACCCGGCCTGACCTCCAGCCAAGGGGCGGGAACAAGCTGGAACGCGGTATTCACACCAATGGTCCCAGAAGCGACCATGAAACCAGCTGCGGAAACCGGTCACCTCTCATCCGACCTTTTCCCTTTTGCATTCCATCTGGAAATGCTTTGGAAGTCCCTAAACTGGCCACTTATTCAAAGGGCACCAATGGGTAGAGGAGGCGTCCGAAGTCCCAAGTTCAAGTCCTGGCGCGGCCGTTGTTTTTCATCTGTCAAGGGGGAGCCTAGGATACCCGCCCTCCCTGTCTGCCCCCTGGGAAGCTGGAGAGACTCAAGTGAGAAAACGTATCTCAGAACCCTCTACAGAGTAACGTGTGCTCCCTTCTGTCATGTAACGAGTATTTCCTGGGCACCTGCTATGCGCAAGGCTCAGTAGTAGACAGAGAGGGGAATGTAACCATTTGTCGCATTACAGTCTGCGGGGCCAGCCTTCGCAGAGGTTATCCCCGCCCCTTCTTGCTTCCGTACCCCTCCCCCACCCAAGGAGACCCACGCCTCCCCTGCCCCTGGCTGGTGAAACCGCTAGTGTCTTGGAAGGGGCTGTTGCTAGCCCTAGCTCGCCCCAGAGGGTGGTTTTCTGAAGGCCTTTTCTTCCTCTCTGTGCCCCTGCCAAGCCTCTCCAAGAAGAGTTGCTTTCTGGACCAGGAGGAGGAGCGTAGCTTGATCCCCCTCTTCCTTTCCCTGCGCCTACACGGCATCACCGAAGGTAAGCCTCGGCCGGGGGGGGTGTGTCCGCGGAAGGCAGTGGGGGGCCCGCCCCACCAGATGTCCCCAGCGGTATCCACTGAGCTCTCGCCTGGTCACTTCTGAGCTGTGTGACGCGTTAGGAGAGCCTCTGTCTGCTCTCGGTTTATTGCTCTGAAAGTGGCTGTGAGCTGAGCTCCCGTGGAGTATGACAATGGGTCGTGAAGGCACACGGCTGGCAAAGGCCACGTCACTGCCCCCTTCCCTGGGCCCTGCCTGCCTCCTGGAGCGGCCGCCCCTTTAAAAGGTGGCTCGTTGCGTGGGTCGGGAGAAAATTCTGGAGCTGTGCTCCAGACTCCAGCTCCCCAAACCTCACACTCTGGGCCCAGGGGAAGACAGCCGGGACTTGGAAAGAGGAGGGAAACTGGGGAGTGGGTTTCAGGCTGGCCCAAGGGCCACCCACTGAGACCTTTGTGCCTGAAAGGACATTTGGAACTTGTCCAGGTGTGCAGATCAAGTGGGCGGCTCCAAACCCCAGGGGTGGGGGGTGGGGCCCAGGCCGTTTTGTCCCCGTCACTCTGAGACTCTCTGAAGATACTGGATAATGTCAGGTCTCAGCCCCACCTCCTCCAACAGGATTGCTGGGGGCGAAGGGGGGGTGCTCTATAATGTCCCATTTGGGTCCCGCACACCTTACGATTTCCCGGGAGCCCTGGGAAGGACCTCCAACCCTCAGCTCCCGACTCCCTCCTTCTTCTCTCTGTACATGGGACTTTTGGGATTCTCTTACGAATAAATCCAGAAAAATGTTCCTTCTGTGTTCCTTCCAAGGCAAGGATCTGGATATGTTAAGGCGCATTAACTTCTTCCCCGAGCTCTGGCTGCTCCAGGTCACCGCCAACCATTACCACGCCGTGAGTTGCCAGCTCAGCAAGAAAACAGTTACTGACATGTATTGCCTTTCTGACTTTGCCTTCTCTGGAGATATGTTTTGCACTTGAAATCTCTGGGCCTTTGAGGTCGGGCTATCCGGCTTCTCCGCCAGGGGACGCAGGGGGAGCCAAGCCCGGGGAGGGTTGGAGGGAGGGGGCCTTGGAACCCAGGTGCTCCGGGGATCTGTCCGGTTGACCGGGACCGTTAGACGGGGTGGAGGAGCGCCAGCCGCACTGCCCTCGAAACAGAGTCCCCAGCAGACACAAATGTCACATGTGCTTCTTACGGAAATGTTTCCAAATGCAGAGAAATTGAATGACAGAAAGCACATACCAAGTACCTACCCTCAGACCCTCACCCAAAGACAACCACTGCCAACATCTTATTGCATGTGATTGCATTTCACCTTTTTAAAACAATTTTTTAAAAGATTTTATTTATTTATTTTTTAAAGAGGGAAGGGAGGGAGAAAGAGAGAGAGAAACATCAATGTGCAGTTGCTGGGGTCCATGGCCTGCCACCCAGGCATGTGCCCTGACTGGGAATCGAACCTGCGATGCTTTGGTTCGCAGCCCACGTTCAATCCATTGAGCTACGCCAGCCAGGGCTCACCCTTTTTTTTTTTAAAAAACACAAATAAATGGACTCATGAACACGATCTTTAATGGCTACAAACTCTTCCACTGAGAGGATATTCTGTTACCAACGCTACTTTGCCATTTCTTTATCATGGAAAATGTATGGTGTTTCTAATTACTAGGTAGCTATTCTAAATGACAGTATGGTGAATATATTTGCACATAATGGTTTATTTTACTCTACTCCGAGTTATTTTCTTATAGGAGATTCTCAAGAGTGGAAAATACTGGCCCCAGAAGGAATGTGCATTTTTGTCCTTGATTCATAGTAGCAAATTTGGGACCACAGGACTCTCTTCCCCGCGGTCATTGATGAAAGTGCCTCCCTTTGTATGTGCTCAGCAATGCACGGCATGTCTCTCTCAGTTCCCTTCGGGGAACTTCCCCGACTGAGAAGCGAACAATGGCATCTCGTTTTTTTAATGGGCATTTCCTTGCTCACTGGGGAATGTTACTATTTTTCCACGTGGCATTTCACCCTGGGTGGATTGTCCATGCACATGGTGGCACTTCCTATGTGTTTCCAGTCTTGCATTTTTAGGAATGAAGTAGGGCAGTGTGTGGGTTCTGAAGACGGATGAGTCACCACTTAAAATTCGGTTCAGCTCAACAAATACCTATTGTCGTGTGCAAAGCGCAGAACTCCGTGGCCCCTGCACAGCAGATGAGGGCTCCACGGGACCACGTGTCTCCGAGACCCGATTCAGAGCTGCGCTTTGACGCAGCGGGGGAAGGGAGAGGAGGGAGGGGAGGGGAGGGGTGGGGCCATGGAGGGAGGACGATCCCCAGGGCTGGACACCTCCGGAAGTCCCCCACCGCCCTCTTCATGTCCGTCTGACCCTGCCCAGCTCCTTCCTTTTACCCCCTGCTGCCAGTGTCACGCTCCTGAGTCCACCCCGTCCCACCCCGGCCGGCCTGCAGGTGGAGCTGGCTCTGTGGGGCCATCTTTGCTCTCGACCTTAGGGCTGTGACCATTCCCTGCCTCGTGATCAGGCTACTTACAGACACACGGTGTCTCCCCAGTGAGGCTTCTCGGGCCGTTTTCTGGTTGTGGTCTTTGCATTCTCTGAAAGCAGTGAGCCCGGCCCCCGACCCCGAGCAGGTCTCCTGCCGCCACTGGGGCCTGGGGCAACGGCCGGCTGTGGGATCGGGGCGGCACCCTTTCGAGCACAGTGGGGTGGTGAGGGTCCGCGAGCGCTGGTGAGGATGGTGGCGGCGGGTCAGGCGGCCGGTGAGCTGCGCGTGTTTCCTTCCTAGGTGGAAAGTGGGGGCGACATGTTTCCCGCGAAAGACTTCGACACCCAGGCCGTGAGATTCGGGCTGCTCTTCAGCCAGGTACTGACCGCGGGCCCTGAGTAAGGGGAGAGCCGCCCCCTCCTGTGCTGGCTTAAGCACCTCTCTGAGCATCACCTCTCACCTCCGGTAGGAAGGCCAGGGCCGAAGAGGAAGTTACAGGTGCCTCTCCTGCGGGCTTCCCACCCCCCAGGAAATAAAATTCTCAAGACAGGGGCCTGGGAGAGGCCATTCAGTAACCCGATGTGTGTGTGCATCCGAAATATCCCCACGGGGCGGCCCACAGCCCTGGTTTTCAGGGAGCGGGAGTCTCCATTCTAAAACCGGGAAAGGCCTGGGCAGGCTGGTGTGAGTGGGGCGGCTGTCTTCTCCCCTCCACACACACAGATGCCAACAGCTCCCCGAGAGAAACACCCCCACCCCGAGCCTCGGTTTAGGGTTACGGGGGTGAGCCCTTCTGAGCCACCTCTTTGACGGTCCCTGGAATCAAAGTAACAGCGGGTTGGGAGGCTCGGGGGCAGGGCGCCTGGTCGCTCAGCCAGCAGGGCAGTGTCCAGGCCAGAGCCCGTGCTCCGGACGGCTTCTGATACACATGGCCCGCCACGCAGCTGCTGCTCTCCTCCAAGTTCTTTAACGCCGCCTCGTGCTCCAGGGACTCGGGGCCCTGAGACTATGGTCAGAGACTCTGCCCTGGGTCAGGCCCGGGTGGGCTGGGTCCAGCCCCTTACTTGCAGAGACCTGCCCACCTGCACGGGCTGCAAACACACGGGCTGGGACACCTTGCAATGCCCTGAGTGGGAGGTGTCCCTCAGGCAGGCTCATCAAGATGGAGCTAAATGCTTCTTTGGAAGGTCTGCAAGTCGTGTAGGGCAAGTGACAGGTCATCAGTGCTGTCCTGTAGGACCTGTGAAGTCACCGCAGTGTGCCTTGTCTGTGCTTCCCACGCTCGGATGGCTATTGTGGTTTTTTTTATTGTGTTTTTTCCATGACCATTTATCCCCTCATGCCCTTCTCCCCCCACCCTCCTGGCTACTGTGTTTTACGTCAGTTTTCAAATCAGTCACTTTAGTTGTTGCAGCTAGAACTTGTTTCGCTCTAGCCCCTTGCCCTTGAATGCCGACGGGGTTTTTTTTTTCCATTGCTTTGTTGTTTCTTTCCCAATGTAGGAATGCACGAACTATTCAAAAATGATCGCTATGTACGGATTCTTCTTTGAGATAAAGGGAATCAGAAACGATGCTACATCTTACAGTTTTTACATGCAGGTAAGGAGGCCGGAGCACTGGGGTGGCGCGTGTTGGCAGCCGCCCTGCGGGTTCAGGGTCAGGTCACACTGGAGCAGTGAGAATGGACCAGTCGCTGTTGAGCCTGGAGCTAGTCCCTCTGGCAGATGTGACATCACTTGCTTTCTGCAGCAGCCTTGGGAGGCCGCTGCCTAGGCCCACTGCACAGGCGAAGGTCTCGTGACTCAGTGTCTCCGTGTTCACGCGGCTTCTCCCGGCAAAGCCGGGGTTCGAGTCTCCTCTGACGCCACCCTTGGGGCTCAGCTCATCCTCGGTTCCCACACAATGGGTGGGCGATGCCTTACAGGTGGTCGTTCCTCTGCGGAGATAACAGAGGAACAGAGGGGCCCAAGGGGGAGAGGGAATGGTCTCATGTCGAGTGACAAAGCCGGGCAGGGCACGGGGCACCAGGAGAAGACAGTAGGGCGAATGGCTTTGCCTGGGGGCCGGGACCCTTGTGGGACGTTCGGGAGAGGCAGGAGAGCACTGGGTTTAAGAGCAATGAGTCTCGTCCTGGCTGGTGTAGCTCAGTGGATTGAGCACGGGCTGCAAACCAAAGTGTCGCAGGTTCGATTCCCAGTCAGGGTACGTGCCTGGGTTGCATGCCACGGCCCCCAGCAACCGCACATTGATGTTTCTCTCTCTCTCTCTCTCTCTCTCTCTCTCTCTCTCTTTCTCCCTCCCTTCTCTCTCTAAAAATAAATAAATAAAATCTTTTTTAAAATCTTAAAAAAAAATAATAATAATAATTTGTAAAAAAAAAAATAGAGCAGTAAGTCTCAAGTCAAAAGCCTGGCGAGCCATGAGACCTTGTCGAGCCCATGAACTTACCTCAGTGGGCTGCTGGGAGTGTTAATGCATTAGTTTGTGCAAAGGGCTTAGGACAGGGCCTGACACACAAAGCCTGCTGTGATGATGACAATGACGATGACAACTATGGTAAAGGACCACTCTGTCCCACTTCAACAACTTGAGAAACCATATTTTATTCACCTTTTTTCCTGTCACCGCCGATCACAGTGCCTGGGACATAGCGGAGGTAGGTTCGTCCAGTGCATGGGTGAATGAGTAAATGCATGAGTGAAGAGACCTGAACTTTAGTCCCAGCATCGCCACTACCTCATCACATGCCCTGGAGTCCTGTCTCTGCCTCGGATCAGTTCTTGGTCCCCAGGGACTCAGGGATTTCCCTCCCTACACTGTGGCTTTCACTGGTGGGAAGAGGTGGATTGTATAACAACACCAGTCGACATGCTCCTATGAATACTACATTGGTTCTGAAATCCTGGCAAAGTGGTGAGAAGACCTTCCAATCCAACAGGCTCGACTCCACGGCGTTGCTCTGGATCGGCCGAACCCCGGCCCACTGGCCAGCGGTTTGCGGGTGACTCAACAGCAGCCGGGCTCAGGAAACGGGATTCTGGGCAGATGCCCTGGAGCGCTCCGCACACATCGTGCAGGAGGGTCCTCGTGCCAGAAGCCAGGTGTCGCTGACTCCAGGTCACCCCGTATCAGCCCACCTAAGGCGCTCGATCTCCCTCCTTGCAGAGGGTGAGGCACACGGACACGGGATTCCCCTCCTCGGCCTGCGAGTATGGGCTCATTAGCCTGAGGGCGGAGCGCTTGGTCAAGTACGAGATCCGAGCCCAGGCCCTGGTGGACAGCCGGTGGCAGGAGTTCAGCACCAGCCCGATCGTGCAGAAGTTCCGGTTCACCGGGCGCACCTGCAAAAGCCAAGTGAGTCCTGGTCTTGTCTCTTCTCTTCCGCTTCATTTCTGCTCTTTCTTGCCTACACCCTGTTTCGGGGGGCTACTCACCAGCTTCACATCTCATGGGACCTACAGGAAAAGCTTGCTCTGTTTCTTAAGGATTATCACAGCTTCGAATAGTGCTAAATGGAAATCTCCTAGAATGGGAAGCTGGGGATACGGAAAAATGTAACCCAAATCACACTGCCTGACGGAGGTCACGCCAGATCCATTACAGAAATGTCGAAGGGTGTTTTCCTGGAGGAGGGGAGGCTTGGTGGAGTGTATTTGCCCCCTCCACCTCCGCTCTTGGCTGGATATCACCTGTCACTTTGGCTGAAACCCACGGCCCGGCCCACCTGCCTCCACGGGCCACGCCAGCATCCAGGCGGATTTGGTACCCGGCCTGGCTCCTGAGGGCGGCCATTCAGAAACTGCCCAAGAGTCTGTCTGTAGTCCTAGAAGGAGCTCGGGGTTGTGAGTCCTGGGGGGCCGGGGGGGGGGGCCTCCCATGCTGCCCTTATGACGGATGGGTCTTGGCCTTCAACTGGAGAGTGAAATTCTCAGTCTGGCTATCATCAGAGTCGCCCGGCCCTTTGCCAAGTCCGCAGGGCTGCGTGCCACCCAGGCGACACCAGGTATTTCATGGTGGCGCCCAGGTATCAGCATCTTTCACAGCTTCCCCAGTTATTCTCTATGACGTTAGAAATCCGAGGAGTCCTGTCCTTTGCGGAGGTGGGAGCGGGCAAGGCCCGGATGCTGGAATTCTGCAAGGGCCGTTCCCCTGGGCCTGAAGGGGTCATTGTCCTGCCCAGGGGGGTGGCCGTCCAGGAGCACTTACTTGTGCAAATTCACCAAGCGGTCCCCTTAACACCTGTTCTGAAGTCACACTTACATTTCTTTAAAGTTTATCTTAAGGGCTTTGTCTCGGTGACCCTCGTGTGCAGCCGGAGCTGAGGGCGAGCACCCTGCACACCTGTCAGGGCCCCCTCTCCCGCCGTCGGGGGCCACTGGTGTTCGTGTGAAAGCCCCAGGCGCTCTGTTTTACTTCCTCTTCCAGGTCTTGAAAGTCCAAACCGTGGGCAGCCCGCTCTACGTAAGTTTTTCGTTCACCTTCCCAGTGTCTTGCTGATTTTGACAATTTCCAGAAGAATCGGCGGGATCTGTTTTCCTTCCCCCAGTCTGCATGCGAGACAATAAAGTGACGCGAAGGGACCGACTCCAGGGTGCGGCTGACTTTCCCAGTGAGCGAGGGCTCGGGGAACTCCAGCCCGTCAGCTCAGTCTTGTCCAGACTAAGCCACGGGGTGGTTTATAGCCGACAGAAACGTGTGGCTCCCCGTGCCAGAGCCTGCGAGTCCGAGTCTGAGCCCGCGATGCTGGCAGACTCTGAGCGGTGTCTGGGGAGGGCCCGCCCGCTGCCCGGTTCACAGCTGGCCCACGTCCCGCTGTGTCCTCACGGGGAGGGACAAGGGCCCCTGCAGGGCTGGCCGAGGCCTCTTCCTTCTATCAAGGCGCTGATCCCACTCGTGAGGGCTCCACCCTTCCAAAGGCCCATCTCCCAATACCATCACTTCGGGGGTCAGGGTTCAACAGGTGACCTTGACCGTGGCGCCCACATTTGCATTGCTTTGGGGGCGGAAAGCACCTGAGCCAGAGAGTCCACCTGCCGTCCTTGACCCCCAAACAGCTGGAGCCCCGCCCTGATTTCTCACAGCCTCGGGGCTCTTTGATGGGAGCACCAGCTGTAACAACGCCCTCCCACTGGTGGGGCGAGGGGGGGTGGGCTCGGGGGCGGGGGGTGGGGTTGTGGATCACACACCTGCCTGTGGTCCCTGGCAGTCTGGGCTCAGCCGGAACAAGAGGTAGGAAGGGAAGGAAGCAATGATAAGGTTCAGAGTGACTGACCATTAGTCATTTTAAGTGGAACCCTGTGGTCTGGGAAAAGTAAGGTAACTCGATACCATTTCCATTTCCTTGCACAAGGTGGTGGAGGTGGGGGAATGGGGGGGACCCCACCTCGAGGAGCCAGAGTGGCAGATCTGGTTGGAAGATGCTTACTGAGCATCTCTGACCCATTCATTAGGCACGTGACATGCACCCTCTCGCTGCATTCCTCCAGCCCCCTGCCCCCGTAAGGTCGACAGGGTGAGGTGTCCCTGCCTGGTGCGGGAGGAAGCTGAACCCCAGACAGCAAGGCCTTCACACGTCCAAGGCTTCTCCAAGTGCCAGGCCTGGGGGCGCCAACCACGGGGCCCACTGAGAAGAGGGGAATGCTTAGGCGTGTTTAGTTCAAGTGCGTGTCAAATACCCACTATACACTCGACAGAACTGTGCACTGAGCTTCTGGGGTCTTCCGGGCCATGCTATGCAGAGGCTGTCAAATGGGAAACCGCATTCGATTCCAATGAGGGCAGTGGCACAGAGCGAGGGTGGTCTCACTGAGGACATGCACGTGCGTGGGCCTCGGAGGATGGGGAGTGTCCCTGCAGGTGGACCGTTGGTGGGAAATGGTACACAGGGGACGTTCCAACAGCTGAGAGCAGGCTCATCGCCAGCCCCAGCCTCTGGGGCCACGGTTGTCAGAGTCACGAGGGAGCTGGTGCAAAGCAGATGCTGGGTGGGTCCCCAACTTCGAGAGGCTGAACTGCGGTCCGGGAGACACAGGGAGTGTGAGGTAGGAGGTCTGCAGTCCCACCCGGAGAAGACTCCAGTCTGAAAATGCTAATGTCACGACAGGGTCCCCTGCTGCACCCACACACCGGATTGTCCTCCTTACCTCAAGCCCCAAAACAAAACAAAACAAAAAACAACAGCCCTGGATCCTGTGGCTCAATGGATTGAGTGCCAGCCTGCAAAGCAAGGGGCCGCCGGTTCGATTCCCAGTCAGGGTGCATGCCTAAGTTGTGGGTCAGGTCCCCTGTAGTGGGTGTGTGAGAGGCAACCTCACATTGATGTATCTCTCCCTCTCTTTCTCCCTCTCTTCCTGTCTCTAAAAAATAAATAAAAATTTAAAAAACGATAACAACAACAACAACAACCAACCCGTGAATCTCTCTCACCACTTTGTCTGATTTTAGTTTTAAAACCAAATTTCTAGAATGGGAAATAACCTAAATGGAAGCACCCTCCTGTGGGCCAACCGTTCGCTGTAACCCAGAGGGTCCAGCGCTTTCCACTAGGGGGCGAGCGCTGCCTCAAAAATGAGAACCAGCAGTTCCGCGGAAGGAATTTGCCACTTAAAAGCCCATCGTGTAGCACCTGGCTTAGCGGTTGAGTGAACTTCTCTGTGCATTCCAGGTGAGGCTGAGTCATTCAAACATCTGCAGCATTGACGTCAAAAAAAGACCTCTGAACTCGGAAAGTATGAGATACAAATCCTTCAGATGACCCGACAAGCCCTTCTTACCAGTGGAAATGTCTTAGACTGGCATTTGAAACCCAGAGTCCCGAAACCCAAGGCAGTGAGCACGAGTGCTCATCAGTTTGGCATCTCGTGTGCCAAACCCATGACCCTCTCTGTGTGCTCCTCCCCGCCCCCGCACCCCCCGGCCCGCCTCCCCCACCCTCCCCTCCACCCGCGGTGCCCAGGATTCGCTCTGCACACAGCCGCTCTTGTGGGGCCTGAGTTCAGGCATTCAAGGGCCGGAGTCGGATTTGCTCCAAACTAGTGTGCGGTCCTGGAGAAGTCACCTCCCCTCTCCAGCCTCGGAGCCTGCGCTGAGGCTGGCAATGACACCTGTGGTACGTGTTACATTTAAATCACCCAGTGCTGTCAGTGCTTAACACAAGTTCCTCCTCTTCCTCCCTTGCTGCTTGGAGTCATTTCGTGCTTGTCGAGGGTGGAGGCCGTGTGACCTTGGGCACATCCTCTTCCCTCTGGGGGCCTGCTTCCCCCTGCACAAACAGAAAGGTCGAACCGGGCATTCTTGGTGGACGTGTCCAGCGGCAGTCATCGGGGCCTCTGACTCCAAGAGTGGAGAAGAGCAAGACTCAATGACTGAACCTCTGAACCAGGAGCGGGAGGAGCAGGGGAAGGACTGAATGGTGTCTTAGGTTCCCGTGGGGTCCTCAGAATGAGAATGAATTAGAAAGAGTAAGAGCTACTTCTTTCATTGCCCCTTCTCACAGGGCTTTGCGCCCTGACACTGGTATGTCTGTGGCACCGAGAGGGGAGAGCGCATTTTTGCCCCTGTAAGCCTAGGATGGGAAAGGGGAGAGGCGGGGCCTGCTGAGCGGCTGGGAGAAAGGTGGGCTTCCCTGGGGACTGGGTGAGGGAAAGCCCTGGGCCCCATTAGTACACAGGGGGCTGGCCCCCAGGCCCGAGGCCTTGAGAGCTGGGGGCGGGGAAGGCAGGCATTCCCAGAGGAGCCAGAGAGGGGAGAAACGCCGAGAGGGAAACCTCAGGGACAGCTGTGTCCTACAGAACTTTCTGCAGCGATGGGCACATCCTGGATCCACCCTGTCCAGTATGGTGGCCACTGGACACTTGAAATGGGGTTGGTGTGATTAAGCAATTGGTTTTCATTGCAGTTCCTTTTAACGGATTTAAATCTAAATAGCCACACGGCAATTAGAAGGAGCAGTGAGGGCAACATCAGGACCTACCTTGGAACGAGGACTGGGTCTCTTCAGATCCCGGAGACCCCCAGAGCCCTGAGCCTCTCGGCTCCCCCCAGGCCCTGGAGCGGTGGTGCGGCCGTGGTGGCCAGCCACGCCTGAGGCTCTCTCTGCCCGAGGCCACCCCAAACATCCTCCAGGACCTCCGGGTGAATGCCACCTCCCTGGGGGCAGGGAGAGGCCGTGATGGGGTAAAGGGAGGTTCTCACGCCAGGGAAGCAAACTCAGTCCTGTATCAGGGCACCATTGTCACCTGCCCCCTCTACCTGCACCAGTGGTTATTTAAATTCAAACAGATCGAAACGAAATAAATTAACAACTTAACGGCTCGGTTGCAGGGCCCCATTTCAAATGCTCAGCGGTCACACGTGGCTCACGTGACTACTTTGTTGAACAGGGCGGATGTAGGACGAAAGGCTCCCCTTGTTTCTGGGGCACTTTGTGCTTTGTGACTTGGAATGAGTCACGTGCCCTTTGTGCTTTGACTGACTCATTCACTCGCCGTGCGGAGTTCTGGTGGGGGGCTGCTGTGGGGCTGGCCTGGGTTAGGGCCTCGAAGGGGAACCGGACAGGCCCCGCCCCGCAGAGCCTGCCCCCTGCGGAGAGACAGCGTGGACGAGACGGCCGCCCTTCAGGTGCCTGGGCGCCCGAGGCGAGGGGGCCCAGTCCTCCGGGAGCCTGAAGCTCAGAAGCCGGCCCGGCCCCCAGGGTGGCCCTCTCCAGGGAGGGGCCGCTGAGGCTGACAGCTGACGGAGCGGTGGTGGAGCTGAAGCAGGTTTGGGCGGAGAAAGCGGACGGAGCCTTGGCACGCTGTCCTGGGGATGTGACGCGGTGCGGCCACTTTGGAAGACGTCCCGGCAGTCCCTCCAACGATGAGACACAGGAGCTGCCGTCTGTCGGGCCACTAGGTGCACACCCAAGAGAAATGAAAACATATCCACGCAGGAACTCGTACACGAGTGTGCGTGGCAGCACAGTAGCCAAAAGGTGAAAACAAAGAACATGCCCACTGACGGATGAATGGGTAAACAAAATGTGGTCTCTCCACGTAACAGAACACTATGCAGTCTTGAGAAGGAATGCCGTTCTCGGCGAATATGCTAAAAACCCCAGAATAGTATGATATATGAATTAGATCTCCATAAAGCTGTTACGCATAAAAAGCGGAGGGGTTGGGGGTTCCGGAAAAGATCCCCGCCCTGACAGCGGGTGCAGGGGAGCCTGGCACCTTCGGAAGGCACGGAAGGAGCCTGGGGGGGGCGGGGGGGCCAGAGCCGGCAGAGCCAGCAGGAAGGAGAGACTGGGTAGGGCAAGGCGGACCTCCCAGGAACCTGGAGGCTGCGTGAGGGACGTTGGTCTCTTTCTCTCGAGCAGCACGGAGACTGAAGGGTCTTAGAGCTGAGTCTGACCTGACGAAATCTGCGTTTTGTGAAAGTCATTCTGGATGACACGTGGCAAAAGGAGTGGGGACGGGCAGCGTGGGAGTGTGCACACTTCAGAAGGGTCTGGCCCT